ATGCCTCGCCATCCTCAAAGACAACATCCACTTGTGACTTCACCCGACCCTCTTGGGCCAGTACCTCATCGTTAGGTGTATGCACCTCGTTTTTCTCAAAGACAACATCCATTTGTGACTTTACCTATCCCTCCAGTGTCAGTGTCTCGTCACTCATGTCACTTGGACTCATGTCCTGACATCTTGGCTTGCAGCCACCAACATCACTCACGGTGTTTAATGATGTAACATCATTCTCGTGACACATGTCATGTGCCATCTAGTGGGTTCTCAACCACAGTATCGACTGTCATTGGGCCTTGCCCAGGACTATTGTCCTCGACACTTACAGTGTCTACAAAGTTGGACAGGGGACATGTGTGTCTTCTGACGAGTGCTCATCGTAGGAGAGGAAGCCGGTGTCACTTTTGTAATCCACCTTTTCCTCCTCCTTGAAGTATCAGGTATATCTTGTGAGGCCGAGGGGAGACGATGGTCCCCTCAAGTCTTTAACTCGTTTGATGTTTGGCATGGCTGTTCGCAATCTTTATTGCTAATAACAATACTCATTCACGGTCAGTGTGATGCTTAAGAAAGCGTGGACGCGGCAACCTGGATGAGGTAAATTTTTGATTGTTGATATGCGTGGTAGGACGGGGGTTACACGTTGTGTTATGGTGTGTAAGACAAAGTAAGAAGTACATAAGGTACAGGTGGACCTGTTACATATATTACATAACTGTATTATTAGCCTATCATTAAGCTTGCATGATTGGCCAATCAGCGATGGTTGCAAGCAATAGTGAAGTTCATTAGTAAAAGAGTAAAGCCTTATAAAAGAGTATGTATACCACCACCCCATGGGTCTTTAGCCACCTGATTCTGTATAGAATCGCTAGTTCGTTGCACTAAGAGACTCTCTGAATCGAAGTCTTTCACTGGCGCTTGACATGTACAGCCCCGGTGCAAATGAGTTCTTTTTGGAGTCGATTTGTGGAATTGCCGACATTGAAAAGTGGTCAGCGGGCTCCGTATACGTCCATCTAAAACAATATGGTAATCTCGGTTGGAATGAACACTGGTTTGTCAGGACCAAACTACATGTAGAACTATTCCACGGAGGGCGTACTCTATGTGATGTAATGTTCAGGAAGCCAAGAACGTCGCATTCTAAGCAGCAGTTGCAAACAGCGACCGATGTATTGTGTATGATCAACTTCACGAGGCCTTTATTGCTGGATGAAATCCGAGCGACGTACAAGATATTGAATTTGCGCTACAAGTTTTTGGTCACACAATACTTGTCGATACGAAAAGGTTGAACACAAGACACCAGGTGACATTCGTTCGAACTTGCTAGGCTTCACCGTTTACCTTCTGTTGTGCCTTCATTATAGCACCAGCACGGACTGCCATTTGATCAATCTGGACTGCTGGCGAGTAGCATTCGTTCCAGCATTTTCCACACGTCAAAACACTCCATGTATGTATTCACATCTTATCTGTACTGCTAATCTCGTCCTTCCTGAAGAACGGTCAGTGACTGCAATTGGTCCGACGACAGCACATTCGGTGTTTTCTTGCAAAAGCCCACAAAGCTCTGCAGTTTCACTTTGCTCTCGGCTGGACAAGACTTGATTGCGGTCTGCACTTTTGGGTGCGTCAGAATTTTTGTCAAAGCCGATGAGAATTTCGGCGAGAACGGTGGTGCAACACGCGCAAACAACATTGTAATAAAATTGCGAAGCAATGCTTGATCCAGGTCCAGCGTATTGGTGAACACAAACTCCAATACGGGCAACACGTAACCGCTCGTGATCATGTAGACCATGCATCGAAGCGTCTCTCGCTTCAGCTCGAGTGCTTTCACCGGGTTATTTTCAGGGTGTAGCCGGAGCGATGTCACTAGCACACCAAAAGAGATTGGCCATTGTGCAACGTGAAGCTTAATAGAAGCTTTCAATATTCGAAGCAATGTGGGAAAGCAAATGTGCAACGGCGTACTGCTGAAGAAATCAGGCGAGGTGAGAAGAACTTCCAGCCAGTGCAACACACCCATGGATACAACAGGGACGGACATCACCGAGATCAGCTTGTGAACTACTTCCGACTGATTCATCTGTCCACGGAAAACATAAGATGGTTGGTTGGTCAGCTACTTGCATAGGCATGCAAGATCCTATTCTACAACTCACATTATAGCCAATAGTGTGATCAGACTTGCATATCGCTGAAGCTTCAACAAGCGCTTTTTTCGTGGAATCGATGCCATCATCATCGACCTCAACCTGATCGGACAATCCGCAAACTCCAGTCTGCAACAAACTCCGTTCATCCTTCGTAGACGCTGCATATGCCACCAAAAACACGCAGTTCTGCACAAAAGCCAGCGAAATGGAGTCGGACGGATTGAAAAGCCGATCAAGTAAACTTGACAGGACCTGAGGACAGCCATTTACGCCAGCAAAACACATTACAATTCAAACCATTTCATACAGGTACACAAGGAAATCGTACAATGGGGTCTCGCAAATGGGCGACTGGAGGCGGGATCTTCGACGTCTGATACTCCCTAGCCAGAGTGTCTGCACTCGGTTCCGAACATGTCTTGGTTTTAACAATCGATAAGACAGCATCGCAAAACTTCGGGCTCGCATCATAAATATATCGCCGGCGCAATATGTGGAAAGGAACAATTTTAGCGCCAAATCTGCTACTTGCTGTCTCTTGGAGCTCACAGCGCACGCGATTCAACTTAGAGCGTACCACACAAATATGAAAGTACTCTGTACTATCAGCACCGAAAGTTTTCTGCATTAAATACAGCTTGTCGTCGATAGAACACAAAAGCTCTTGTGTGTACAGATACGAATGCGAAGACTGACAGCAAACCTTATTAAGGGCAGCAATATCGTCCACCATATCCTCCTCACTAGCTAATGGAATCTGTCAAAGAAATGAGCAGACACGACGATTAGTGCTGACGGCAGTACGAAAATCCTGACGACGAAATCATACTTACTCGACTAAACGCATCCACAAGCACACCGCTAAATACTGGAAAAAACGCATTTGCACTCGTGATTGATGCAATTTCTTTGTGGTGGCCCGCTTTTGAAATTCGTCGAATTGCATATTGTAGCAACGTACATGTCTGAAACATCAAAGCAACTAACGATCAGCATCCGCAAACGTAAAAATTGCCGGCCGCTTACAAACCTTGTGTGTCTCCGCCAGCTCAATTAGCATGAGTCTCCACTTGCGATCGTTAAGCATCTGAGTCAGCCACTTGGGCTCCACCGCCGAACCACTGAGTACATTTGACACGAGTTTCGGGTCGTAGTTTTCGTTGATGACATCCTTTAAATGACTGTACAAAATCTCCTCCGCCGGACCCCACGTCGCGCCTTTGTTTGCAATTACCGCCCCTTCGTTGACATCAAACTTCATCTTATTCTCCAACGCCGTTGTCGACACAGGCAGCGTATCCAACCAGGACGCAACAAGTCCGATCATTTGTGCATGACCACGATACGACGACGAAAGTTTTTCCACTAAAATCTCGGGTCCATTCGACTCGGTATATGCTCTCAAAAAGCTATTGATGACCGACAGCACATTAGCTTCCATGATAGCATCTGTTTTAGACAGTTCTTGCAATAACCTTGTCGCTTCTTTCCCATCTTCCGTGTCCTTTTCTTCAATGTCCTTAATCAACTCATTATTCAACCCTTCATCGTCCCAAATAATAAGTCTCGTTTCATCCTGTCGACGAGGTCGTTTTCTTTGACTCTCACTGGCAATATGTTCCATCTTGTCTCTCTTGGACTTTTTCTTCTTCTTTTTCAAGTACGTTGTCATTGTAGCTATCTCTGTATCATGCTCACCCTTCTCCTCGTGCATCTGATTCTTTGCTTCACTCGTCTGATTCTTCACCAGCTCTAATTTTGTGTCTTCATGGCTCACGTCACTTTTTTCTTCATTCTTCTTGACTTTATTGCGATGTTTCTCATGGCGTTTCTCTCTACCCCCTCCATCTCCCACATGAGGTTGGATCTCTACTCCTTCCGGACGTTGCCACTGCGTTTTACGTGTCGTACGATTGTAGTAATAAGCACGTTCATTCTTGGGATCCCACAGCTCTTCCCATTCGCCTCCTTTCTTAGCTCCAGAAGACGTGACAGCAGCCATTAAAGTCACAGTAGCAGCATCAGCAACTCCAATCTCTTCTCCATCATAATCTATTGGTTTTTCCCATGCACTTTGCTTACTATTGCGATTATAATAGTAAACTCGTCCTTCCTTTGTCACGTGAGCACTCCAGATACTTGTCATGCTTGTTCCAGAAGCTTAAAAGAAGAGACGGACGAGGGAAGTGTTCAACTTGATGTTTGTATACATCCTTTTTTCAACAATGTGGATTGGTAGATATTAGTACTAAACTTTTGAACGAATCAAAATCTTGAAACATCGTCGTGGTTTGTTAAATGGTGTGGCATACATAGTACCAAATCATCATGTCGGACGAGAAGAAACTGCATATGGGATATCATGGCTGGATGAAGACAATTCCAAAGACATTGCAGGTAGAATGAATGTAATCGAGTAATCAATTCTATACAAGAAGAATGTACATATATATATCGAGAGACTAAATAGAGCTTTCTTGTGTTGTTCATTATAGGACTGTACGCCCATGCGAATCGATGAGTCAATGGCAGTTGTTCATCGAAGTGATACACGCTCGGTCTGGAATAGTGCAGGCACTTGGTACATGACGATTGAGTTATTTATTTATATATCTCGTTATACTATAGATCTTACTATATAGAGGAATGTTTTAATGTGTGTGGGATCATACGATACGAATGGATGCGATGATATCTAGGGAGGAACGTGATAAATCGGAATGGGCTCGTGCACGTTTGAAACACCACATTTTGACATCCTTTGGCTTTGAGGACGAAACACTGGGACTTGTTATCAAAGCTACGTCTATTGTTCATTGTAATGGAGACGCCAAGGTACGTTGAGTCGAGTTGAAGGATTGGTGGAGATGTATGAGTGGCTGAACCGTTGTGTGGCAATTGCTGTACAACAGGTTGTATTCAGTCGTGGGAAAAAGCGCTGTGGCTATGAGATGTCGGTCAAATTTACGTGGGAAAGCAATGATGTCATTACGGGCCAGATTGAACTCCAGGACTTTGACGATACGAATGGCGACGATTTTGAAGTGATTGTTACGGTGGATGGGAGCAGTCAGCGTGAACTGGCTGCGAAGAAGGCTGTGGTCGACAAGGAGTCGGAGCTGCGCAAACTGCTTGCGCTATGGAAGGAGGAGTTGCTGCAGCAATAGATTAACATGTGCATCTTGGGCCATCTATCGCGGGCGGTGTAAAGCAGGCGGAACCAACAACTCTCCTGGAATATAACAAGGGACTGCTGCATAGGTCAGCTATTTTCTGTTTCAGATACGACGGAAAATGGTGGTATTATGCAGTACAACGCATCGGAGTCCTTTTTAGCTCTGTGCGGCGACGACAATATATGCATCGCTATTTTTGGCGAAGTTTGTTCTTCAGGGTCGCTATAGCTTTCTGCGTTTACTTGCTTGCCTGCAAACAAAGAGCCAACGCAAACGCAGTCAGCTGCGTGCTAACGATGACGTAGCAACGAAGGCGACGTACAGATTTGCGATGTTTGCCGTTTCCTTGCGAAGCTCTTCCTACATTCCTACAGTTCCTAATCAAATCCCTTTAGTGCAAGAAAAACGTCGCATGATCACAGTACAAGCTCAATGAGCTTGATCTTGATTAACTAGGATAATCGTTCTGCCTTGACTCCCGTCTCGTCTTATACCTCACTCACGAGATTAGGCGCTTGCATCCTTTAGTTTGACAATGTCGTGGATCCGCTGATATGACATCAGCAAGAACGCATTGAGTTGATGCATGCTAGATGCAGTTGATGGGAACTGTTCCAGGCGCTTCAAAAGCACCACAGTATTGTACTTGACGCTGATGGAAGAATGGAAAATTCCCTGCGCAATGGTCTGGAGGCCTCCGCGTAGCATTGGCAAATGGCTTAGGAACTCTTGTAGTTCCAGCTCTGTGTTCAATAGCGCCGCAAAGTCCGAGTAGATTTTCTCCACGAGTGTGTCATCTAACACCACCATATCGCCTTGGAGACTTCGAATGTGCTGCTTCAGATCCACGCCCGTTTTCTTCACGTAAACATCCATATACAACAATCGGCCATCTTACGTTAAGGACACCATCTCAGCACAATAAAACACATGCATCATGTATGCTCGCTATGAAGCCACTCAAAAAACATATGTAAGTAGGATATATCAAACGCTGGTGAGCAAACGTGTGAGCGTTGACGCGAGTCCATAAAGCTTTTGTAGCTTTCAGTACGAGCCCACTTGGTGATACGCTTGTTATTGATTGCTGACCGCTTTGCCAGTACATCATGGTCCACGTAGTTCGCCTCACCTAATGCAATGTCCACAATATTTTTGCGCACGTATTCCTCAAACATGCACCGCACCCACTCCTCGTCGTAACCTGCAGCTATTCCGTCCAATACCTGTGCAAATTTTGCCAGGTAAAAAATCCTTAGACAAACGAATTGCAGCCACAATTCTCTTACAAAAGCATACCTCGAGAACGAAGTTGCGATCCAAAACATCGTAATCTTCCTTTTCAACCGGCACTGACACAAAAACTTCGCCCGTTGATATATCGCATAAAACATCCCACCACTCTCGTTTTGTCTTGAACATGGGATTCGTCACACCAGCAATAAACCCCGGTGTAGACAGAAAGTCCAAGTCCGTGAGGTTTGCATAGCTGTCACAAAGGCCAGAATGGTAGTTCATACAAAGGTCACAACACAAAGATGTCAATTCAAAAACAATCAAAACACTGTTCGAGAAATCAGTAGTAGACAATGTACGGGTATTGTCGATGAATAAATCCAAATAACGGTGGACAAACCAGCGAGCTTGTGGCAAGTACAAAATTGCACACTTCACCCGCCGGTCGATTGTACCCTAGTATAATCACTCGCTGTCCAGTCAGTAAAGCATTCAACAACACCATTGTTTGATCTCCAAAAGTCTGTAACAACTCCGTCAATGTTCCGTAATCATGTTGATCATCTGTGCTGCAGATTTTAAACTGCAAAGGAATGGGTATTTCATTCCATAGAGCTTGAGTTTCAAAGAACAATGTATGATCCAGCATCTTGACATGTGGTTGATTCGTCACACTGTGTCCTGTATGACTTGTCATACGTTTCATAAGTCTTCGTTCCATACTCGAGAGGCCACGAATACCCGAGATATCAATCGCATTTACTACGTTGTATAATTCTTTCAATATCTCTGTACTCTCTTCTTCAGTCTTGACACCTACAAGTTTCAGTACAGCCACATCAAGTACATCCTTTAGAGCAATCGAGCTCTTGTGAGTTGAGCATAACGCGACGGCTGTTACTTTAGCACCACGTTGAGCTGCCGTATCGTGTGTTGTCCGTACTAGACTGAGACAATACATGAAACACTGCAATGGATCTTGTATCTCATGCTCATCCACTTGTTGTGTCGTTTCCTTGTCCTTCTTTTCACTTGATATGGTGACGTCTTGATGATGTTTCAACACGTTTTGAGTCTGTCGATTTAGAAAAAGATTGTAAAGTCCTGTTGACGATTATGAACACCTTCAGGTACCATACTATCAGCAAAAAACTCGGAAGAATAGTGTGTGAAAGATACTGGATAAGTACGACGTAATGTACTTCCTTTAGTCAGATCAAATTCAGCATATAATACCACCTCTGCCAATGGCCGTGTAGTAGTAGTAGAACGAGTGCTATATATGTCCATAATACTTTATGATATGGGAGTTTTATGCTTAATTAAGAACTTTAATATAAAGTTACTCTAAAATACGAACTGAATGGGAACCGTATTGACAGAGATAGAGTGACAGTCGGAGAGTGTTTTTTGTATATATATCAGTGTATGATATTAGAGAAAGGTAGACGACAAACTTTGCCTCTTGGCTATCTATCAAACGCATTGAGACTGCATATGATCAAGTGATTTATTCACAAGTCACGTGTCTGTCATCGCATGACAATAGCTAAGAGAGAGAGAGGGCTATCAAGTGTATTATGCAAGAAACAACAATAATCTCATCTTGTTGTAAAAGTCATAGGTATCATCAACAACAAAAGACTTTTTATTTCTCTCAGCACCAAGTTTTATTAGTACCAAATCCTTATCACCGCTGCAAATCGTCATCCATGATCTTGTGTCTCTTGAGTCTGTGTGTATTGAAATGATTGCACCATATGTCAATGGGTTTTTTTACTCTTCTGTCAGGGACGTGGACGACGATGTATTATTTACGTGACGTATGAAGAAAGTCTGGAATGTGAGGACCATCGTATTGATCAGTTGGAAGACCCATGGAACGTCGAAGAGGAACGACAACTAGAGGTAGAGAAAGAGCTACCGCACCAATGGCACATGAAAGCACGACCATGGGCTCACGATCCAGATAATAACGAACAAACTTTGCAAAAGCCATGGGAAGAATAAATCTATAGATAGACCAAGTAAAAAGTAGGAAGAAATATCAGCCTTTCGTCCAAATGTGAGTGTGGACCACATCATTATATGAATGTGGGGGGTTAAGTGCCAAATTAGATGTCTATCATACACTTGATGTTTGTATGAGGCAACTTGAAGTGGAGCGATGTGTCAATGAATCACCATACGGTGCTTGTGTCTGTGTCGAGATATCATCGACAACTGGAAATTGCTCGGTATTGCACATGTGGGACCTATTTCACAGCAATATGCACAAGCTCATGAAGATGGCTATCATGCATTTTGCTCACTCCTCAAATCACATGCTCCTCACCTTCACGCAGTCCAAACCTTCCGCTCAAGTTTCTGCGTTCGCGCCAATGCGTAATCGCTTGATATTTCCACCTTCTTGCGCCGCTGGTCTCCATATAAAGCAGCTACGAAGCAGCATTAAAGTTTGCATCCGTAGTCTATGGTCGTACAGAAAAAATCTAGCGTCCTTATCGTGTCTACCGCAGATATATTCCAGCAACGCTTTGTTTGGTTCAAACTTGTAGCGCTTGCAATCCGAGCAGGCGCCGGTCAAATGGTTACAGGACCAGAAAAAGGTACAGTCACCCATTCATTAGCACGCCAATCTCAACAATCCACCCTGCTAGTTGATCCCTGTCTGCTACACCAAGTCGGATTGGAATCGTCTGGAAAGAGATGGAATACCTCGCTGCCGACACGCTTCTTCACAACCTCAAAGCGATGGATGCGCGTGAGTAATCTGAAAGAAGACCTATTCTTGCCTGGGTTGGTGGAACCTTGGAGCCTCACTGAACAGCACAAACAAAAGTTGTTAGTTGCATACTCACCCATGCAAACGTACCATGAGCGAGTTCAGTAGGTGAGGAGAGTACTTCACGCCCGACATTATATTTATCCAACTTCACGTATTGGGTCACGTTATTCTGCTTCTCTTTAGTGTCTTTCTAGTCCCGCCTTCATCTATGAGCTTCTGTTGTTTGAGCTGGCGAGTAAAAGCCAAAATGCCCTGAGCCAACACCTCGAGTGCACGATTACATGTCGTTCGCTCGGCCTTGAAATACCCGCCGACAAAAGTTGATGGTGGCACCTTCGCCAGCGACCGTAAGTCTGATTGTAATCGTTCGTTGCATACCAGATCCTCGCATTGCTTCCAATCAGCTTCTACATCAACAACCTTTGTCATCATTGAGCGATGACGCATAGCTATCCAACGCGTGCACAATGCCTTTAGCAACTGCAGCTGTATCAAGCGGATTTGAACCAAGTCTGTCGGGGCCAGCGGGCAAACCGCGAGCTGTACAATCGGTAAGAGTACGCTACACTGAAGCTCACAGACGACAAGCTTTCGGAGCAACAGCAGCAAAAACAAATTCGTCCGCGTCTTTCCTACCGAGCACGTCGTGAGTTTTTGTTCCATGAAACGCAATACGTCACGTACAATGTGGACGGGCATTGTGATCACCATAGCCTTCACGAGCTCTGCAAAAGTGTCAGCTCTTCCCTCGTAGTCAAACAAAAAGACTGACTTCTTGCAATTTAGAGTTTGCTCGCGTCCGCAGCAAAGCGTCGTACACTGCTGAAGTATTACCCATAACAAGGCCTGAATGCCGTCTGACGTGTGCCAGAAGATGTTTTGCAGCACAGTGATTGCTCTTTTCGCTGAACTGGATGGGCCCGTGTACGCGCAATGCACGAGCTCCTGCACAACATTCTGGCGAGCCCAGTCGCAGTTTAATTTCATTGATGTGTTACTCATGACCACGGCGTTCAGAACGTCCAATAGCGACGCCTGTCTCCGTCTTCGACAACCAGCATTCAACAAGCTTGCTAGCAATCGCACCACACGTCCGCTTGAAAGTACACGCAGAGTAAATTCTCCAATCTCATTCTTCACCGAAGCCAATTTCATAAGCCTCGTCAGCACGTGAACGCTCGTGGTTGATGAGTTGGGTGAGGTAGCAGAATTGGCAAATCGGTCATATTCTACATGTGACTTTTGTACAACGTTTCGCTTCACGCTAATGTCCATGCCACCGTCGTCACAACTTCCGAGATGTAGTATGACGGCATTGCCGAAAAGTGTGGACGCTGCGAAGAAGTGATGTTCTGCAAAGCGCACGAGAGCTTCTAAAACCTCTTGCAGCAACATATCGCCAACTGAACGCGTAGATGGCAGTAGCAGATTTAATGATTTTGAAAACTTCATGACAGCTTCGCCCTGCATATCGTCTTTGTCAAAATTGCAACTCAGGCGTTGATAATAGGACCGGCAAACTTGAGTCGTAAAGCTCTGAAGCTTCTGGATAAGTATACTTCCGTCCTCAGCTACATCTTGGACGGTCACGCAAAGAAGTGCGTAAACGTAACCCCAACTAAGTGTTGTCCGATCATCTGCCCACGCTTCAGACCAGATGTCGAGGAATAGAGCACTTGTGCGAGCATCAACAGCAACCAAGAGGCCAATAAGGAGCTCTATCTTCTTTTGCACACACAGAACAGATTGGCTTCCAACTCTATCGAGATGTTCTGTGAGCACGCTAGCAGTGGCAACTGGCAATTCACTAAAACCGTTCCGGGCGCCCGTCTGTTCGAGCCACCGATAGTCGATTCCGCCAAGCACAAAAGGCATATAGTTGTGCAAGATTGCGCGCAGTGCCAACTCCTGTTCTGCTGCGTGACATTGAGGAGACAGAATGAAGCTCAGAATGTGTTTGACAAACCATTCTGGCTTTTTCATACTCAACTTCGATGTAAAGCGAACTAAGAAGTCCATCAGATCGTTAAGCGATACAGCAACACATGCTCCGTCTTGTTGTTGTTGTTTTCGTCGTCGTTCCAGCCAATCTGCCATTAGCGACGAGCTCCAGCTTGTGCTAGCATACTTGAACGCTCGCTCTAGGCAGTCCTGGATCAGATAAGACCGTGACTCCACAAGCTGGTTTTTAAGGCCATCTTCGACAAAGAGTAGCTTCACAAATCCGCACGAAAGCCGGCACACGCGCAGCTTACCTTCTTCCACAAGCAGTTCCGCAATCTGCTGTGCGGGGCCTCCAATTCGCCAGTCCATGTCATCCTCCTCTTGCAACGCCTTTTCTTCACCAATCAACGTACGATACAGCAGTACTCGCCATAAGTTTTGTAGGACACTGTCACTAGACTCGATCGCACACGCTGCAATCCACGGACTGAGAACGAACCTATCACCATTGTGCTCTAGCAGACAGCGCAACAGCGATCTGCACACTAGATCTTGGCAACCTCTCCCGTCTGGTCCCATCTTCACGCTGCACATGCGCACCAAGGCGTCTACAACCGGATACTTGGTTGTCGAGACGGAATCGCCAGCCTTGCTCATTTTCTTGAGCATTGCAGGCAGCAATAAGTCAACAAACTCGGGTCTTTGTAGCAAGAACCCCGCCAGCACTTCATCTAGCAGTGTCGGGTAAGTACACGGATAGTACGCCGCTAACAGCGTCGTAATTTCCTGCAAAAAGTTCGGATCAAAGCCCGAACGGTTGCACCAATTAATGACATGATTGTTCACCACTTTGACCAGCACCGCGCGGCTCATATGAACGTCCACGCGGTCGACAAGTCCCTGTGGCACGAGCTTAGCCGCGTCAACTCCAAATCTCAGCAGATCCAGTTCCTTTGCTACCAATTCGCCTGCTCGTCGTCCACTTCGCCTTTTCCTTTTCAATGATCGATTGACAGCAGTAGAAAATTTGCTATGCGCTTCTGTCCGTCCGGAAGGGAAGTAAAAGTCATACACAGAGCGCATAGCTGCTGCTGGACTTGCATCACCATTAATAGTTCTAATCTTGCTCTCTCCATTGTTGACCGTAGCATGAGCCAAAACATCATCGCGTCGTCTCTCTTCACGAAAGCTCTGAATTATCGTAGGCATCTCATTCTGAAACAACGACGTAGGTGTTGTCTGCTCGTCCAATAGTTCGTTACTTGTAGTAAGTTGACTAATACTAATCGGTACATTTCTAATCTCCCAACCTTCATTTTCATTAACCTTCACTCTCTTGTTTTTGCTCTCAGTCGCGTCATCTACGACGGCCATAAGCGATGCCATTTTCATCTTGGACGACGTCTGGCGGCTACTCGTGTTGCTATTACTACTGGAAGAACAATCTACAGGTGAATACATACTGGCAATCGAAGTGGGTGCACGGGAACGAGGTCGTGCACGTCCACGTCGACGCTGTACCTCGTCGTCATCCCTACTCATGATTTTAAGGTCCGATGCCTTCGACTATTGCACTATAAGGTCGTTTTTGATACTGAGGACTCATGTCACCCGATCGGTAAAAGGGTCACGGGTTCAGAGGGAAAAACAGTTAAACCCGGGCACAAAAGGGGGGGAGTAATTGGACTGGAGACAAGTATGGCATAATAAAAAAAAGAGAGTCATTGGAGAGAGCATGCATTTTATCTAGGCTTTAACGTGCATCATATTTATCACTACTAAGCCGTATCCAATCGACAACTTCCTAACTACTACTAAAAGAAAACAACATTGTAGTAGTAGTAGTAGTCGAGCAAACAAGTCAATGCTCACTTACACTGTTGATGCCACGTGAGCGGCACATTTTTCCAATGTCTTGATAGCCGAGCCCAATTTGTTCAATGTCTCCATGTACTCGTCTTGTGGGTCAGAGTCGTATACAATGCCACCACCTGCCTGCGCGTAGACCTTGCCATCCCTGACCACCACTGTACGAATGGCAATAGCCGTGTCAAGAAATCCAGAAAAGCTAAAGTACCCCACAGAGCCAGAGTATACACCACGTCGCTCGGTCTCCAGGGAGCAAATCAGCTCCATAGCACGCACTTTCGGGGCACCAGATAAGGTACCGGCAGGGAACATGGCACGGTAGGCGTCGTATACCGTTCGATCGTCCCGCAAATCACCCTTGACCACGGAGACAATGTGCATCACGTGCGAATACTTCTCGATTTGCATGAGGCGCTCTACCCGGACAGAGCCCGGCTTGGCCACCCGACCAACATCGTTGCGGCCCAAGTCCACCAGCATAATGTGCTCGGCACGCTCCTTCTCGTCACAAAGCAACTCCTTCTCCAGCAACTTGTCTTCTGCCTCATTGGCACCACGATGACGAGTGCCAGCAATTGGGTGTGTCTCGACGACGCGGTCGTGATCCACCTTGACCAGCATTTCTGGTGATGCGCCCACGATCTGGAAGTCATCGCTTATGTCCAAGTAAAACATGTACGGCGACGGGTTAATGGCCCGCATCTGACGGTACAGGTCCAACGGTGTCACGCCCTTTGGAAGATCCACGGCAAGTCGTTGCGACGGTACTGCCTGGAAAATATCACCGTCGACAATGTGCTTCTTGAGTTTCTTCACAAAACCCATGTATCCCGCCTTGCCAATGTTCGAAGCTGCTTCTAGATCAATCTTGGACGCTGTAGGCGCGTTCGTATACGCAAAACTAGACGTGCGCACGAGCGGCTTCTTTAGAGCAGTGTCAACCGCCAAAATCTTGTCAGTCGCTTCCTTATAGGCAGCTACAAGATCTCCCGTGTCCAGACGGCAATGCGACACGATCTTGAGTGAGTGGTACACATGGTCAAAGATTACAACCGTGTCGAAGAGCATATAGACACTCTCGGGCACTTGCAGCACGTCCTTCTGGGCTTCTATGTATGGCGCAATCCTGGGTTCAAAGTGACGTATGGCGTCAAAGCTGCAGTAGCCCACAGCTCCGCCCGTCATGGGCAAATTAAGCTCCGGCAGCGTCACGACACGAAAATGCTGCATCTCTTTTTCCAAATGTACAAGCGGATCACCTTCAAAGCTTTGTCCCATGCCCGTGGCCACAATCTTAAGTGGCCCGGCACCAATGAACGAGTATCGTGCAATCTTTTCGCCTGGTGCCACGGACTCGAGCAAGAAAGAGTGCTTCTGACCCTCGCGCAGCTTGAGCAGCACACTCACGGGTGTGTCCAGGTCAGCGACAGCATCCAGGTACACGGGTATCAGGTTCTTTCCTTGGTTTTCTGGCTCCTGTTGTAGCTGTACAACGCGCTCTAATTGTGGTAAGAAGACCATGGGTCGGATGGTCTGAAAGGGGTCTTACGTGTCGATTTTCAAAGTGGTCGATTGTGTTGGTAATATAATGTTGTGTCAAGGTACTTCATATTGGGGTTGGTGTGCCACAAGAACTTTATCATCTTAGTGTGAACCACATCGTTTAATGAATGACTACGTTGAAGTCAAAGTGGTGTAGGCTAAAAATAATAAGCAACGGGACAGTGTGTTGCCTAAAACTAGCAATAGTAACTATTAGCTAAGGACGGACGTAGCGTATTGCTTAGAATTGTACTGGAAATCTAGAAGTAAAGAGATTAGTGAGCTTATGAATGAAGAGGAAGCTCGGCTTTAATTGCTGCATGTCACCTATTTTGTACAAGATAAACTGATTGTATACACTAGGCTAGTCGTTCTATTGAAAATAGAGCAAACGTTATACTCAATATGATAGGCTCAACGTCATGTGATCAGCTTTTGCTTAGCTAAGAGACTTGGCATGACTACTACAATAGTATTCCTGATTATCAATATAATGTATAATAACGACAGGCCACGCCCTAGATTCTGTTTGCGTCTTCTTCAGGTACGGTACGTAAAGAATAACTTCTGCTTCAACCCTCACGAGACGAAGCTGTATCTCTTAACATAACACGTGACCTTGCTAATCGCGTAAGCTTTGGTAAAAACCCATACAAAAGTGACCATTCTTCGTGGTATTAGTGTTCACGTCTCAGTTTGTTCACAAGGAAGTAGCTCAGTGTTCATAGCTGACACCGCTGCGCTGCGCCATCACTATCCTATCGCTTAAGTGAACGTAGTTAAGAAGTACTAATCCTTGCAGCGCAACCCGCGATACGAAAAAGCAACATCAGCATAAGTGAACCTCGCGAGAATGCTGTGAGTAGTTATTATGGGCTTCTTTACTATAGTGAAGCTATGAATCTGTATATTGTGATTCGCACTTTAACATGCGGACAAAATGTCGAATTCTTACCACTCGATTTTTTCATTTATTTCTGATATTTAGAGATAGCAAGCATATTAAAAATAGGTCATTCTCATTTTTGTTACGTGACTAGAATTGACATCATGAGCTCGACTGGAAAGTCTGTATTTGTGCCAACGCCTATACGAGATGCTTGGTTCCAGAAAATACGCTCGTCCGTGGCCAATAAAGGATGTTTTGATTGCAATAAGCGCCATCCAACATGGGCTACGGTCACCTACGGCGTCTTCATCTGTTTTGACTGTTCAGGTTATCATCGTCGACTAGGCGTTCATCTGTCGTTCGTGCGCTCCATTGACATGGACGAATGGACTGAAGACCAGCTTAAGGCCATGTATGAGGGTGGTAATGCGGAGGCTCGTAAATACTTTAAGCAATATGGCGCAGCGGAGCTAACAAGTGTGCGATTGGGATCAAGAGACGATTGCCATTTCCGTGTCTTTGTTTGTTGAGACTAATCTCGCTTTGTTTGTTTATTAATGTACAGATTGAGGCGAAATACAATTCAAAGGCGGCACAGATGTACAAGATTGCGTTGAATAAGAAGGTTAAGATGTCAAAGCTGCAGATTGTTGCTCCGAAAGAGGAGGAAGTATGGAATGATGTTTGTACAGTATGTGGATGTTCAGTGCTGATTGACTGATGCTATTTTGTTGTTTGTTAATCAATATAGGAGACTAAAGATGATGAAAAGATTGATGGCCTTGAGGCGTTAGTAAAGCACATGGTGATCAAGAGTGAGAACGGTGTGACGGCAGCTCTTAATGGACACCTGAAGCGCGAAGTACCTGCTGTGAAGAAACCATCTGTTGCTACACACCAGCCACCACAGGCGAGTTTGTTGAGTGTCAACCGTCGCGTTGTATTGCTGGGACCGAAGGCTGGCGAGGCACCAACACCTGCTGCTTCTAGTACTGGACGATTGAACCCGCGCAGCAAGGCACGGAGGGTTGTGTTTTGTTCAAGCGCGTTGCATTGGCCTCATTTGTTTGTTTACTTTGGTACTGCATGCTTCGACACAGGCTACTCGTCTGGGAGCTACAAAGCTGTCGACAGGAGGCAAGGCGACCCGTTTAGGCGCTACTAAAGTGTCGACGGGTGCGGACGACTTTGACTTCGACGACATCCCGTTTGAGGTATGTCAACCTCGTCTATAATGCAGGTGTCATTAGCCTACTGACATTGTTGCGCATGCTTTGCGGTTACTCGTAGAACCCACCCCTATCTCCTTCTTCTATGAAGGAACTGTCAGCAGAGAAGCAGATAAAGGATGACGAAGCACTTGCACGGGCATTGCAGGAGGCTGAAACGTAAGTGTATCGTCAACTTATCTCGATCTATCTGTGAGCACTCGACTTACCTTTGAATGTTGCTACGCAGTGAGCGCACTGCAGCCATAGCCGCTTCTGCGCCGACACCGTATCAGTCTACTCTAGGTCAAAATCAGAGTCTCGACAAGTACAAGAATGCGAAATCGATTTCATCCGACAACTTTTTTGGTGGTGAAGCGGTGCAAGCAGATAGCTCGCAGCTACTGAGATTTCAGGGTTCACAGTCAATTTCGAGTGATGCATTTTATGGCAAGAACACCAAAGACCGCTCTACGTCTGGAGAGAGTACGTTTGTTTTACTATTATTGATATCATCTATACTATTAGTAAGGTGAATATGCACTAACAATACGGTGGTATGGCAACGTGCATTGCAGTGACGGATGAGGCAGCTTATCAATTGCAGCTAATGAAGGACAATATGACGAGCCAAGCGGCCAAGGTAAAAAAAGAGCGACATGTAGTGAATTGTGAAGCAGTGTATATCTCATTATCGTTTTTGCTATTGTTTATTGCAACAGCTCAAAGACATGACGAGCGGGTTTTTCAGTAACCTGCAAACACGCTATTCTTAGGCAAATGTTGATATGAAGGTGTAGCCATGTTGGAATCCCGCCATTTTAGACGTGGCACGTGGCAGTCTGCAGAATGTAATCTTGCCGGATATGCACAAAATACACCACCTTATTTTCAGTACTGTTGTAGTTGACATTTGTATGGTGCTGAAATTCTCAGAACAAATACCTTTCTATTTCGTTGTGATGATACCAATCACATTGTTTTGTTACTTTTCTGTGAACACGCGTCACTTTTCTTCATTTCTGAATATTCAGCAACGTACTAATTTCGAGTCTAAAATGTTGAACACGAAGCGTGTCATGGTTTTGGCTCTTGTGGCACTTGTGACACTTGTGCTAGGCTTCGTCCCAGCTGTGGACGCTGACGATGGCAAGGAATGTGAAGGTTGGTCTTGACGTAGTTGCCTATTGCTTTGATCTGAACTTTGTACGACTTATTGTGTTTATATTGTTATAATATTGATTGACACAGTGTGTGTCAAGGTCATTGATGACTTGAAGGCTACGTACGAAGAGCTGGTGAAAGAAAAGCCTAAGGGAAAGAAGCAGGATTTGGCTGAGACAGCTGTCACGAAGCTTTGTGGCAAGAAGCTTAGCAGCAAGGACAACAAGCTGGTACGATCCTGTACTTTGTTTTTATTGTCTGAGGAGAGGGGGTTGTTATTGTTTATGGTGGATTAACACTGTTGTTGATTGTGGTATTCATGTGATGAATGTAGTGCTACAATTTAAAGCCACTTAAGAAAGATGTGGCTCGTCAGGTGGCGTTTAAGAAAGATTCACTGAAGATCTGCAAGTTATTGGAGAAGAAGAATCCTGACTTTTGCTCGATGCGATACCGTACGTTGCTTGTCAATTCATATACACCTTTATGCAACGGCTACGATAATGTACACTGAATATTGATTTTATTGTGTATGTTTCTTCATGATGCAGCCGTCAAGACGGATGCTAACACAGATTACTCAAAGATGCGTGTGAAGCAGCTTCGAAAGATCTTAGCAGAGCGTGGTGTCGAGTGCATTGGATGCGTGGAGAAGGCGGACTATATTGCCAAGATTAAGGACTCGGAATTGCATGCGGAATTGTAAACAAATACGGCAGAGAGAGTTGATGTGGACGAACGAACCATTATCAGTCAGTATACCAGCAAACCTCGTTGCACAAACAGCTGATCCTGGACTATAAAAAGTAGTTCAATACAAAATCCATCATCTAATCCGGACAAGACTATTTTTCATCCTAGCAATTTTGTACACAATTTTTGGTCATAGCAATTTTGTACACAAATTTTGCTTCAAAAATAGAACCTTTTCTATTATATTAGTGACGGTATATCGGTTCTTCTTACGTCCTGCTTATAGTCCAAGCTTTACCGTCCGTAGGATCTGAATCACAGATGATCCTACCAGCACAAATACGAAAAAACCCAGTAGTAAAGGACCCATACTATAGCCCTTCTCTTCCTACAGCATTCAATACAATGGATTAGTCAATTTTCATACGAACACAACCACAGCAAAAGGGTGTAAACTATTGTAGCTATTAGAGTAACACAAACCTTTGAAGCCTGTGATACGTGACCACGTTTCGTAATGTTGGAGAGATGTTTGTCAGAGCGTAGACGAATCTTTGCTGGAACTGCCATAATCCTACTCGAATGAAGCAACTGTGATGCACAATTGAAAATGGTCGTGAGGGTCTTATTACGATTATATTACTATTATTATAGAAGCCTCAAGTTGAACACGTGTTGTCAAATCTTGTGGTAAACACTACTTTGATGTGAACCACATGAAGTTGCTACATCCGAACAATGTTTCATCCGTTGAAGTAACTTTAACAATGCAAGCACTACCTTTAAAGAAAAAATGAGTGTATTGACTGGAATAACAAAGGACAGTATGTATGACACAGCGCTATACTTTATCATACACACGACTACAGCTTCCTAAGCTTACTGGCGTGCAATAATCTCACTGGCCAGTTTGTTTTCCAAAAGCATGTGACTTTCAGGAGCAAGACCGACGCACGCGCGGAAAATGTTAATCATGCACTCGCGCTGCGCAAAGAGCGCATTTACTACCGGAGTACCACGCGGGACAAGCGGTGCCTTGAGCATATAACTGAGGATTGATAAGACCGAGTGCAAGTGCTCAAAGTCCGAGGCGCCTTCTTTCTTGAGCGTTATACGCTCAGCAAGCTCACACACGAGGACCAGGTCCAGAATCAGCGGTGAAGCAAGCAGCGAATCCTCGCACGTGTTGTGCATTGAGATAGTGTTGTTACCATTCATAAAGATCTTGGACGTGTACTCATCCAAAGCACGCTTGCTGTCACCCACGAACGGCACATACTTAATCACAACGACGTGGTCCGGGTGCTCGTTCTCCTTGTACAGTAGCCGGTTGGATGCCACCATGTCGTCAACAACATTTGACTTTGAAATCTCCTTCGAGCGGAACTGCTGCGGTGCCGAAAGGTTCTTGCCATCGTTGTTTCCCAGGTGGTTGTAGCTTACGATGGACGTGGGCTTAATGCCGGCTGACACAAGAAAGTCCACAAGCACAGACTTCATCTTGGTCTGACCCGACTTAAAGTCATCGCCACCTACGAACACTTTCTTCTCCTCGGCCAAGTCGAGCACACCGGGCACAAACGTGTTTTGCGGACTGCCGTTGATGTACGAGCATCCTTCAAGGATCGAGGCCACAGCAAAGATAGTAGAAGGTGACACCTCCTCTTCACCGGCTTTAATGGACTCGAGCAGATTAGCCGACGTATCGTTCACGCCTTCTACAATGTCGGAAAATCGCTCCGTGTTCGCAGACCACAGCACAATAACCTTGTCAAGGTTGTTGCTTTGCTTAAAATCACGGATCTGCTTACGTACGGCATCAAGGTTTTCCTGCTTAGAACCCTTGAGCACGTTATCAGCACGGTCAGCTTGATTGGCAGCAATGAAGTCCGGATAGTAGATAGAAGGTAATGGCTTGATCTTCTCCAGGTACGGCACGAGCTGACGCTGTAAGTCGTGGTCCAGCACTCGAGCACGTTTCATGGCCTCAGCTAAATTAAGAGACGAGATGTCCCATCCACCAATGACCAAATCATTTGGCGACACCATGGGCAGTAAGTTGCGGAACGGAATGTACACGCCCTCACCGTTAGCATTCGTACCGAGACGAACAGTAGAAGCCTGGGTAACAGACCCAAAGTAATTGGGTTCCTGTACGCCCTCTTTCGTAGTCCACGTGATGTGGTGTTTGTTAGCAATAATGCTAGCCACCAACGTCGATCCGTTGTTGCCTCCAAGACCGACAATCATCACACCGACTTTAGGTACTTTACGCTGCGTTTTGAACGTGTATTTTTCCTCCAAAGGCGTAGCAACAGTGCCTTCCACGCGTGTAGTAGTGTACGTGTAGTGTGACGTGATTTCATTGTCAGTGTACACCACGTTCTTGCTGTTCACAGTGAACGGTTCGCAGAAAAAGTCGGACGAGGCCATGATTGATAATTGAAAGTATTGAATAAAGACTTGGTCACTTGAAAGTAAATTTGATAATGAACCGGTTTGGGTCGGGGTAAACTCGACTACTGCTGTATCCCTGTTAAAAGCGATACATAAGTGAACTTCTTCGAAGATACAGGGGTTTTCGAGCAAACTTGACGTAGTGTACATAGTCAGGCGTCGAATCATGTTGGATCGTCTATTACTTTAATTGCGCGACTAATTAGGATAACACAATAAGACAAATCCTACCAGGATTCTTATATCATGGCTGACGTAGATACAACAACGCTACAATTCCAAACTCGTGTGTGTTTCATTCGAGAAGGTCCTAGAGAACATCACGGCTGATACACGTCGTCGGACAAGCTGTCCGACATGAGACTTGCCTTGCTTTCCTAATCTAAATCACTACATGAATTCACACTATATTCAAGCTACTAGAACTAATGCATCTGGCCTAAGACTGAGTACTTTCCTAATCCTAAAATCCTAATTCGACTCTTGTAAAGGTCAATGTCGGTCACATCTGCAAACTGCTTTGCGCCGCTCTTCGTACCATATGGAAGAGCCAAGCGTCGTGTCACTGGTAGCTCTAGAACCATCTTTCACCCTGCATCGTCGAAGATTCTAGAACTTCCATCGCACGACTACATTTTTTTCGCGTGCATTTGTTGCACGGCATTTTTTTGGGTCACGCAAATCAATTCTGATACCGGTATGGAATACCAAAAATGGCTGCTCAATCCTTTGACCCCCATTCCGCAACTCATTTGGTTTGCATTAAGGGTGCCTTGCATGTTTGTTGCCTGGTCTAATTATCGGCTCAAAACCGGTGCATATCGATCTTTTTGACTTCTCTATCTTTTACACATTCGTGTGTACACACCATGAATATTCACAGAAAGAAGGTGCAAAAAGGATTTTTTGATATTCCATGTTTCTTATTGATTGCATCGTTTACTACAATACGTAATAAAACGTGCTTCCAATAATTCCGTACATCTTGTATACGTTTCTCAAACTCCCTATATAAAAGCAAAGCCACAACCCTTACACATTAGTATACATCGTTTGTTTCACGTACAAGTAATAAAATGGAGATCCCTGCCCCGTTATTAAATGGATCGGTCACGTACTTGGTATTAACATTACTAACGTGTTTTGCTGGTATCATCATGGGGATCACTGGCAAATTCAGTCGTGAGAATTCATCGTACGTCAGGGTGGTGTTCGATTGCTACCATTAACATTGATCCTCAATCTTATTATTTTTGGTATTAATTCGTAATTATTATTGTAAAATATTACATTAGGATCTTTACATTATTGGCTTTTATGACTGGTTTCTGTCTCTGGATGTTTTGGTGAGTCCAATTATTGTAGCAATTATCTGGTCTCAGCTAACATTTACTTTTTATATTGTAATTATTATACTGTATATTATATATAGGGCTTGCTGTTGGTTGCATCAATGGCACATACTAGTTGTCCCTACGTACGGTGCAGAATAAGGTAAATAACCACTTGCTAATCAAGAAAGAAGCACGTAAACTAGACAACAAGTTCAAGAGCTAAAACACCTACGAGTTGATTTGGTGTTTGTAGCAATGGTGATGACCCAATGGAAGAGCTACACGGAATATCAAGTTCCATTCATTCATTCTTCTGCATCTTCTTGTCCCTACAAAGTGTTGAATGATACATGCAATAGCGACAGCCATTTCTACTACCTGTCTGTCTAACTGTCTGTCTGTCTGTCTGTCAGTACTCTACCGTGTCCCTTTTGTATTGGACCTAAAATTGAAATCGCAAACTTCCTCCATCTCCACTTGTACAAGCAGCTTCTTCACTCATCCCAAATGTGAATTCATGAGAGTGATAGTCCATATCAGGCGCAATGTCAAAGTCGTCCTCATCTTCGCCATCAAAATAATCGCGAATAATACGTACGGACTTTTCGTAAATATCTGTAAAAGACAGTCACAATAATGTAAAGCACTTAGTTACGTCTGACATGGTGATAGTGCCGACTACAAGTAATGAAGACCAGAGCTAACGTACCTTCTTCGTGGTGAAATTGCAGATTCTGAATCAACTCAATACCATCTGCTTCCTCAATGTATCGTGCCATGCGATTCTCAGTGTCAGTCAGTGACATTTCTGCCTCCCCTGCTCGAAGAATGTTTTCCAGAGCGTTCAATGATACATTGATCACACGCGGATCTTGCGCATCTAAGAGCTTTACTAAAGGAGGAATGCAGCCTGAGAACCAGCATTCAAACAAAAGTTAGTCATCTCGCCAGTATTATACTAACCATCAGCAATGATCATACCTTGCAGTACTAAATAGTTAATTTGCTCTGCCGTGCCACCAGAAGTGGCATTCGAAATAGCCCATGCAGCTTCTTTTCGGACGTCAAACTCTAATGACATCAGCTGGAACAGTAGTAGCGGAACCATATTGGCATCGATCACTTCCTGGATCTGCCTGGGTGTACCGGCAGTGATGTTTGATATCGCCCAGCACGCTTCCTTGCGGATAAGCTTCTTTTCATGTTTGAGGAGTGATACAAAGCGCGGCAGCACTGCCAGGTCCAGCATCAGTTGTGTCTGCTGCTCGTTGCCTGTCACGATATTTCCAATGGTGCGCAAAGCCGGCATTTGAACGGATGTGAGCGTGTAATCCACCAGGTTGACAACTCGATTGCATACACCAGCATCAATAACAGCCTGTATAATCTCCGTCGTGCCGTCCGAGAGATATGACAACGTCCAGCACGCATCCGCAACAACTCCCTCGTCCGAGGAATGAATCAAATGCGGCAGAAACTTCAGTGCGGGGCTTACAAGAGCAAAATCTGGTCTGGGCTTACCCCGGCAAAAGTTTGATAAAGTCCACGTCGCGTTTCGTAAAATCGTAAGCTTCCCAGAAGACTTTCGCAATACTGCAAGCAATGGCATCATTGCACCCGCATTCAGTACCAAATCACGACAATGCGGTGAATCACCCGAGATATTTCCTAGTGCCCAGACTGCCTGTTCACAGACATCATCATTTGGAGAAAGCAGCAGTCCGCACAATAGCTCAACTGCACCACATGCGATCACCACTTCCGTGTGTTCCGTCGTACCAGAGGCAATATTCGTAAGTGCCCATGCGGCCTCAAACTGCATTTCTGGTTGATCATGCTGCTTTAAGAAATCCACAAGCAGTGGTACGACACCGAGATTAATCACTTCTTGAATAGGTGGATCATTTTCTACGCCCATACCGACAAAAATACAAACAACCCATATCGAAATAAACCACCATAAGACTCACATCCTTCCTTCTCTCTTTTCTAACACAAACATCAATAGAATCTCATACCAAGTGACAAAAGCCGTCGTAACTTGGACACTGCATTTGATCGTGCCATTGGGTCCAATGACTGAATCATCGCTGCAATTTTCGGTAAATCCGACACCTACAAGTGAAAAAAGACACATCGGTACCAATTCAAGTCATTCATTGTTTACACTTGTTCCTACAACAATAGTCATCAAAATTAGCAAGAGCGTACACTGACACCGTTAAGGGAGCGCATAGGTACGTCTGAATTCGTGCTGTTTGTCTCTATATTCATAGCATTATGATACTAATCACAATCACAATATTGTTAATACAGTTTCCAATACATTCACTAGTATCAAATGTATCGAATTGTTTGTACCGAAGGCATCATGCGTCTTCGTTGATTTAAACGCTCTTCACGTCGGTTTTTACGAATTTGAATGGTAATGTCTTCACGTTTTCTTCTTGTTGCATTCACGTCAATTCCTTTCTTATACTTACGCATACGATCAGTAAGACGAAATGTAGAGGATGAAGTGTTGGTTGTAGCCATTCTGTAATGCGCAATGCTGCTGTTGTACTCGTCGATCGTCTGTGTCTGCGCTTTCTTGGCGTAATTGTCGAGTCTTCCATTAACGTGGAACGTACTTATCAGATAATAGAGGTAGACCTGTTATTGTTTATATATTTAGTATGGTAGCTCACAATTTGACTCTGGATGAATTTAAAATAGCGTAAGCTGTAAGGAACGGTCTAAATAGATGAATGTTACAAATAAGGTCGATTGGAAGCGCGCTATCAGGTAAATTTACCATATTGAAGTTGAATAGTGCTTGATTTATTTGAACCGATTTCACGTTATTTATTATCACGACAAAAACGCTCGAGAAACGAAGCTTGTTGTACCGGACCGTGCCTCTAAACCATTTTTGTACTGTGTGCTTCTTTATGTGAATATCATGTACTCATGGAAATAACGATGCGATACTATTTTGCATCTGCATACATCGTTACAATATGAACAATATGCCTGCCATTACTTTGACACTATAATTATATTGGTCGATAAATAGAGTTCTACCAAGTTTTGCGTCACATACACATCAAATAAGGATATTTATTTTCAGGTGCTGTAATTTAAACCCCATTCTTGGCTCTTTTTTTCCAAAACCATCGGAAATATTGTTATTTTACATATATGAACATAAAGTGTCGAGTCTATAAATAAACGTTCCAAAAAACAAAATCCATGGATTGTAATGAAAAACCTCTCCTATGTCATCAAAAATGACAGCGACACGTACCTAAAATACAGTCACCCATCCAAAAACTCCGTTTTGGTCTCTTTTTTTAAATTTCAGTCGATTTGACCCAATTGACGTCATTTTTGTACCTAAATCCGCAAAACCTCTACCAACCAACCAAACTAGAGAGCTCTTCAAGCATCTCCATATCGATATTTGCCTCTCACCACCACCATCATCATCATGATGATGACTCAATTCCTGTCTCGACCTGGATTATACACCACATCGAAACACTTTTCACGTCTTTCAATGGCAGCAATGTTTAGCTCGAGCCACGAGACAAATCCCAATGTTTTCTTTGATATTTCAATCGATGGTAAATCCACTGGACGTCTTGTATTTGAATTACGTGCTGATGTGGTGCCCAAAACAGCAGAGAACTTTCGTCAATTGTGTACGGGTGAAGCAGGAATTGGTGAAGCAGGGAAACCACTGCACTATAAAGGCAGTAAATTCCACCGTATTATCCCCAACTTTATGTGCCAAGGTGGTGATTTTACACGTGGCAATGGTACGGGTGGTGAGTCCATCTATGGTGCAAATTTTCCAGATGAAAAGTTTGTACTCAAGCATGAAGGTGTGGGTATTTTATCCATGGCAAATGCAGGTCCAAATACAAATGGATCACAGTTTTTTCTCACGACTGTAGATTGTCCATGGTTAGATAAGGCACATGTTGTGTTTGGACATGTGACAGAAGGACATGATGTGCTAAAAGTCATGGAAGAGCAAGGAAGTCAATCAGGTGCTACGCGTGTTGATGTTGTGATTGAAGACTGTGGTGAGATTAACAAGTAAGATGTGAGATACAACAACAATGACGACGATGACAGCAATGACAATGTTGTTTTGCGGACATTGATAAAGTTGTTGGTCATGTCATGTCATGTCATGTCATTGGTCGTTGGTTGTTTGTATAAGATGAATGGAGATGGCGATTTCATGTCGAACATTGTGGTTGTATGAAGCGAATGACAATGAGCTGCAGATTTGGAGTAGAGAAGTCGAGGACTAGGAGAAGGCGAGGTCGAGGACTGTCATTTGTGCGGACGTGTTCACTAGAAATATCATTTCTTGGTCAGGTTTGTAGGTGTACTTGTCAAAACTGCATTGCTGCAGGCTAGCAACAAAGGCAGTTTGAAAACTTTGAAATGCAGTGGGGGTCGAAAGACCCTGTTTGTTCGACGAGGTGTGAGCTGTCAGTCTTTAAAGTCAGCTACTGTGAGTCACAGTACTGGTATTGCTATCGTCGATAAATGACATTATTCAGTCCGTTTGTAAAGTATTGTGGACAGGTCGTTTGGGTCGGATTGACGTTGTCATTTCAAACTTGATCGCCTCAAACCAATGAATGCAGCCACGCTGCGTATGATTAGGACTCAGATGTGTTTATGCACATATCGCACTGTATGTAGTGCCATCGTTGCACTGTATACAACGATGGCGCTTCATTCTGCACGACGAGAAAGCTCACAACCATGTAGTCTCTTTGCGTAGGTCTCATAACAAACAGCCACGGTTGTAAACGTCAACTACCCGATCGTCACGCTAGACCTTTCCACTCAAGACTCGTATATTATACCCACCGCGGTGGGATTTTAAATGATAGTGAGCTCTGGGTGCGACAGTAAGTCTTCACAGCAGCGCTTCCATGCGGCAACAGCGAATAGAGAGAAGTGCTAACCTCACTTGGTCGAAAGACCACTTAGATACTCTTCCAGCTCCTCAAAATCGTCTGCCCCAAAGTTCATAACATCATCAATACCGTCATCGGCCTTCGGTGATAATCCCTCAAGGCCCCCAAGCTCAGCATCCAGCAGCTTGAGTTGGGGGTCGATCTTGTCATCTGAAAGACTCGCCACGTCACTAGAGATCGATTGTAGGCCCAACTCTTTCTCCAGGTTCTTCATTTCGTCCAACTCCGCCGACAGGTCACTAAAGTCATCCGTTCCGCTCGTAGCTGTTGTGGTATGAACAGCCTTTTCTTCCAAATCGTCTCCATCGACGTCGGCAACAGCATTCATCATAGCCCCACTTGTTAAAGACTCGAGCTCACTCATAAGCTCCTTGTCCTTCTCCTCATTCCAACTCCCTTTGCGAGCAATACTTCCCTTCGGAACAGCATATTCGTTTGTGCCATTAATGCTGAAAGCCTTTTGCTTCTGAACTACCTCCTCCTTTTTCGCGGCCTCGGTCTCAGCTGCAGCCTTAGCCTTTGCTTCAGCTTCGGCGACGGCCTTAGCTTCTGCCTCAGCCTGTTTCTTTTGTAGTTGCTCTTCGCGCAGCTTTTGAAGTCGCTTCTTCCTATCTTCAATATCCTGCCAAAAGGTCTCATCACGATGAAGCATATTTTCATACGCTTGACGGTCTTCCTCATTCAACGAAACACCTTCACTTTTAGGAGTGCTGACGAGCTCGCCACCTGCAACAACGACGGAGAAAACCGAGTGACAATGAGCAAAATGGTACCAACAATCGTGTAGAAACCCTTACCGTCTGGGTCTGTCGTTGACATTTTTCTTTCAGTATCAACATCCGCAAAGATGAGATCAACAAAGAAATCTTGATTGAAGCGGGGATCATTGCAAGCACCATCCAACTGTGCCTTAGTCAATCTGAGATCATTGACACATTCAGTCAGTCAGACACCAAGCACCATAGCATACTTGCACAAGATATCGAAACGCTCAAAAGATACCTCAAAATGCCTTGCGGAATGTAACCGGTGTGAAATGCACCGCGGAACATCGAAATGCGTTCTCCGGCATCCGTCAAATGGCGACAGCGGATCAAAATATCTCCCTGGAGCATACAATTCACGTTGAACGAGACTGAACCATCACCTGTACTTGCCCACTGGATCCCCTGACCATCCTCCATGTCACGCCACGTCGTTGTAAATACAAGCTTTCCTCCCTTGAAAATCTGCAGATATGGGCAGCAGCCCTCTTTGATTGTTTCAACCATTTCGTCATCATTTGTCTTTTCTTCCTCTGCATCAACAGCAGCTAGCAATGTCTGGTCTTCGCCTTCTTCTCCACCCGTTTTCAACCTGTTGTCCGTGGACGTGTCTTTTGCCTGCTCCAGTACGCGTCGCTCGCCAAACACCGGAATAGTGTTAATGATCACACGGCGTAGCAGTAACGGCGATGACCGCGGCTTCACACCTCCCATTACGTTGTTAAAGTACTGAATGTATCTACATCACTCAAACAAGACAGCATGTCATGAGAAAGCAACATGCAACAGAAAAGTCCTACGATACTGCAACACAAATGTGTTTTCCCACTCACGTACCTGCGTTGCGATGGAATAGTGAGTTTTTCAACCGACGTTTTTCTCTTTTCAGCAATATACTCCAAGCTTTCCATCGCATTTGAAAACTGTCCTACCCATACTAAATAACAGGCAATCACAGTCCCTGTTCTTCCTTTTCCTGTTAAACAATGAATAGCAGCCAAGTTCTTTTCATCTGCCTGAAGCCAATTTTCAATTGACGAACAGATTTTAAACACTAGACCAAGTGGTGGTGCTGGATATCCTGGAAAATTAAATTCCAGCACTTGATTCTCAAAGTACGTATACTCATAAGTCTCTTCACTTAGATTCCAAATCATATAATGTCCATGATGTTTGCCATTGAGATACATTGCCACTAGATCAATTGGATTATCCTTGAGATACGTACGTGTTGTACCTAGATTCATACTAGGAAATCCCATTGCAATGAGATTTTCAGTAATGTACGAGAAATTCAATACTTGAAGATTCACTTCACCCGTTGATCGATCCAGTGCATAACTCAGTCGACGTTGTAGAGCATCCATATCAGCAACATCAAGAGCTTTACGTGCTTTCATTGCTCCTTCTTTAGCTGCAGTAGTTGCTACTTCATGTGCTTTTTTCATCAATCCCATCATACTTGCAGCAATAGACGAGACAGTGTCGGAAGCAAAAGGATCCGTAAAGACTGTCTTGAGGGTTGGGGGTTCTTCCGAGAAGAATACAAGATCATCATTCTCTGTCTTGTTTTCCTTCAAGAGTCGAGATGGATCTGAGTCGGCGTCGGGTAAATCTGATTCTTCCACAGGAAGAGAAGATGAAGAGTATGGATGGTCCGTCGTATCGGTAGTAGTCTTGGATGATGAAGGTATAATGTTAGGATTAGAAGTATTATTACTGCTAGTATAGGCCTCTAGACGCGTCGCTGCCGTCGGAAAATGTTCCGAGAGTTTCTTCAACATGGTCAGGTAGTTAGTTAGTTAGTTAGTTAGTTATCTGTCTCTCTATATGAATGTCTGTATGGCGATACAATCGATTTGTAAATTTTAGAATTGGAAATTCGAAAAAGAAGGGTAAAGAGACAAAGTTTTGAAAATTATGGGTACGAAAAAATAGGTACTTGGCAAGTTTACTTAGGTCGTTGTACCCATTTTAAATCGAAATCCCTCCATGTCGGATCCGCCATCTCTTCTTACTCAATGGTGGTGTGTCGATGATGATACACAACGAGGTCGTTTGCTTCGAGCAAACCGTTGTCTTCAAACAGGCGCGTGTATATTACGTGAACACGCCTATGGGAACGTTGTTTTATCCATACATCGGACTACACTCTGTGCTGTTTGTTTACGTCATGCGGATGCTGATGTTTGTTGTGATGAGTGTTGTTCCCAAGTTTTTTTCTGCAGTCAAACGTGTCAAGAAAGTCTCCAGGATGTACATCAGAGAGAGTGTAAAGCATTAGAAGATGTGGATTTAATGGCAAGAAAGACCCAGACACATGTGGATTTACTACGTCTTTTGATTCGAATCATGGCTGTTCGTTCACTTGACACGCGAGATGAGAAACAAGAGCTTTACACTGTGGATAATGATGATGGAGTTATACGTGCTAGTTATCGGAATGTAAAGGAATTAGTGCATGTACTTGACAAGACTCCTGAGAGTAGCTGGGTCAATCACGTACGTGCTGGTGCAAAAATGATGTTGGAAAGTCTTCCACTAGAATGTCACTTGTCAGTGGAAGAGATTGTTGTGCTTGCGGCGCAGATTAATGAGAACTCATACTCACTTGATGCATTAGATGACAACCATTTGGTTGCAGCCGTAGGACTGTTTCCAGTCTGTGGACTAATCAATCATAGCTGTCAACCAAACTGCACATGGTCAAATGCTGGAGATAGTATCTTGGAAGTAAGAGCACTGCGTGATATTGAAGAGGGAGAAGAACTGACATTGAGCTATATTGATATTGACGTCGAGCGCCATGAACGGCGTAAAGAGCTGCGAGATACAAAGCATTTTGATTGCTTCTGTGAACGATGCGCAGTGCCACTAAGTGAGTCGGTTGACCGATACTTAGAAGGCTTTTGTTGCCCCACTTGCCCTTCCACGGCTGCTGGAGAGAATGAACATCGACTCTTGTCTCAAGTTGAAGACAAATATGTGTGTCCAAACTGCCAGTTTAATGTTCCGGTAAGTGCCATCGCGGCAGCGATTGTGACGGCAAGAACAAAGCTTGCTAGTGCAAAACAGCATTTGAATCAATTTAGGTACACGGACGTTGTGGCCGAGCTTACGCAAGTTTGTCAGAACATTGACGTAAACGGGCAGACGATTCCTTTTCACCCCAGTCACGGTGTTGCAATTGCTGTGACACGTGTGCTATCAGACGCCCAGATCAAGCTGGGCAATCTTGTCGAAGCATACAAACTTCGTCGGCGGCTTCTAAAAGCTCTCGAGCTCGTGTCTTGGCGCTACCATCTGCCACTCGGGCTTGCTCATTTTGACTACGCAGAAGCCTTGCGTCGCATGCTGATGCACCCCACGCTTCCGATCCCTGACAACTTGCACCGTGATGAATTACTGCAAGAGATGCGAGCTTCGTACCAAGCCTTCAGCGACATTTGTGCTGTTTGTCTTGGCAAGCCTCATCCGTTGCGACACCGTGCTGTTGCCGGTCTAAAGTTCTGAGCTCTTACTTACTACGACCTTGGTGTTATAGGAATGTGTCTGAGCCAGAAGCATCGACTACGTCAGGATCACACGTTTTACAAATCTATGTAAGAAGATGGTAAGCTTTTCCGTAAGTAGCCGTAGACCAGCCAAGTCAATTTGCTAATGGAGCCAATACTAAATTACTCAAACGAGTCCTTGCGCCGGCGAAGATTTTCAAGAACGCTGACTGGGTCTGTTCCACCAACTGCATTGCGAATCGTTTCGTCATGCACCCGCAAAAAAGGGTTGTAAAGCATTTCTTCATGCAATGAGGACGGGACGCTCGGCAAGTTCTTTGCCCGACGAATACGAACAGCTGAGATCTTGTCGCGCAGTGCTTGATTGGATGGATCTACGCTAAGAGCAAAGCGTAGATTTGACATCGTATACTCATGACCGCAGTATACCTTAGTATCCCTCGGCAGCGTAGCAATCACTTCATACAGTGCTCTGTACATATCCTCAGCAGTTCCTTCAAAAAAGCGTCCACAGCCTCCAACAAACAGCGTGTCACCTGAAAACAGCAGCGGTGGCGTCTCAGCATCACCCGTGACAACGTACGCTACATGCGCCTTTGTATGACATGACACATTCAGCACTTGAACATTAGCTGCTCCAATCTTGAACGTATCACCTCCATTCACAGGGTAATTCCGTGCTGGAATCAGCTCTTGTTCCGGTCCAGCAATCATGACACCTGGATATTGTCTTGCTATGTCCTTATTACCTCCAGCATGATCTCTATTGATAATACATTCCCGCCCATGAACAACAGTCTCAATATTATAGTCTTCTTTACACTATCAAATCGATACAATCATACAACTTACACGTGTTTGTGCGTTGTCAAGACACCAAGAAACTCGCGCTTTCGTGTCATCTCCTCCTCCTTTACGACTGTCATAATCTTACAAGACTCAGCAGGATCTACTGCAAACATCGTGTGATTCGCTTGATCAATTACCACATAACCTACATCCAACCGAGCCAGCCCATTAGTAGCTCTCCCGTGATGACGTTTTATTACTGTCAGTATACCGTTACAATACCGTAATTATCGTTCAACATCGGTACAATGCGCACACAAAGACTTGGTTCAGTAAAGTACGACTTTGGTCTCCTAGGATCTCGAGTCGCTTTTGTGGTTTTCATTGATCCATTGCGTTGTGTAAATGTCCTACATAATCCACTAGACCTTCCAGACGACATTGTCATTGCTATCCGTATAGTCATTACACCTTTACGTAACATCCTAGCTAAGTCTTCTGGTAATGTATTGTTTGATGACCGTGGCTTGTGATTGGTTAAGAAATACGTGGGGTTTTATCGGTATACCTTTATCCTGCTAAAACCGGTACAATCGGTAGGTTGTTTCATGGAGACACAAACCCTCCTTCTCATCTCACTCGCTCACTCACTCACTATGGAGAGCTTTCGTCCAGAGTTTAGAGAGATACCTTGTCCATTAATTACAGTCGTAGGTTCGTGTGAATTACAAGACAAAGTGGTATCGTATCTTTGTACGATTAATGAAGAATATGTACCAAAGCTTCGATTTACGTTAGTACCGAGTGAATACCGTTTTCCCACGAAAAAACAAGTTCGTGAGAAATACGGAACGTTTCCAACTCAGATACAACGTGATTTTGAAGGGTATCAGATCACCGGTATATTAAAAACCCAATGGATGAAAAAACATCAATCGGTAATACCTGCAGTTATACTGGTATTTCATGAATATAACCCAATGTGGGAACTCGAACAGTGGCACGAGAAGGAGAAAAAACTATTACAACAAGTTCAAAAGCTTCAATGGATGGTATCAGGTGGGTTTTTTACGACGAGTAAAAGAGTCTTGGTGTTTTTTTGGGTTTTGTGTTTGTTATTTTTTATTTGTTTAACGTCATGAAATGATTGTAACTCTTTTGCTACAGCTAGAGAATGTCATGTGCTAATCATTTTATTACAACAAGTTCCCACGACGACAAACATGACGTTAAAAATGCATGTTACGGACGATCGAGTACCAAGTTTGAGGAAAAAGCTAGAGACGGATGAAGAGACAAAGACAATAGTAGTCCATCTTGTAACGTCAATGGATCTTGTACGCGAAAACTCGAGTGTTTTGATGAAAGTAGAAGCAGAAATACGGAGAATGGCACGTGAGTACTACAAGGCTCAATTGAAACGAGTGAAGCGATATATGAAGACACTTGCAAAAGCACCAGGATATGAAGTTTGGCATGCGAGATTAAATTTTAAAATGGCTCATTACAACGAGTTTCGACGGTATACGACCAAAATACTGCAGTATTATGAAGCTTCCTATGGTGCACTTATCTCACTGCCATTGCATGAGAATGAAGCTGTAAATGGGATTGCGTATACTCAAGTTCTAACCATGGCAGAGATTGTGAATTTTAAATTGTGTTATCACTTGATTTTCTCGGCTCATAATGTCAAGGGAGCCGTAGATCAACTGCAACGGCATATGGATGTTTATGGACGTACGATGATTGCGGTAGATCGAGCTTATGAACACTGGGATTGGGTATCTCGCCAGTATCATGTCTTTGCTCAATTATTACTTAAGGCGACTTCTATTCAAGGCTTACTTCCTGATACGGGGCTTGACTCGAACGTGTATAAAGAACCATATTTATATTTCTCCATTGCTGCAAAGTACGCTATGTTCCGAAGGAAAGCAGCTATGAAACTTGGTCTTACAACTGCTACCACGGTGTCTACTGTTACAGCTAGTGGTGAAACCTTACCGGAACGCGATTTTGTAGTAGTGCCTTCCATATATGTGGGCGGTGATCCAGTAGTTTCCGAGGCCAGTGCTACATTGCAGGGTCCGTCAGTGGCAGCTCTTGTGAAGTATCGCCATGCTGTGGAAAGGGCTGTTCCTCATGCGAAGCGGTCTATTCTTCTTTTAGAGCATGCAATACATCACCTAACGGTTTATGTGGCTGACCAAAACGCACCGCGAAGTCGATTGAAATGTCGGCTGCTGGTGCATTTGGGAACAGAACGACTTGCATTGGGTGAGTGTGATCGCGCTTGTGCTGAATTGGAGAACGCGAAAGCGACGTTTAGTATTGAAAATTGCTGGGCACAAACCGCTCAGATTTTGAAGCAGCTGCTTAGATGCACCTTTCGCCAGGGCCATACTGCTGCCTACTTGGATTATTCACTGCAGTTATTATCTCCTGTTGTAGAAAAGTTTGTGTTATTGAAAGAGCGTGGGCGTATTCAGGACTACTTTCTAACAGCGTGGAGGAATCCAGCAGCTTTAGGCTCACAATTTACCGAAAACTCTGCGCTCACGAATGGGTATGAATTAGCACTTGATCGTTCTCGCCAGGTGTTTGCGTTAACAGCTCGATTTGATCGCGCCTTTGCTTGTGTAAAGGAGGATGTAACATTGGAGCTGAAATTGCAATCCCATTTTCCGTCGTTACTTGTGATGTCACAAATCGAATTGGTGTTCAATGACGAGCGATACCGCACCGTGATCTATCATCGAGATGAAGACACATCCGGATCGCTGACTTACGATAACGGAATCTTTTTCACTTCGCTGGAGTTTAGTCACAAATCGATTAAGGAAGTTCGTGTTCCGTTACGTGTACTGGACGGTCGACAAGTGCTATCCATCCAGGAAGTGCGATTTTATTTAGGTGGTGAAAGCGGCGGCGGTAAGATGGAGAGCGTTGATGTAGATGATAAGCGGCCACTGGAAAAGTGTTTGGTTCTTAGCCTGCTGGTCGAACGAACCTCTGTAGAGCAACGAGAGATGCCGCAACCGTACCTGATCAATGGCCGTGTTCCTGCTATGGGTAATGGCTCTGCATCTCCCAGCTTTTCCAGAAGAAAGTCAATGTTTTCACTCGTTGAGGGATCTCGGTCTGCTAATGCTGATGTGAGTGAATCCATTCAAGAGGATGGTACTTTCCATCTTCGAGGTTCATCATTGATCATTTTGCAGCCTCGCGCAAAGGCGACTCTGTCTATGCTTTCCCATGAGCCACTCTTGACGGGAGATTTTCGTGAACTTGCTTTTCAGTTGGCAGCCAATGAAGACAGTTTGGAAGATGTAACGTTTCGAATTGTGTGCGAACCTCCACCGACATCCTTTGCTTCCAGTGATGCATTCTTTTTCACTGAGCAGTCTGGTGTTTTGACTCCAGTGCTATTGAATGCGAATCTACAACCGCAAGACGTAATGTCACTTCCGGATAAGAGCCCACAAACCGAAGAAACTTTCCACATTATCGTCCGTTCGCCCAGAGCAACTCCTGTGACGTTGATCGTATCAGTGGCATACACGACAAAGACTGGGGTGACTGTACGCTTTAATGAACGGTTTAATTTGGTATGTCATGATCCGTTTGCGATTCAAGGAAGTTTCATTCACGATTTCCTTAGTGGAGGCGGTGTGCCCGGTGCTGCTCAAATGGCTAAAGGTTCTTACGGTTGTGTGGGGAGCTTGGTTAACTACCAAGGCAGTATTACATGCACATCAGGTGAAGCACTACGTGTGCTTGCATTGGAGTTTGAACCACGCGAGACGAAAATGGTCGAAGACTTGGTCACTTGGGGATTTGAATCATCTTTGATGGATTTGAACTGCAGCAACAATGAAGACGTGTGTACGACTTTGAATGATGGTGATACCCGATGTTTCTGTCTCCGATTGGTTCCAAAAGTAGCATCACCGTTTGTAACACTTGGTCGTGTGAAAATTATCTGGCGTCGGATGTCGTCATCACTTGGCCGTGTTTCAACAAGTTCTTGCCACGAGATTGTAAACACGTGGCTAGAACTCCCCTTGGTGTCATTTGTCAGTGCTCCTCTAACGTTTAGTGTCAAGACACCACCATTTGGTGTTGAAGGGATCGTTGGTTACATGGACATTTGGATCAAAAACAATGAAGCTGTGTCTCATAGTTTTCGAATCAAACCAGTGGATACCGATGGAACGTATTTGATCTCAGGTCGTATGAATGCTACGGAAGATTTATTTCCATTTGATGAACAGGTTTTTCGCTTGGGTTTAGTACCCATGAAGACAGGTATGACCGTCTCAAAGTTCTTGCCCCTCTCTCTCTCTCTCTCTCTCTTTGGACCCTAACTATTGCTAACGATTCGACTGATATGTCTTGTGTGGAATTGTCTTGTGTATTGTATGGATATCTATATTATATAGGTTATCTACGTTTACCATGTTTAGAGATTATGTCATTGACATATAATCTCCCTCTTACGAATTTAGATGAACGTCAGGAATTGTTTGTCTTGCCTCGGGAATATCCGGATTGGTTTTCAACCAACGAAATACTGACAACTAAACATACATTGATCAAAAGGAAGATATTTTGTGCTGACTTGAGCTAGATAAAATCAAGATTTTATTTGGTCTTTTGTTTCTTTATTGTTGTTTTTTCGATAAAATGTCAATTTTGACGACAGAAAAACTCGTTATTTTTTTATCTGTCTCTAAACTGCTTTTTCCTATTTGAAAATTCTCCATTTCGTCACCTTCTAACTCATCCCACTGTATGCAAATGTTGTCTTTTCTCTTGACAAACAAACATAAGGTGATGAAGATTTGCTCTAATCCGTTAGAAATAGTACCGACATTCCCAACGTGCGATTCGACGAAATTTAAAAAACCCACAACTGGTAACGGGTATTTTTAGGAGCTCAATCCCCCAAAATAAAGCAGACGGGGAAGGTCGATTCTTTTATTCAAGTGCTGCGTGACGCGACTCTTAGTCTTCTTGATCAACTACCTACCTACGCTCTCGTCATCTATATGAGTTTGTGGTGTTGGTGTTTGTCACGAAAACGTGATAATCTACAGAAACGAATGCTTTTTCAAGAACAAGTTGAACGGATAAAGGTTGTCTATCCTGGTACGAGTTACGTTTGTTTATTAGATGGTGAGAATGGGGATATCATGTACGTTGTGTCTAAACGTGAATTTGGGTTCTTTTACAAACGTTGGATCATTTGCATGATTTTAAACATTCTTTTAGACACAGATAGAGAAAATAGGGACGAAAGTTAACGTCGTATTTGACTCTTTTTTTTTTTTGACTCTTTATTTAGTGCACAATCCGAGACAACTGAAGTCAATACAGATGAATTTACACGCACAATCATTAATTTGAAGGATGCAGCACTGCAATTTGGTATGTAGTTATTTATTATTGAACAAATGAAGAAATGAAAACAATAATGGGTACAAACAATGAAAAAAAAAACAAGAAACTGATGTATTAATTGTTGGTGTGATCTCTCGATGATTTATCTTAGCGGCGACATTAAACCAGATTGATCCACAAGTTGTCCATGTTAGAGGAGTACAGGGAATGTTTTCCTGCTATGGATCTGCTCATATGGTGCGTAAACTCTTTTTTTTTGTTTCTAGCATTGTAGATTGACTGACTGATGAATTTATTTGGTGTTGAAAGTATAGATATTGGCCTTTTATAGTGAAATACCAAGTGTAGACTTGGAATTATTTGATTGTTTTGAAGCAGACAAGAATATTGAGCCCATAACAGGAGAACTACATCGACTTTTGGATGCTAATCAAAGTGGAAAACGTCGGTATTAACCCTAGGACCAGTTTTTTTGGAGACTTTATGAGTAAAAGAGAGGAGAGAGAGGAGAGGTTGAGAGGTCTTGAGGTCGAGAGGTCTGTCTGTTGTTTGTCTGTAGCAGTCGAGTTCAATTGATAATGCTCAGATTGAGATAAAAAGTGTGACGATTTCATGTGACGGCAGTAGCAGATGAGATACTGTTGTGATTCTCAAGATGATAGAACGAACCATTTACTGACTTTAGCACAGGATAAAACAAGGTCGGGACATCAGGACATGGTCGAAAAAGACACAAGTGTGAATATATTTAAGTGGAAAAGCCCTAGTGTGTTTCCAATGTACATGCATGCACTTGTCGTTCTTAATCCCATGGATCAACACCAAGTTGCTACATATTATTTGCACCTGAATTGGTTCTTGATCCTTGTCGTATCCGTTTAAAATCGTTCATTCATTCTACTAGCTACATTACGCATCTTGTTGTACACCTTGCCTGGTGGTGCACCCATAATAAGCGAGCAGATTGCATCACGTGCTAGCTTAATATTCGAGAATGAACCAAGAATATGAATCTTCTGGTCAGCTAGTACAATACGCGTACGTGTTGCATTCTCCACAGCGTACTTGGTCTTACCATCCTGTCCAGCTACACGACCAATCGCACGACTCAAGTGATCACCCTTGAGCATCTTGACATCATTTACCTCAAATGTATCAATAAACAAATCTTCTAGACGTAATAAAGCTACGGCATCCTGTACTTCAAATCCCATCATATACGCCTGTACAAAATCAGCAGCCTTTTGTAATGCACCAGCATCGGTCGTATGCAATGAGTTCTTGAGCTCAATACACCGTGTCTTGGTATTCATACGAATCTGTAGTTTTAAATACTCGACAATGGGCTTCATGATATTCGTCCAGTCATTTTTCAATGGCGTATAACGATGAGCAGGCACACGCACGCGACGAAAATCATTCTTGCCTCCTGATTGTTGCTGGGCACTCAAGGCTGGAAAATTCGGACGTACGGGACGATTCTCTTCATCTTCAACATCCATTTGTTCAGTATTTTCTTGCGTCTGCTGTGTGATGAGCTGTGCATTGATGATCATGTCCTGACCGGCCATTGAGTCCACTTCCATGATAACTGACTGCAGCGATGAGAAGCACACGAACAGCAGCAAGTTTCGTAGCTTTTCAAAATGACTGGAGTCGGTCAATTCGACTCTGTGATTGGATAATAACCAACCGCTTATGAGAAACCAAAAATATCGGTACAAAACGGTTTTACTGACGTCCATCGAAATGGCTTCACTTGAGCCGTAGGCAGAGGAGCTATATTGATCGTAGATGAAGGAGCTATATTGATCGTAACTTGTATAGAAGTATTCGTCGTGAAGCATATGAAAGGCTGCTTATTCATCCTTCAGCTGCAGTTGATTGCGAGAGACGAGAATGAGACAGATTAAAGGCGTCCAACCACCCAACCACAATACAAGAGCCCACAACGGTCTGCAAACACAAAATCACAATACCAACTCATGAGTGTCAACAACAAACAGTTGGAGCGACACACTCTAATTCGTAGCTTACCTGTATAGAATCCAATTAGCTCCAACAACCGTAAACGTGAGCGCAATACTCATACTGCTTCCCAATAGATGCTGTTGAATGCCAGCTAGAAGAGACCCAAAGCGTTCGATAAGCGGACGGCGCAACACTATGAAGCCCATGAAGCCCAGCACACCTGCAAATAGTCGAAAGAACCAGTTTTTGCGCACCTACAGAAAGCGAAACATCAATAGGTTTGGAAACAAACCCACACATACCCTATATATACAGCACACCTCTGTGTGCGTTTTCTTGTCAAAAAGCTCATTGGCAGTCATTATTCCGTCCTCCAACAAATAAATCGCTTCACCAGTCGAGCTTTTGAGCGGCACCACGTCTTTTCCTTTTTGCAGACCACACACTGTTACTGGATAATTGGGTGTGACCTCAAAATGTACACGTTGATCCCCTAAAACAGGCTCTCCATCTCGAAAGTAGAAAAAATCATCTTGAACCGAGATATTAGTCAGTGCACTGTCTTGCTCCCACGCTGTTCCTATTCTTTGCTCGAGCAAATGAGCCATCACTCGTCGATTTGATGCATCCAAATGCACAACATCTCGACGTTGAATCTGATCAACTAGTTCATCGGCCAGCTTGAAATCCCCTACCACAAGGTCGTTCGCTTTGATCACCGCTGACATGTACTTCCAAGCTTCGGGCGGTGGATTTGTGTAGCCCAGCTCATTGAATCCAATACTATCAATTGGCTTATCTTTCCATCTCAAGTCGTACATATAGATCCTCTCTCGTTCATCACTAAATCGTTGGTCCTCGTCCTCGCGTGTACTGCTCATGGAAGTATGTGACGTTTCAACCCATTGCAACATTTCGACCTGACGATCAAGTCTCACACCTTTCGTTGCAATTCCAAATACTGGATCCAGTACAAATGGACTCTGTCGAACTTGTACATTGTCTGTCTCCTTTTCTTGATCATTCCATTGATTCTTATCGATAAACGCTCCTGTAGTCGTGATTAAACCTGAAAACAGGATCAATTGACCCTCTGTACTCGCTGAATAATGCGGTTCTGACAAAGACATAACCACGGATCTTGCCTCTTCATATTGCTTAATCTTTCCTACCAATGCAGACTCATATACACACGTTGTAGCCACAGAAATCACTAACAACAAGCTTCCAAGTACCACTTCCTTTGTCTTCATGATGTTTTCTCCATAATGATCAGCTACGACATCTACGATTGGTTCAAACTAAACACCAAGTATTAACCAATCAAAACGTCGTAATAACAACACCTCGACACCTTTTTATTCATTCATGAGACGAGTATCAGGAAGTACGAGGACGCCATGCAAGTTCTTTATGCAGGGAACATGTCGCAATGGCAACAATTGTCGTTTTGTACATGAAACAAATGGAAATCAACGTGTTACTACCTTTCACTCGCAGTCTCCATTCAGCAACCATGGAAAGACTTTCGCAACTACAGAGAAGATCCCAATGACGGAATCTAGTCGAAAACTAGCACTTGAAGAGCTACACCATCCACCTTTATGGCCTCTTTCTGGATTTGCGATTGCCAAAGGTGTACGTTGTATACGCACTGTTGCTGTCGTGTTTTGTCTTGTCTTGATTGTTTTTCATGCTCTTTTCAACTTGTTTGTAGTTGCCAAGTCTTGTCATGGGTGATGTGAGTTGTGAAGAAAGTAGATGGGAAGCGTATCAGGAAAAAAAGATCACGGGAAACTGTATTCAATCAATACAAAAGTTTCAAGCACTGGCAGCAGAGCAGCAGAATCAGCGACAACGTGTTGTCGCGCTGCTTGAGAATCGCGAGTCGGCACAAAAGTTGTTTAATGGAGAAATGTGTTTTGAAGCAAAAAGTGTTGGAGCAGCTAATCCGTTTGGAGGAGGAGGAAAGACTGCTGATACTCGGTTTGGAGGAACAGCAGCTCCGTTCGGTGGACCGACCACAGCGGGGAATCCGTTCGGTAATGCTGGTGGTGGTGGTGCTACTCTTTCATCGTCACTGGGGTTTGGAACCCCTTCTACTTCAGCTGCTAATCCCTTTACTGGAGGAACTAATAGCACACTGTTTGGAGGAGCTGCTGCTAACCCGTTTGGAGGTGGTAGTTCAACAACGACTTTTCAAACACCGTCAGGAGTGGGAACGGGAGGTAGCGCAGGAGTCTTTGGAAATGCTGCTGCTCCATCTTCGCCATCTCCATTCGGTAATCCAGTGACACCTGCAGCAAATTTGTTTGGAACACCTTCTGTATCTGGTTTTGAAGCATCGTCAACATCTCAGTTTGGTGGAGCAGTCTCGGCCACAGCTTCGCCGTTCGGAAATGGAACTTTGGCACCTACCGCTTTTAGCAACGGTGTCACTGGTTGCGGGTTGGTTAGAATCGGTGGGGATGCTGCAAAACCGGCATCTTCGCCTTTTGTCAGTGGGACAGCAACACCGTCGTCTTCACCGTTTGGGGTGCCCTCGGTCACTCCACCTTTTAATGGTATCTCGGAAGCAACATCGATTTCGAACACTTTTGGTAACACCGCGTCTTCTAACAATGCTACAACGTTTGGCGAGTCTTCATCAGGATTTGGTTCACCATTCGGCAACATTACAGGGGCCACAAATCCATTTACAGCGTCTGCGTCGTCCAGCACAACCACTCCATCCTCATTCGTGACATCATCACGTAGTCCGTTCGATGCCTCGACAGCTCCGACAAGCGCCCCTAGTGTAGCAGGCGTATCATCGGTGTCAACCACGACTGCTCCACTGGCGGCCCCAATTAGTAGTCCTTCCCCTGATGCTCGCGACGACAACTGGAACACGGAGCAATTCCGCCAACCGCAGTTTTCGTTAGGTATGGTACCCACCGTACCACCTCCACCACAATTTTGCTAGACTAGAGAGCACAAGAACGATGCACATGAATAAAAAACTGGTCGAGTGCTTTGCCGCACGACTAATCTATATAAATAACGGTAAACATGACGATGATACTATGCGTGCTTCCATGCCACCTAGTATCGATCCAACTTGCTGAACGAGCCCGTGATGCGTGCCTTCTTCTTCATCACTTGGCCAACGCCAGCATCCACAAAGTTTTTGCCGCGGAGTGCACAAAGAGGCACGTCGGCCGTGTTACCATGAGCGCTATTAAGCTGCACCAGTAGCTTGTAAACGGCATTCTTTTGAGCCAGTGTTGCTCGTCCCACCAATCTCGGACTCTCCGCATATAAAAACAGTGGCTGAGTAGTTACTATCGCTGAGCGAGAATTGCAGTTGAATCGCTGTAGTAACTCAAATGGCACAACCTTTCCATCCCTGAACTTTGCCATAAGGGTTGCCGTCGGAGTCGTCATGAAAAAGCCTAGCAACAAGCCGTCGTGCTGCATGATAAACATGAACCGGCACTCAAAAACGCTGTCTTCAAACGCATTAATGCCGGCACACTTGACACGAACTCGTGAAGCATTAGAACGTGCAGTAGAACTCAATGCGATGGCCCACTGCTGGCACATAGAGCTGTTCCAAAGTTTGATATTGACATCCACCTTTCGTCCAAAAAATGATGTTACCCGCGATTTTCCACTTGTACTTGGTCGTGACGATACAGTGTCTAGAGGTTCCAATGGATGTGTTGTAATCGGAGACGACGTCATTGCATCTCGATCACGTGTCTCTAATGGTGGACAGCAAATAAGCTGTTGCAGCACGTAGAATTCAATACGAATCGATACTTGTTTGCACAATAGCGCTAGCTTGTAAAGTAAACTCTGCGTCATTTTACTTCTAGGCATGTAGTCAAAAAAGAGAAATTGTAACGGACCAGAATGGAAACCAAAGGCAAGCAATGCATACACAAAGTACACGACAATAATACACAACGACATTGTATAATACGCTGTACCATGGAAGGCATAGTCAATCTACAACAACAGTCAGCATCATCAACAGTCAGCATCCTGCTCCTCCTCCTCAGCAGCAGCAAATAACAACGTACCAATCGAATCTTGAGCCAACAATAGAAAAATCCAATCCACATACGTTGTGATGGTGATAAGAAATACACCGGACAACCACGGATACAATGTTGTGCAATACGATAGCCTAAAAATGTTGCTAATGACTCGGCAAGTACAAAATACGAGGAAAAAAGACGTGAATCTAATTCCATGGAATAAATGACATTATCAGGTGGTCCATAGGAATGTGGCCATTCTAATAGTGCAGGTCCAGAGAAACCAAAACTTGGACCACGACGAGAGAGTGGCATTTTTTTTTATGTGATAGAGAGATGGATGGAGAGAAGAATCAATCCAAAATAATGTACGAACGACCGTCTTGTTGTGCAAAGAGGAGGATCAATGGATGATAGATAAATGGACAGATGGACGAATAGCTACTGGTAGTACTAGTAGTAGTAGTAGTAGTACTAGTAGTAGTAGTCAGTCTGAATAATATTCGATAATGGGAATAAAGAACAGCTCGTCGTTTTTGTGTTCCCTTGTTCTGTTTCACTCGCCTTTTTTATAGACGTAGCAAGTAGGCGTTTCTAAAACCCAATGTGAGTGCGGTAGTACTTATTTAGTATGTACATACTGTTGTTATTATATGAGCCTGTAATAGGTACTAGTTCTTATACTTTGAAAAACATGCCACATTGGTTTGGTAGTGGGTAGGAATAATCGAGGTTATAAAAAGGCAGGACGTTATGTATAGACTTTTGACGAATCATATTCGGTTTCGTTGTGCTTCAGATTCCTCATTTGGAATGTGGTACAATCTTTGAACGACCTTAGCCAGCGATATTGTTTTTGTTTTACGGTCGTCACAGACTGGAGAAGTCCTTTCGTATTTTGGGTACATTATAATTGGATAGAAAAGAACAGTATCAAATAAGTAGTGGATTAATTGTCAGAGTGTTCATATCAATTGGAGCATATAGTAAGAAAGTATGCACATTTCAGACTAGATGAAGTTCATGTTGGCAAGCATTAGTAAGCGGCTTTTTCAACCTGTATAAGATAATAGGATACCAGACGGAGAACGGCTGCACAAGCTGTCTCGACAATGAATTGCTTACATAGTAGCTGAATATGCAATAGTCTTATCTCTATAAGTTGATCCCTTGACCTTTCGTTGAAGCTTTTTTTATTGTAGCTACCTGCTGAAAACTGTCATGTTAATGAATGGCTGAGTGCTTATGTATCCATTCGTATATATCCACTCCTAGTCGTTGTAGGAAGCAAGAGGAAGCTGAAACGAGATGACGAAAGAGATTGCAGCACTAAAATGTACAATATTGTATTAGTTGAGCAATCTAGCATAGGAAAAGAGTCTATACTAAACTACAAATGTGGCAGGAGTGAGCTAAACAAGTAGCCATTGATTGATTACTGATCCAATCATGGAGGATTAGCAGCAACTTGCAAAATCATATGTTGCTTGTACCATATTTTACGTGATGCCCTAAATTCAAGAAAAGATCCATATTATTACCCAAATGATACATCGTTATTACCCATTTCACCATGACAAACTCGGACGTGCGTTGCGTCGTCTTTGGACGAGATGGAGACGTCGATCTGGCTCAAGTGTTGACGTTCTTACGTGGATTTAGTGTTCTTTATGGCTCTGGCCTTGCACTGTATACTAAGATTGGTGTAAATACTGCGGAAATGGACGCACTGGCCGCACACGAGGTCCAAACAAACCCAATCCAAGTGAATCAAAAACAGGAACAGCATGAGCTCTTTGCTCGTATCTCAATGGACCAGAAAGAGTTTATTGTATATGGAAAGACAGCACTATTACAATGGATGAAGCAACATCTTTTTGAGTCTCGATACTCGTCTCCAAGCTCCTGTTTCGTGACCCAATACCAAGAGCCGCCATTGCGTATCTTTATCAGTGGTAATCGAGCTCAAGTGGGCAAATCTACAGTGTGTATGGGACTACTAGGTGCATTACTACGTAATGAGTACAGACCAAGTGAGATTGCATACATTAAACCAGCTACACAGTGCGAGAAACCACAGCTCGTAGCCAAGTTTTGTCGTCAGCAGGGTATCACGTGTTGTGATGTAGGACCTATTTTGTTTTATAAAGGCTTTACGCGAGAGTTTCTTAAAGGTGAAACAGAGACGTCAATGGAGTTGTTGGAAAAAGCTAAACAGAAGGTGGAACAAGTGGGGGAGACGAAAGAAGGTTGTGGTAGTGGATGGAGTGGGATATCCAGCGGTTGGAGCGATCTGTGGTGTGTCAAATGCTCAGATTGCAAAAAAATAGAGGCACCGGTGGTGCTGGTCGGTACAAAGGGTGTGGGTGATGCAGTGGACTTGTTTTCGTTGAATGCAACGTACTTTGAAAGCCATGGTGTGAAGGTGCTAGGTGGCATTTTTAATCGACTGCCCCATGAGGGGTATTATAGTCTGGAGAACTGCAAAGAGAACGTGACGGCGTATTTTGAGCAGTTTCAGCCCGAAAAGCGCGCCTATGGATTTATTCCTGAGCTGACAGACGGTGGGCATAGCGCACTGGCTGCTGAAAAGGACGAGAACCCAAAGGAGTCTACGACTGGCGTGTTTCTCACTGCGGCTGAGGACGAACTGGTTACAAACGTCGTAGATGAATTTGTTCGGCGTGTTAATTTGGCACAGTTGCTTGTGGACGTAGAAGCAGCTCAAAAAGGAGACAAGCATAAACTTGCAAGTTCGACTGAACCTGATGCCCCGAAGCTCACACCGCAGACAACGAAGCCGAAGTGTGCACGCAAGTTTGAGATCCCAACTTCGTTTGAGACTGTCGAGCATCCCTCTTTGGATACCGTTGTGGTTCCAACGTCTCTAAACACAGTCGACCTCCCATCGTCGACAGATACAGCCGCTCTTTCTTCGTCGTTCGATCAATCCCTTTGAACGAAAAAATGTATGTGGGAATCTTAGTACAACAAGAAGACGAAATCCGTCGCCTTAAGACTCCTGGATATTGCGGAAACGCGTTGCAGAAGTAATTGGATGACTTGGATGGCAATAAAAGCTCCGTGTTTTGCTGTCTTCCCTTGCAAGTCTACTGATCCTTGATGTTTCGTCTTCAGGCGACGACGACAACGATGTGATTCTTGCCACACTATCACAAGAGTATGAATGAATGACAAGTTTTCGAAAAGATAAAGACGCTCAATTGTGATGAAGAGAAGACAAAAGCATGATCCGCTGTAGTTAATTCATCAGCTCAACACACTTTCATTCCTTGACAACAAATGTCCAGCACGAAGCGATGTCTCAATGAAGATGTTAGCACAGCATCTCGACTTGTCCAGCTACAACTTGTATTTGTATTCAACTGATGCTTCTAGTCACCCTCGGACCCGCAAAGTGCAGGTACATATAGCTGCATACATTACTTCAAGCGGCTACAGTGTGTGGTCCTAATTTCCACTCATTTTTACATGTACGATTTCATGTGGACTACATTCATTCAGTACAGCCCCCGGTGTTAAATTTTGGGTCTTCTGGACTCATTTTCCGCCTGTCTAAAAAGTATTGTTTCTATACTTTAAGACCTATTTTGTCATCCCCCCCTCTCTATACTGACCTTCAAAGACCCTACTTGTAATACCGAGGGTCTTATTTTGCTGTCTCTTTGACGAAAATCTCTGGCCCAAATGCCTGCAACTGCGTCTAAGTCTTCACTTGTGACTCGCACTCGAGTCGATCATGCGTCGTCCCTTAATGCATCCCCTGGACGCCCGTTTCGCGTAGGAAGTGACGGTCTGCCCCTTCTTCCTTGCCACAATGCTCCTGTACGTGTTATCTCTACCTCCGAGCCGATATTACCTGCCGTTGCGCAGTTTGGCCACGTTGACCGCGCAGAAGACGTGCGCAAGCAGTTTGAAGCATTTTACAGTCGTACAAAGCAGCTCGAGCACATGAGTGAAATGACACTACGTATTGATACAGAGCTAGAGATCTTACGACGCAGTTGCTTTGCAGAGCGCAATGCCCAATGGCAGAACGTTGCACCGGATCAGTTTGAGTTCCAACCCGTGCCTAGCGACGTTTGGACGCTACAACCACCGAATGATAAGTTAGTACTGCGCAAGATGAAGATGGAAGGCGTGTTAGACGGTAGTGGCAAGGAATTTTACCCGCCAGACAAGACACGTCATCAGGAGACGGACGTTGCGGAGTTTGTACGCGACCGACCATGGCCGCCTCGAGAATTTGCATTGAAACCATTAGTAAAAGCTTCAAGAGGAAGAGGCGGTAAACGAAAAGCTACTCCAATGGGTGCAGTGCTCGATCCAGTTCCATTGCTGGCGAAAATGTGCCGAGAATGTAAGACACAGTCGACGCCGTTGTGGCGTACACAGACAAGAACGATTAAAGTGAAGAAAATGATGACGGATGTTGGTGTGAACTTGACGAATGCTTTTGGAGTGCAGAGTGTGACCAAGACTATACCACAGACGACGGGAGGAAAGATGCAAGAGGTGGAGGAGGAGATAGAAGTGGATTTATGTCTTCAGTGCTATTTAAGACTGGAGCGAGCAGATCTTTTCGATAAGAAAAGTGTTGAAAAGATGAAAGGAGAACGCCGTAAGAAGGATCAAGCAGCTTCGGCAGCGGTGCAGGAGAAAAAGAGGCTGAAGCAGCAGATTTACTTACTCAAAAAACAGCAAAAGCAGGAGACAAAAGCTGCACAACAAATGATGGATAATGATCAAGTGACAGCGAACGTACCAGAAGATGTTGCAGATTCTGCTGCAGTGATTCTTAAGTTTACGAGGAAGGAGATTGAAGCTGCTACGGGGACAGCTAAAGAGAAGAAGAAAGTCCGGAAGCATAGTCGCAAAGATAAAAAGAAGAAGAAGAAAAACCGTCGTAAGCGTGAACAGATGGAAGACTCGGAGAGCGATAGTCCGACCACATTTCCATCACCTGCGCAGATGAATGGATATGTATACGCCGATCGAGCCTTAGATTCGTACGCATCTCCTCACGTTTCAGCGCGTGAGGTTAATCAAGCAGACCCAATTCGACAGAAGGCAGTGATAGTTGAAACAGAGCCGGAAGTAGTCGATGACGGTCTGTATGATTTACCGAAGGAAGAGCCATCAACAGCTGCAAGATCGTCGTCTCGGAAGCGAAAGAGTGTACAACGTACGGAGCCAGTCCTATCGGTTGAATTACCTGTATCTACTTTGAAGAAGCGCAAGACGTCATTATCTCGGACATCAAGGCCAAACCGTGCAGTTACAAGTACGGCAGTACTTGCTACCGCTGTTACACCATCGGCATCTTCTATAAAAAAGCGCTCTCGTACAAAGAAGGAATTGGCACATGAACGAGAACTGCGTGCTCGTGGTCAATATTGTCCAGTATGCAATGAAGTTTACGAAGACGATGATCAAAATACATTTGTGTGCTGCGATTCGTGTGAACTCTGGGTCCACGGTGCCTGTGATCCAAGTCTTACTCAGTACGTAATGATTGGTGTTGTGCATCTCTTTACTCATTGTCATTTTTGTCGTACCAGATATTAATAGTTTTTCTATTCTATGCTGCTTTTTTGTAGAGAGATTATTGCAACCATGGCGAACAGTGAAGAGAAATATATTTGCCCATTATGCAATGGAAGGTGAATAAAAGTTTGTATCAAAATGATTTGGTGATGGCGTTAAGGATCAAGAAAATAGGAATCAAGACACACACACACATGGATGAATGGAAGGGTTTTACCTTGTTTGGCATCAAACGGGCTACTATTATAATAGACAGACAGACAGACACTGACCACTATATAAGCTATTAGGTAGCAGTTAAAAACATGGTCAGTATGGTAATTTTTGTTATTCTTAGGTTACATACCTTAATTATATACTGAAAATTCCAGTATTGGTTACACTATAACCCTTCGTGACTCACCCCCACCACTCATAGACGACGTCGCTTGTATTGAGATCGCCCATGTTTACTCGTCCTTGGCTCCACTGCTTCTCTACGGTCACACGTCGCAAAGGTACGTCTTGTATCTGTCTACTCTTACATCTCTAGACTATCATCACGTTATGACCTGTACCCTTTTAATACGTTTTGTTCTAGAATATCCAAGGTCTTTTTTCTCGCATTTACGGACACAGAAGCTCAATGTGTTTAACATTGGCGTTGCATTCTTAACACTCTCGTTATCATTGCAGATGGTATCCTATAAACAACAATATGAGTCAATACAGGCAGAGAAAGCACAATTGAATGAAAAGATTGACATGCTGGAGAAAGTAGTACAAGAATTAGGAGGTGTCTTACCAAATGATGAAGAAATACTGGTCCAAGCAAAGCAAGTTGAAGCTCCAGTGGTACGTGATCGTGAGGATGAAAAAGCAAGAAATTTAGTCACAACTGGAAAATGACAAGAGAAAGAACAAGGGGAAGCTTCTTTAGGTGCCAAATATGAGAGTGTCGGTCAATATATAGAAGACAGACAAGTGTCGACTACGGAAGCTCATGTATCAATGATCAACATATTGATTCAAACAATGGAAGACCTCGTTGGAAAAAAAACTGTCTCGTGTCTCTGATACTTCTACGACACGTCCGACCTCTCTCCTCTCTTTGTGTTTATTTCTTGAGGCTTGATTGCAGGGATCGTTTGGATGAAATCGCATCCCTACGGTTCATTTCATTCACAGCTGTCAGGACTTCATTAATATTGGTTTCAAGTACCATTCCCCCCCATGACAATCTCATCCAGCGCATAATGAACTTTATCACTATGAAAAATCAAATCCAATTCGCATACGTTTTCAAAGATCTTATCCAGTGTTTCTACAAACACTACCAAAATCATCACGATGAGCATCAGCATCAGAAGAAAGAAGAAGAAGAAGAAGAAGAAGAGAAGTCCACTGCACAAGAATGTTCTCGACATTTCAATCAACTTTCATGATCGGACAAAGGACGGTCGCTCTACCTTGTATCAAATCCAAGATTCCCAAGTCACTTTCTTGCTGATCCACTGCAAAGACAAAGTATAGAGTTGCATAATGTCGATAAATGAGCTTCACCCCACTACCCCAATACCGGACGCTAGATCACCATCAACAAACATATCGTGAATTCAATCGCCATCCATCGTATATATACATACAGGAGTATACAAAGTACAAGTCAATTTCGTGAGTCGCAAACGTACGTGCCCTCTAGGAAATTACAAAGTGTATCCGGACGTTTTGACACTTGTGTGTAAATATCTTGAATTACAGCCTGTTGTTCTGCATCAGGCTATGGAGAGAATTATAGTAGACACGATACATAACATGAGTAAATGAGACATATACAAGAGAGAGAGAGAGAGTTGGATAGAATGTACATACCACATGCTCATAGAACTTGACAATACGTGGTTTACCATGATTATTGACAATGAGAATTCCCTTAATCATATTGATTTTGTCGGATCAAAACGACTGGGAGATAGCGATGTTTTTCTTTTTATTTGGTTCCAATTGGATAAAATCCACCGTTTCAAAATAACTAGTGTAATAATAAAGATGCGATATTTCTGCTTCGACTTTTTTCATCATGACACAAGCTTCTAGTACTGCTGTCCATTGTTCTACTACGTTGCATCGATCTAATATTCATAGTATTGAGATACAAGAACAAACCAATCATTCTCAATTGAATAATCGACAAGTTGAAGCTAGGGGTGTGGACGATATTGAGCGAGAGGAAGAAGAGGATGAGGAAGAAGAAGATGACTCGGATGATGAAGAAGAAGAAGAAGAAGAAGAAGAGACTCAAATTCCCATTGAAGATCAGCTGACAGAGGAATTCTTATCGACCGATCAAGATTCAAGCCTAAGTGTCCTTTCAAGACGCTCTTCACCCATGTCACCACCACTTCCAATGGCTGAAGCATTAGCAGGCTCCCCGACAAGCGCAAACATGTCACCATTTGCAGATATTGAGTCCACGCCACAATCGAATGAGGAGGAAGATTCAAGATCGGAAACATCATCGGAATTAAGTCTTGGCTCGGGTGGTTATTCCATGAGACGACGAGGAACAAGAAAACGACGTGTGATAACGGCGTATTCGGACCATCGGGATTTGTCGGAAAGACTCAAGAAAGCAGTTGTATATGACAGCGAAGAATGCTTTGGGGAGTCCATGATTGGAGCAGATGTAGTCTTGTGTGTTAGAAGTCGTGAAACTCGTCGACAAGATGATCAAGTGGGTAATACTGGAAGCAATGGAACCAAAACAGAAAATGTTGGTCGGAGACTTTATGCACATCGATTCATCTTGGCTGCAAGTTCACCGCCATTCCGTGCGATGCTTACTGGAAATATGCGTGAATCATCGCGACGAGACGTGGAACTACATGATATTGAACCAACTATTGTGGAAAAGATGCTGATTTTTATGTATACGGGAGATGTTGTGCTCGATCTTGAAAGTGTGCTGGGGTTGCTCATTGCTGCAGAAATGTATGAACTGATAGCACTACGAGAAACGTGCAAAGGGTTTGTGCTCAAGTACGCACATGAAGTATTCTGCGACCCTCAGATCGTTCAACTACCAGAAAAGATATTGCTAGAACTTATACCCCAGGACGAATTACAGATTCGAGAACTGGCGCTAATGGAAGCTCTTGTGATGTGGGGCGAGTCTCGTGTCGCCAACTCCGACAAGCCGTTGGGAGTTTTATTGGAAGGCATGATGGAGTTTGTGCGCTTTCCAACCATGAGCGTCAGTGACTTATACGGCAAAGTTCGTCCGTTGGTAAACGATGGGGTAATTCGTGAACATCTTCTCACGGAAGCTCTCTTTAATCATCTTAAATGGGGATCACAAACTGGTGTTTCCGCAAAGCGTGCCAAGCCACGTGCACTCGCGGCCTCGCTGCGCAAGCGGAAGCGTGTGTCGTTCACCCAGCATGTCACTTTTGAGACAGCAACGCAAGGCATTGAAGCTGAAGAGTAGTCGACTTCTTGTGGCTCCGTATACGAAAAACGTGTGGTCTGCTAAAGGAGCAAGCAGTGTTATTATAATTTTGAACTAGGCTTACCTAGCAAAAGAACGCGACGTGCATTCTTTCTTTCCACCTGTTCTTTTGTCGCCACTGCTTTGACCGTAAACCGCGTGCTCCAAATACAAGCACACGGAGCTGTGCTTAGCCATCGGCAACCATACGATACCAAGCACGTATACATCGCACAGTTTGATTACACTGCCGGAGCGCGATATTCACAGAATTTTGCAACATTCATCGAACAAGTCTTGTACAAAGTGAGTGGCTTTACGGTGACATACTCACTTACGAAAATGAGGCGCACGTGCCAAAAATTAGTCATACTCGTTCATGCTCATGCTCGCTTCGGTCGAGTATTCGCCTTGCAACACGTCCAGAAAAGAGCTTGAAATCTGCCAAGTCAGACACTCAAAAGTAATAAGACCCAACGCATTCGCCACAACAAGCAACTTTGTAAACTTACATTGAACGTCCTTGCATTTGCAAAGAATCGGTCGAGGTCGTTATCGGTCTGATGTAGCAAAGGTGTTAGTAACTAGCTTGTATATAGTGGCTGAAATAAAAGCACTACCTTGTGTCGATAGAACCACGTGACCTCGGATAAGTAAGTAAAAATTGCCTCGGATGTTGACTTGCGCAACAATGGAGCCTGTTCGTAACAGCCAAAAACACTTGATTAGGAGGTAGAAACTTGACGAGTTACACACTTTGCATGCTATTGATCCTCCTTACCTCAATGGTACTGAAGATAGCTAAACAAGTCTGGAAAAATACTTGCCAACCAAACTCAAAGAACAATTCTAGAAAAGCGATCACATAGCGGTGAGGGAATATCTTACACTCGGTGAACAATGTCAGAATCCATCTGTAGTTAGCAAACATACAGTTAGATGATGGTGCACATCTAAAAATAATGAAGACATGTCTTATGAAACCAAAGAGCTTACGAAGATGCATAGGTCGACGGATGAATATCATGGTCTGACAGATGGGCATGCAGACGTGGTAGGTGCAGTCTTAGTGCTTCATCAAGCTGAAAATAGCGAAGGTTCATATCTTTCATGTCAGGGCCATAGACATCATCCAGTCTGTACTTTTCCGTTAAGGCCAGAAACAATCGAAACGCAATCTCGCCACTCATCTTGGACTCTTGGACGAGTACGGCTGCCATTGACGTCATACCCTGTGAGCAACCGAAATATAAGCATACATGTATATAGTAGCATACAAAACAAACCATTACTAAGTCCATACAATGTTCACATTGTCAATTCATGCAGCAAGTACGACTCAATACCTGGCAGTATCCAATTTGAGGTTTCAGCAACAAGAAAATACTCAGTAGTTGATGTGATCTGGATTTCCACGTCATGAATTCAGTCGGTAAAGACTGTGACTTGAGTAAAAAATAATTAGATCGTTTCGAGCTCATAATTCGTGTCTGTAGCTGCTCAAACGTCCGATCAACATCCTACAACCAACAAAAACCAGCACGAGCATTTGAATTGTCATGAGTTTGTAGTCTCTTTCTCTCTCTTCAATATTGTCAATTGAGTCTCAAGTTGACATCCATCTGACCCGATCAAGAGCTCGTTTTTGTTCCAAATCTGTCCCTGATCCTTGATAGAATTGTCTTGATACTTGATGTACAAGTGATTGATATTCTTCTCCTTTCAAGTCTGTTGGCACGATAAAAGCTTGACGTTTACGTACAAGATAGAGCCACTTTTCACCATGACAAGTAAATGGCAGCATCTTGAAACGCCATAAGAAATGTCGAAAGGAAAAAGAAAGTGGTTGTGTCCTACGACCTTGAGGCTGACAGCTTTTACATAGAACATGAGGTTCCATGCCACAGGAACAATACAAACAGACAAGCAGATGACAAAACTGTAGCCATATGCCGAAATATAACAATAGAACAAACAGTGAGTATTACACGTTTGAATTTCACACATTTTGTCGACGAAAATTGACAACAACAACAACAAATTATAATAATCAAGTCGTAAACATTAAAACACGAACACTACAGGGATGAACAGGTCGGAAACGATGACAAATGACTTGACAACAGGAGCATGATATTGCCTTTGTTACGTCAGCATCCGATGCTGCTGCTGCTGCTGAGGTTGTCATTTTTATTATTATTGCGTGTGCGAGTCGCAAATATTCATTTAAATTTCCAGATATTTTTCGCAATTTTTCGGCATTTGCAAACCTCTAGTAAAGCATATTGACTGCCTTCTTATTTTGTTATGGTCCTATATGTACCCATTATTGTTGATCTCTTTAGTATCAATTTCTGCAATAATGTCTTGACCCTCAGCTTCAGCTTCTTCAGCATCATCAGCTTCTGTAACCATTCCTGTTTTCCATAATTGTCGACCTATCAATATCAATACGTTAGTATCAATACATTAGACAAGATGACGATAGTATTGTTATTGGTAAAATCTTATTCACATGTTCCATCGACTGTACCTGTAAGTTTTGCAGTGGCCTCATCCTTGAGCGATGTTTTCGTTGTGCCTTGCATCTCTGCATCAAACTTTGCTTTCCACGCAGCAAATGTCTCGACCGTGACTGGTGTACCTGTAAAATATCATCAAACCAAATAGAAAGATGATTAGTAGACTTGTTTGTGTTGTTATTACATCAAATGAACAAAAGCTTTACCGTGAACTTCACGTTTCTCTTCTTTATTTGCGTGTTCCTGTATTCATCAGACGCGCATCACACACATTCGTAATGTTACCCACTGAAGCATATATCATCAAGAGACTTTTTTTTGACCTGATCTTGTTTGTCTGCTTCCACCTTATCATCTTTCTTCTTTTTCTGCTCCATACGACGTAGCATCTCTTGATGCTCTGATCCATCCTAGTCATGTATACCAATGTAAATGCCAAGATTTAGTATAAAACATCGAGCGCTTCAACGGCTCAACGTCAACGTCACGTACATTTCCCTCACGGTTGTTCTCCACTAAATAATCTCGCACGGTTTCGGATAGTGTATACATCATGGCCATCCCCATATTTTCCTCAATCTGCTTGTCCAGTATCTGCTTAATCTCCTTCACGTGCCTGTCTGCCAGACCTTTCTTCACGACAACCTCAAGCTTTCAATCAAGAAAAGACAAAGCCCACAACAACAATTAGTATTCAAGTATAGCATTATCTGTAAGCAGTAGCAGCAACAAAAACAAAAGCACAAACATTCGGCTCGACGTCTGGATACGTCTCTGGAATTTCAGCCTTGAGAAGTAATTCCACTGCACTCCACCATTGTCACACACCACATCAGACTACATTTTTAGCAACATCTTGTCCTACTTGCAGCCACAAGCGACTGTAGCAGCTGCTGAACGCACCAAAGTTATCCTCGCCATCCTGATTCGGCACCACGTGCACTTGGTAACTCAATGGGTCGTCCGATAGCTCTATTGACACATTAACAACATGGTAATTATTGGTATATATCCAATCTATAAGTATAATGTAATTATTGATACCGAGAAACTGCTTACGTACTGATAAAGTCATCCATATAAATGGCTTCAAGAGCCTCCGCCTCCATGGCCTGTTCTTCCTTGTAATCTGTTCAAAATCAATCATATTACAATATAATTACCATGATTCTGTACGTTTCAATCTTGTGCACACACATAATAGGGTATCTAATGCTGTCTAGCTTCATAATGAGTCAAATATCGACCATTAGCACGTTGTCTCTCAATTCGTACCAGTCATCTTGTTAGCTCTGAGTGATGACGCTAAAGTGTCTCCTTCCAGCACATGATTGGTCAAATACAATTGTTTTGAAGACTGATGATTCGTTAAAATTGTTGCCATTCTTGTTTTATTTTGTCAAAGATTGCAATAATGAACGAAGACTACAAGCTGGCAAAGGAGGCGTTTGTGAGTAACCTCCAGGGTACCAGCGCACGCGAAGTTTTTCTTGTTTTTGCTATCTCTCCAGTAAGTAGTGTACTGAAATTGATATAGCGGTGAAATGGTACTAAATGACTGAGAATTCAAACCAGGAGACACTAAAACACATGACGTTGTGACCTTTTATTATCAGGGAAGTCTATGGCTCTACTCGGAGCTTATGCTGTTGCTGGAAGTCGTGGGCATACGAAATGTTGATGATGATAATATGGTGAGCGTATATGGATGATGGTAGCGAATGCGGGCGCTTCTAACATGGCCGATGCATGATTTACATGTGTGTAGAACTTGATGGCGACCATCTTGCTCGAGTTTCTCGTGACCGTCGTGCCCATGATGATCTGTTTTTGTTTCACGCAGTATACAGCACCTCTTCTTGTGATGCTATATAGTATAGCAGCAATTTTCAGTGCGTTGTCATGGTTTCATGCCAAGGAGTATATCCACAAACACTGCAGAAAGGAAAAGATGAACCAGCTACTTGTGAAGGAACTGCCATTCCTGACCAACTTTCGTGCTCAAATCATGCTTTCTACGTAAGATATAAACAGTGATGTGCATCTATTGGATATGACGTGACTCTTTTTTTGTAATTTACGAACGATGTTGACAATGCAGGTGCTTTGCGATCCTGGCCGTTGACTTCACAATTTTCCCTCGTCGCTTTGCTAAGACGGAAAACTATGGTTTCAGTGTTGTAAGCAATGGGTTGCTTGATGTTATGGGCAGTTCAACGTTATCAGCAGCTTATGGGAGTACTGTGATTGCTGCTTAGATGGATATCGGAGTAGGAGCATTTATCGTTTCATCGGCGATTGTATCAGTACCAGCTCGTCAAGCTTATAAAGCAATCACGACAAGGTACGCCATGAGATACTTACCGAATGGCTATGCAGCTCTCAACATTGACACATCTTGGTGGTTAGAGCAGATTTCGCTCCGAACACAAGTCCGCACAATCTTTGATGATGAAGTGCTACATATTTCTTCGGCCAATTACGCTTGTCCTTGTTTTCGGACTAGCAAGGTTTCTGACTGTCAAAGGTGTCAATTACCAGGTATGACAGTGAGACGACAATCTCTTGTGCTGCCGGCTGATCGTATCTGTATTAATTAGGAGCATGTGTCGGAGTACGGAGTGCACTGGAACTTTTATTTTACCCTCGCGGGTGTGTACTTGGTGTATAATTTCCTTCGAGCTTTTGGCAAATGGGCAACAAGCCCCGTCATGGCTCTTTTGATCGCTTTTGGTACGTCTACGCGCTCACATTGTCGAGTTGTGATGACATGCGTCTTTTGAACTGATCGTTATGGTCCAATGCTACTTTGACAGGCTACCAAGTGTATTTATCACAGTACGGTGGTGAAGACTACATTCTAAATGCACCGCGGGATAATTTGATGAGCCAGAATCGTGAAGGAACTCTTACTCTGGCTGGTACGTCACTTTGTGTTGAAACAGCACCATCCAACAGCACTCACTTTGTATGCTGTGCTACGACTTTTTTTGCTAGGTTATACTTCGCTCTACATGCTTTCCGTCTATGCAGGTCAAAACATTTTCAGCTACATCAATGTCAACGGACCGAAAGCTCAGCGCAAGATAAGGTGGCTCACCGCCACACTGCTTGCTGTCAGTATGATGTTATGGCTATCAACGTATGTGTCCGTTCGACTAGTTGCACGCCCATCACGTCGTATGGTAAGTACTTGCTATTTTCCAGCCATCTGCTCAACGATAAAGTTCCGGTATCTCACGCTTGTTCTGTAGCTGAATCTGTCGTATCTTTTGTGGGTCATGGCTGAATCTGTGTTCCTGGTAGCAATCTACTGTGTCATTCAAACTGTCTGGTACGTGTGTAACTGAGTCACTCCATCTTTACCACAGCAGAGCAGCTAGAAACCCCGACTGATTGATTGTATGTGCTGCAAACAGTATGCTGCCGAGAGTTCCGTTATTGTTTCAGGGCATTAACCACAACCAGCTCTTTATCTTCCTTGTGGTAACTTGCTTGTTACATCGGTCTCGTAAGCTCTCGTATCATCCATTTCTTAACTCAACTAATCGTTACTTCCTACTGTGAGCAGGCAAATCTAATAACGGGTGGTGTAAACTTAAGCATGCATACTATCAATGCAACTCCTGCACGAGCCTCTATGGTGCTACTACTTTACATGTTGATCATTTGCATTCTCGCTACTGTGCTTGAGTACGCGCATATCCGGATAAAGCTCTGATGTAGCCATGTGACGGAGAGTCTGTCATTTGACTGACCAGGTGTTTGGAACCCACTAAAATGCCTACAATTCTTAATTAGGTCTTTCTTTGTTCATTTCGAAACCTTTTAGCAATATGGCGTCCAAGCAAATGACGTCGTGTGTTCATAGCAAATGACACGTCATCAATGCGCATAATATGGTATCATTTCTAACAGTACGTACGAACTCAGGACGTCATAGTCGTCATCGATAAAAAAGGCTACATTCTCTTAACCATTCGTTTGGCTACAAATAAAACTGTCTTATGTGATGCTTATGTGACTACATAGACTTTATATCCTGTCAAAGTCATTAATTGTATCGTCCATATCTCTGTGGTATTTGCTTCTAAACCTAATGACCTATATAAATTGGTACAATCATACCTATTCAGCTTATAACTCATCTGTTACAGATCGTAACAAAGATGACATCACAATTCAATTCAATTCCCGCCAACGAAATCATTGTACCCTTTGTTCAGTAGTTATTAGTATTTAGTACTAGTATATAGTACTGGTATTTCGACTGACACACACACAAAAACTGTTATTATGGCTCCCATTGAGACCATAAGCACGAATGGTAGATTGATATATATATATATATACTATAACTCTATCTCTATCATTCCTATGAATATCGTATTGCTAATAGCTTGATTAAAATGAATTCTCTATCTTTTCTTCTTGTAGAAGGAATGTACCAGCGCAAGAGCGCTACAACCGTTACAGCTGATACATTCACATCTTCGTACACGTGGCAGGATGTAGCCAAACATAATACGGCCAAGAGTGCGTGGGTCATTGTTCGTGGTGTTGTCTACGATGTGACTGGTAAGAAAGTCGTTACAACAAGAAGAAGAAACCTTGTAGGGCATTACTAAACTACCCGTGATTACTAACTGATAGACGCTGTTTGTTGCACCACTTAGAATGGGTCGATCGACACCCCGGAGGTCGCGAACTTGTGCTATTACATTCCGGTCGAGAGTGCACGGACACGTTCAACTCGTACCATCCCTTCTCTAATCGTGCAAACGTAATTCTGGCCAAGTACGCGATTGGTAAGCTTGTTGGTGGTTCAGAATTCCCCACGTACAAGCCGGACACAGGTTTCTATAAGGAATGCTGTGACCGTGTACACCAGTACTTTCAGGACAGCAAGCTAGACTCACGGAACCCGTACTCGGGCCTGTGGCGCATGTTTGTGGTGGCAACTGTTGGTGCGATTGCCTACATGGGCATGAACCAGCTACTCTCGGACAATATCTATGCCCACTACGCATGGGGCGCTGTGTTTGGAGTGTGCCAGGCACTGTCGCTGCTGCACGTCATGCATGATGCGTCACACGCTGCCATCACGAACAGTCCAACGGGCTGGTGTCTGATTGGACGTTTTGTTATGGACTGGGTTGCCGGTGCAAACATGGTGTCGTGGCTGAACCAGCACGTGGTAGGTCACCATACCTACACAAACGTCCCTGGTGCTGACCCAGACCTTCCTGTGAACTTCAAAAGTGATGTGCGGCGCGTTGTGCATCGCCAGGTGTTGCTACCCATGTACAAGTTCCAGCACATTTACCTGCCGCCGCTCTATGGCGTACTCGGTCTTAGGTTCCGTGTACAGGATATTTTTGATACGTTTATCGCGCTTAAAAACGGACCACAGCGCGTGAATCCGCATTCAACTGGCGACTGGGTGGAGCTGATTCTGTCCAAGGCGTTTTGGGCGTTCTACCGCATTTACGTCCCTTTGGTCTTGCTACAGGTGGACGCTGCTCGTTTCTGGAGTGTATTTTTCCTGGCGGAGTTTGTGACGGGCTGGTACCTATCCCTGAACTTTCAAGTAAGCCATGTATCCACGGCATGCGGGTATCCGGGTGATGAGAACGAAGGAGTCACAGCCATTAACGACGAGTGGGCGATCTCGCAAATTAAGTCGACGGTGGATTATGCGCACGGGTCGCCTTTGACGACCTTTCTCTGTGGTGCGCTCAATTACCAGACGGCACACCACCTTTTCCCGGGCGTCTCGCAATATCACTACCCGAAAATCGCGCCGATCATTATCGATGTGTGCAAGAAGTATAACGTCAAGTACACAGTGTTACCCACGTTTACGGAAGCTCTGGCTGGCCATTTGAATCACCTCATGGTTATGGGTAAGATGGGTAAGCCCGTAGCTGTTCACATGGGTTGAGTAAAGTCTGTCAGTATGGCCGTCATTTCGCTGCAGACAAAGAGCTTGGACAGAATTTACCATTTGAAAACTGAATCAATCTGTTGATTAGCTGGAAATGTACTTGAACTAATGATTCAATTGCAAACCGGCACTCGAATTCTCTCCTTGCAAGCATCCTTGTCGTTATATATCGAGACAACCTGACAGATAGATAGCTCGACAGACAGACAGACCTGTTGCTTGAATCTCTTGTCAGAGTAACAGTGTGGAACAATGCGTTGAATCATGTCGAAATTTGTATTTAATGATACAGTTTCCTCGTGTGAACAAAGAAAAAGCTGTTCGTGTTAAAGAACATCCAGTTGCTACCACACGTTTTGTCTTGCTGTAAACTGAATATTGTGCCAACCACTCGTAAATCCAAAACTTCCGTCGTCCCGTCTGATTAACCTTACCAATGAAGCCTCAACTAGTGGATATTGATGTCGCGCGAGAAGAAACTGCCCAGCATTGAAGTGATTTCTTGTCTCGTTTTTGTTCCATACTGATCCGACTGCAGCTGAACATAAATTAAACACTGTCTCAAAGGACCATAGACGAGATGAGAGGGATTCACGGTCCAAAGCAGTCTCCATCTTTCCACGTCCTAGGCACATTAGAAGAAAGAGAGAGCTAAGATGGTCTGTATCATCTCAGCAAGAACAAGACTGTTTTACCCATTCCTACTGCTATCAGTTACTCGACATGTTGCTCAAGGTCATTCGTGGATTGACTGCTTGGACACAGATCGCTCGAAAATTTACGACCAAAGTGCCTCGTACATTTTTGGCGGCGCAAGTGGATGTGGATTCTGCGCAGGTTACGGAGAAGGTTATCCGGGTCGTGGTGATCCTGATATTGGCACGAAATACACTTACAAAATGTTGAAAAATGAAGTTGAAGCTGGTGCTCCTGTTGGTAAAGCTGTCGACCCTAACTCTTATACGGATTGGCGCAAGCGTCTAGTAGTTTGCCCAGGACAAATAGCTTACTATTCATATCTGCCCAATGGCCACATTGTTAAAGACAAGAAGGCTTTAGGAACTCAGCATGGTATCTACTGGACTGGTCAGGTTGGTACGTCACTTACTTCGACGCACGAGATGACCCCGGAGCATTTGTTGGGCGAACACACGCTGGACTTTGATGATGGCAATTGCGGCGAGACGTTCGACAACAAAGGCAATCGAAGTTCTCGTGCAGGTGATGGCAAGCCGTGTATCGGGTCATTTGTCGTCCCAGAAGGCACAGCTCCAGGTATCTACAATCTAGTGTGGTTTTGGAAGTTTTGGCTAGACGATGTGAACGCGTACAAGGACCACGACATGGCATTGGGATACTTTGGCGCAGCGTACTCAACCCGTATCCAAATTGAAGTAACGTCGGGAGGTAGTGGTTGTCCGCACGCAGTACCTCCAGCAGCCCCTCCAGCAGTAATTCCAGCAGGAGCTCCGGCCTCTCCAGCAGCCCCTCCAGCAACCCCTCCTGCAGTACCTGCTGCAGCCCCTCTAGCAGGAGCTGTAGTCCATCCAGCCGTTACTGTTGGAAACGCTGTCGCTGGTGAAGCAGACCCGTTGTTGCTTGTGCCTCATCCCGATACTACGCCGCCTTCAACGTCGCTAATGGTTGCATTTTCGGCTCCGATGGAAACGGTTCAAGCCTCTGAAAACATGATGCCTTCCCCTTCAGCCGACATTCATGGAGGAGCTTCGAGTTCAGAGATGCCAGCTCCGCCAGGACGAGTATCTCTGGGTAAGCGTTGTCGTCGGCGCATGCGTTCGTGAAACATTGTGTGGTGATGATTATTGGTGAAAGAAGTCACTCGTGAAATCTACAGACGTCTTGTAATTCTCAAGTAGCTTTCGTGTTGGTATGTGCAAGAAGTAATGCGTTTTGAATAGTATTGGACCAGATACGGTACAAATGTGATGAAAAAGTCTTAAACCAAAGCTGTCAATGTCAAGCAACATGAAAGTGTAGTAGTTGTTTTGTACTTGAATGTCTAAGGACGCGTCTCAACATTGAAGCAAAGTCATTCTTTCATGGCAACGTAACGTGCATCTGATCTAAAGTTATGCACGCAGTCTATGGCATGCCAAATGAAGCAATGGTTGATGAATATGTGCTAGCCGAGCCCAGCCCAGCCCGTAAACAATATGCAACACAGCCCATCATTTGAGCAGCAAGAAAGGCTTTCCACAAAATTGTTGGAGTACCCAATCGGAGAAAGTGCCGATCCGACCAGCTTGTCCCGTCATTGAAGAGCTTTCTTTCCGCTCTGAGTCCTTCTCTGGGCGGTTCCTCCACGCCAGAACACTAGTTTGCTATGCAACCAAGTAATTGATACAACGCCACTCCCCAAATCCTCAAGTTCTAGTAATATCGAGCTCTTGTACTACGACAAGTTTCGTATCAGGGCAATGGTCTTCATTATGGCCGCTACAATAGCGTGGTTGATACCTTTTCTACTTTCAATCGTATCGGACGCACACACTTGGATTGACTGCATTGACACGGACAGGTCCAAAGTTTATGATCAGAGTGCATTGTACATCTTTGGTGGAATAGATGGTAACGGACTCTGTCAAGGGTATGGAGCAGGGTACCCAGGTCGCGGGAATGGCGATATTGGTCTGCAATACACGTACAAAATGCTAAGGAATGATGTGCAAGCTGGTACACCCGTGTGTAAGAACGTTGGTAGCAACACGTACTCGGACTGGCGGAAGCGAATATCGCTCGCCCCAGGTCAGACGGCGTACTTTGGGTACTTGCCGAATGGCCACATTGTCAAGGACAAGAAAGCTGTTGGCACACAGCATGGAGTCTACTGGACAGGACACGTAGGGACATCACTGTCGTCAACATTAGACATGGTACCAGGAAATTTGCTGAATGGACACACAATGAACTATGACGATGGCAACTGCGGCGAGACGGTCGACAGAAACGGCATCCCGTCCAACCGCGCCGGTGACGGCAAGCCTTGCATCGGTACATTCACCATTCCAGCAGGCACTGCTCCGGGCATTTATAACATGGTGTGGTACTGGACGTTTTGGCTTGACAATGAGGCTGCCTACGTTGACCATAAACAAGCAAAGGGATACTTTGGCGCAGCGTACTCGACGTGCTTTGAAGTAGAGGTCATCCCTGCTGGAGGCGTTGCTGCACAGACTACGCCAGCACCTGCAACGACACCAGCAACTGCAGTGACACCAGCACCAGCCCCAGGTCATGTCATCCCGGCTCCGGTAGATCAGATCAACGCCCTACCTGCTCCTCTTATGGTGGGAGCTGCAGCCCCAAATTTGACGTCAGCGTCGTCCACAATGACCTTTGGTCATGGGACCGTTGTACCTGGACCAGCGGCGAACAGCGATGGCAAAAATCTTCTGCCCTCGAAAGACAGCTCAGAAGACGCCACGACCGTGCACCCGGCAAAACAAAGCTCTTCAGAATTTAGCAATGTCTCATCTTCGGCGGATTCTGGCTCTGGTGTTGGGAGGGTTGGTCAAGTCGGGCAAGAGAAGCGCGCGACGCCATCGACGGCGGCCTCTCCAGCTACTGCATCCAAAACCACGCAAAGTAGTGCCGCTAACTACATCAAGGCAAGCGAAGGAAGGCTTGTTCTGGGCGTTGCATTGCTAATGGGAGCTTTGGTATAGTTTAGCCTCAGGCAATTAACTACCTTGATGATCCATCAAAACGTTGTCAATGCCAAGACTTGTCTGTCTGAATTGCAGCTTGGTCGTTGTAGCTTTACATGTCGATAGAGCGTTTTCTGGGCCAAGAAATACCGATGCTGTAATAGCGTTTTAGAATTCAACATGCATTTAGAAACTTTCGACCGTTTCCACCACCGCAAGAACAAAATCCGAGCTGACAGCTAGCTCGGTTTCAGCATTCACCAACTCAATCAATAGCCGTCATCATTGACGTCTTCTCTTTCTCTCAAGTCACATCAAATACGTCGTGACAAGTACATGATCCATGTACAGCTCTCATTAGCAGACACAAAGTCGCAAACCTCTTGTAAGTAGTTGGGACAGTATCCAGTAGTACGACAAGTACAATAATGCACAGTCTGCCTTATTGGCACGTCCACCTCGTTGTTTTCTTCGTCAATTCCTGGTTACAGTCCCTCACGGAATCCATGATATCCACTAGACTTGCTTCCGTCACCTCAAGTCTGGACAAGCTATGTCCCAGCCTGACCACTCCTGTTGAGCTTTTTTGTCCTTGACAAGATGACGACGCAAAGTAAAAAGCGTTCCGTCCTACCGTAACTAACACCCGAATGCGCCCGTCCAAATGCGGCGTAACATTACATCGCCCACCGACAGGATTATCCCATCATTCAATACCATGTATGTAAAATGTCCGCGGTTATAACTTTGACATCACCACGATCAGGGGCAAAAATTTTCTTCTCGTTCACAAAAAAGCCGTTTGTCATCGTCACTGCCCAAGATTGACATGCATAGTATCTTGGAAATTGATCCTTGTCAAAGTATTCAATCTTAGTGCTGTATCTGGATAAACGGTAGCGTTATGAATAGGAAGAAGATGGAACGGACGTAAGTCTCTATTGTATCATCATCATCATCATCTTTATTCACTCAGATGACAACACGACAACAAGAAAACAGCTGGTAGTCAACCGTTTTATGCCTAGATGCGACTAGAAGAACAGTCAAGTCGTTGTATTACGTCATCAGCCTTTACCGTTGCCAAGTAGACATTTCTACCGGTATTTACGATATTACATTAGGTACGGCACGTTCAAACAACAAAAAGAAGAAGTTGTCACTCTGAAACTTTCTAGTTAAAAGGTTCATAGGTCCCATGGAGCGACAAAACCGTCGTTCTTCCATGTCTGTACATTGTTTGAACCACCGTAGTTCCAGTAGTAGTAGTCTTAGTGTTTCAGCCTGCAGTATCAGCAGTACAGTGAATCAAATCTATCCAGCACCTTGTACGCAACCATTGTCTTACAGTGCTGATCAATCGTGCGAAGACTACGAGGTTTTAATGATGTTTTCATGTCGTAGGATATTGGAGTTTTATAGTCCAAAGGAGAAAAGGTCGTGCTGATGGTTGGATTTTCTTGTGAATGATTAGGTCGTATTCACGGAGGACAAGTTGGGGTTGACACTCAAGAACCATGAGCAGATCGATCCATTGGGCTATCGAATTCCAGAAACTATCGTCAAGTCGACGATCTTTAGTGTTGGACAAGTATCGCACCCGATTCGAGTGCGTGTACAAGTTTCGTGGTCATGGCAAAATAGTGGACTTTTCTCATTGTTGTTTCTCGGTGGAATGTTTTGAACGTTTTGCAGGAAGGAGATGTGCTGTTGTCAGTGAATGGAGAGAGTATTACAAATTTGGAGTTTCAGGATGTTTTGCGGATACTAAAGATTGCGTCCCGACCTATTCGTCTTCGCTTTCGCACGAGATCTACACTGCGACGAGCGTGGTCGATGTCAGGCACGGAACAGCTGGACGTTAGTTCAAGATGGTCGAGTTCGGGAAGTGTGGACAGCGATCTTCGTGTACCGATTGCAGACGAAGCTTTCTCGTATCCTGAACGTCCTGGACTGGAAGAGGATCGCGATGATTCGGACAGCCAAGATGCCGTCATGTCCGAAAGCTTTGGTGACGCTGATAGTGCGCGATCTACCGAAAATAGCTCAGTGATTACAGAGCTTACAGATATGGAATTGACTTCACGTCGGCAATCGTCGCGACTAGCTGCGTTTCTTCGTAAACCTTTTCGTCGTGGTGATGGGTTTGATGGTGCTCGGTGGGCACTACGAATGGGCGTTGTGCCGGTCTCCCCTTGTACAGAGATTTCGCTTGAGTCACCTATTAAGGTATGCCATTGAGTGAGTCATTCTGTTTCGTTGCTCGCTAGGTCTGTGATCTTGTACTAACACGCGTTTATTCTTTCATCCGCCACAGGCCGCAATTCTCGTACGCTGGCGTGTACACGCGAAGGCAGTGTCGTATCACTTGCAATTCTCTCGAGATTGGACAATGAAGGTATGGAAGAACTGGTCAGGACGACCTCGACGAGAAAGTAACAATGAGCTTGAGCTCGTCACGACGATCGTTGGTCTTGACTATTCGAAGAGTTACGTGGTACGTGTCCGCTATGAATTTAGCGACGGTCATGGTCCGAGTGAGTGGAGCGTAGCAAGTACGCCTTTGTCAACAATCAGTCATGCTGATGCCATATACTATCGGATTGCACAGCCAAGAGCATAACGGTTTGTTGGACGTACAAAGAAGTCGGTCCATGGTGACTTATTTGATACCGTCATTATTGTCAAGTGCCCTTTTATGGCAACCAGACGAGACGTGTGTTTTTACCTGTGTAACCTGATATTGCAACAAACCTTTGCCTATAATATACAATGATGTAACCAAAAATGTAAAAAAGAAGCCTATTTTAACGCCACGATACCCAATTTTATCCACTTCCAGGCCGTTTTTGTGCTAAAAAGCCAGCTTCAGTTTTGTACGTACTTCTCTTCCGACGTTATTTATTAGAGCTCGAGACGATGCTAGAGGGTCCACTAAAGTCATGGATTGTACATTTTCTGGGTCAATATGTGGAAAGTCAGACTGTCAACGTGTCGACTAAACTCTGGCAATCATCCGAGCGTCTTAAGCTTGAAAATCTGACGCTCAAGGCAAGTGTTGTGCCCAATTGGCTGCCGTTTAGGCTCAAAACTGGTTTTGTGGGTTTGTTTGAAGCAGATTTACCCATTTCCGCCATTTTTGGCAATGCTTCAGCCAAGATTAAATTTCAGGACGTCCTGTTGGTCCTAGAACCACTCAAACATGATTATCAAGAGATGCAGGACGAAATGTTGTGCTTAATAGGACAGAAAATGCAAAAACTTGAACAGGATCTGCAGGATCGATGGACGGGCCCTCAAGTGCCAGAGTATACAGTGTCACATGAGAGTGAAGGATATTTCGGTACCGATGGCTGGATAGGACGTACAATGACGAAACTTATTGACAATTTGCAGGTCGATATTCGAAATCTACATATACGAGTGGAGGGCGTTTGGTTCCCGTTTGGACCAATGAGGAGTCCATTAATGCCTCGATCGGGTAATAAAGACAAGGAGGGTGTTAAATTTGCAGTAGGAATGACACTGGGAGCACTTTCGGCCGTTACGACACCGAGTAATTGGCGAGTTGGAGGCTTTGACGATCAAAAGGACGAAAACAAGACACAAGAGAGTAATCGTTTGGTATTCAAGCTGATCAATGCGATTGATCTGTCGGTCTATGTCGATCCAAACGCACTGCATTTTATTCACTCGAGGATACATCCAAAGTTGTTACAATCGGCGTTATCGCGGCTAAAGGAAATGGGATCGAGAGTAGCAAAAGCAGATTGGTGGAATGCAGAAGAGAGTGTACATGTGCATCGATTTTTGGTAGCACCGATCAATGTGGCGCTGAAATTAACGATGAATACTGCAGCGAGACATGCGCATACGGATGATTCGCGGTATGATGCGGTGATTCACTTGTCGAGGATATGGATGACACTGGATGAAGAGCAGTTGTCGGTACTGAATTTGATTATTGACTCGTTTTCAGGACACGAAAAGTGGCGGCTTATGATTGCAGAACAGGTAAAGGCGTCAGAGCACCATACAGCAAGCAATGAGGCTACAATGGAGGAGCTAGCAAAAGATTATTTATTGGTTTGGAGTCAAATAGTAGCCAGGAAAACAGAAGGAATGGATACATTAAGGAAGAGTGAGGCATGGCATGATGCAATGAGGATAGAAGAACAACTTCCGTATGAAGTGGTGGTAGCTATTCGAAATCGTCTAGGGCTGGAATGTGCAGAAGGAAAGGCATTGTCATACCCGGATATGCTCTCTGACAGTGGAAATGGAGTGGGCATCCCTCTTCCAGAGATCAGTGTATCATTTTCAAAAGGTCCAACGGGCCTTTTGTTTGATCTGCTGCCATCGGGTGATGTGGTAATCAAGCGGTGTGTAGAGAAAAGTCCTGCTGCGGCGGTAGACAGTGTGAAGCCAGGGCTTTTGCTGGTAAAAGTAAACGACAAACTGCTACAATCAGTGTTCAGGTTCAAATCAGGGTTGGATGTGGAGCTAGCTGTTGACTCCATGCCAGGAACAAAGGTATTGACGTTTCGATACCCGTCCGTGATGCCCGTCGGAGTCCTATCGCCTCGTACAGTCAGTCATGTTTCGTTTAGCTCTGACCAACTGAAATTCTGCCTCGTGCGAGCTTTCCAGAAGCGAGTTATCGCAGAAGTCATGTTAGAGAACCCTGCTGTATCAATTAGAGGCTTTGGTCCCAGCTTGTTTACGTACCACTTTTACGAAGTCGTAGTCAAGGATTTTTACGTGCAAAGCATATCGCGAGAGGAAGACGAAGGTAATCATTGCATAGCTTCAAGCATATGCAAGCCCGTAGATGTGTTTAGTGGTGAAGATGCTCGGAGCTCAGCCGTTCAATTGAGTATCGATTATCTTTACGAGGGGCATCCTGACTCTCGCCCTGACATAGTGGAGACTTATGGGTCGAAGCTCTCGTTAGCAGTTGGCAACTCCATTGCAGTTATTGACGAAGAAAAGATGACGGCACTACTTGGCGACTGGCACGATTGGCTTGGTGCAAATTCGAACGACTACTCAAGTGCTATGCCTTCACCAAGCGCTTCTCGTGTGGAGACTGATCCAGGTACGATACCGCTGTCAGGGATTGGTCAACTAGTTTTATCTGATGTATCCACAAGCCCCTCCAATGCTGCCCTCACTGATTCGCTTCCAGGAGCCAGTAGCTGTTCGTATGAAATTAAAGTCGAACTGTTGCGCCTGTTTATCAGCGCTCACGAAGCGCCTATTGCGCCTGCCGAGACTTCTAGAGAGCCTTCATATCGTGTTTTGCTAAAGCAGCTTATTGGTAATGAACCAAGCGGACCTCCAGCTATTCCAGATTGGGCTAGAGCAGCGCATGCAATTGTCGTGATGCAACGTTTCATCCGAGGCGCTATCGTGCGCAAACGCAAAATGGTACGTTTGGCGCTTGCTAGAAATCGATGGATATTTTACCATGATAATGAGAAAATGGGCTGGCTGTATACCAGAGACGACTTGCTCGCATTTCGACGTTGGCGTCGCTCGTGGTGCCACCTCGACGATGACGGCAACTTTTCGATGCACAGCAACGGTTCAGGTGCCGACGTTCTTGATGTATTCAGCCTGTTCGGATGCAAGGTAATTATGCTGCCTTACACTTCCGGAGGACCATGGGGCTCACAGCGTGACAAATTGTGTCAAGTTCTTGAGATAACGACCCGATCTGGTGCTCTTCGCAAGGTGGTTAGCGCTGACAATCTGGTGGAATTGAAGAAGTGGAAGCATTGTATTGAAAGCAGCGCCAAAAGCGCAGCAAAGCGACTAAATAGTGATGATGTGGAGGAAGAGGAAGTTTTTTATGAGTCAGCAGTGGAAGATTGCAATCCTCCGGTTGAAGATGATATTGCACAGTTCTCAAAAACAGAACAGTGGAATGGGTCTGCGTTGGACGAGCTTTTGTTAGGAGGCTTTTCAAGCATCTACCCGCGCAGCTGCCACTCTAAAAAAAGAGCAGACGTCCTGGTTTTCATTGAGCGTCATTAATGTGAATTTTGTTGTGGATGTGCATCGTGTATCCGAGCCAGACCGCTCAGCATTCGCATTATACCTAGGCTTGAAGGACTTCACCGCAGTGGACCATCGTCAGTCATCAGGTTACGGTTTTTTGCACGTCGGCGACAAGTTTTTGAGCCTGAAAAGTGGCAATTTGACTCCCGGAAAGATGCGAGCAGACCATTTGAGTAATGGACCCTTTCTCGTGCTGCGGATGTCGTATCGAGGAGCACACGCTGAATCAGACTGTTTTGTGCGTCAGAGTGGACTTCACGCAGAGCTCACGATGTCCGGTTGGGTGATGCCATTTACTATAGTGCAGGTATTCTTCGAAATAATTGACGTCCTTGATGTACTCCGGGCTGCTGACACAGACATCACAGACAGTGGGGTTGACCGTACAAATGCACCCGAGCAGGTGAGTTTTGCGCCTTGGAAAGAGGTACCTGAGCTTGGAATCCAGATTCGTGCTCCAATTTTGGAGGCGTATCTTGAGGATTCTCATTGTGTAGCAAAGTTGACAGTCGAGGACAGCTCATGTTCGTACCGCGCTGATCCGGCAGTGGAAAACTTTAAGCTGCATCTTGGTCCCACTGCTCTATTTGTGCTAACCGAAGATGTTGCGCTTCGACTTGTTCAAGTGGACAAGTTATGGCTTGGTTACGACCTCAGACTGCATTTACAAACGGCATTGACTGTCAATAGGTGCGCCTTATGTGCTGATGAGTCGGCCAAGAGGCCCGTGTGCCATCGGTCCATCAACATTTGGATTGGTCAGGTGAAACTTGAGGCAGACCGACGGTTGGAACTACTGTTCGCGCTACTGGAGGCACTCGCAATCACACCGGATGATACCGAAGATGAAGCAGAACTTGATAGCGCAAGCGAAGAAAAAGCTATGACGAACAGTGGCCAGGGAGATTTTTTTGGTAAGCGTGATTTCGATGTGAAGTTTCTTGGAGTTGATCAGAAAGAGCGACTGCCTTTAATGCCGTCTAACTTTCAAGACCAAGATCCACTTGATCTGCGACCAATGTACGCAACTGGGTTTACTCGGCCGTGTACATCTCCATCAGGACGTAGTCGAATGTCCACTGCAACTTCAGCTGGGTTAAACCTTGAGATGCAAGACAACAGCCAAGAGCGGTCTAAGCGCCGAACAAAGGTGTCTGCGTTCATCCCATTGCTGAACTACCAGCTACTTGTTGGTATTTCCAATAAGCCAATAGAGCGGCCAGGCTCTTCAAAAACTATTTTTCGGACTCGATTGCGGATGGGAAGGATTCATGACCGTATATCTATCACATGCTACTCAGTGGTATTCGAGGTGATTAAAAGAAGTTTGTCCGTAGTATCGTTGGACACCTACATCCCAGTGATGAACTTCTCCATGAGTGATATGAAGATGCAGTGCGTGACGCGTACTGAATTTTCGACAGATTATGTAGTGGATGCTAGCGTTGAAATATCTGCGCGATATTACAACACAACTTTAGCGGACTGGGAGCCCTTTATCGAACCCTGGCGAGCTTATGCGAAAGCAAAAAGTGATGGCGGTGAGGATGGCACAACGATGCAGCTAAGTGCGTTACAACGACTGAATGTAAACTTTACTGATTCACTTATTCGGCTGCTATCTAGTATTGCGAAAAACCGTTGCAAACAAGATTTGATTGTGGAGAAGCGAACACTCGCCGCTGTGGCTGCTGACGGGGAAGCCAGAAAAGAGGACGGACGCGTTTGTGTCCTCAACAACCTTGGTGTCCCGATTCGACTCGCCAATCTCAACACGTCACACGCAGGAACATTACATGTGGACGTAAGAGACGGCTGGTCGTTCCCAGGCTACTCGCGTTTTCATAATGTTCGAGTGTCTGTGGTTTTGTTACCTTGGTGGCACCCACGCGAGGTGCAGCCTGTGGAGAACTTTCGTCATAAGTTTACTCTTCCCTACGGTGGAGCTCAGTTGGGTGTCACACCAATTTTGAGGATTGATGTGCTTACGACAGACGAAGGCAAACGCAACTACGTGTTTGATCATGTCACAAATAAGTATGTTGAAGTAGAAGCAGAAGATGATGATGATTTCGCTGACGTATCGACGACAAGCCGAGTTGCACCACCTAATATCCAACAGTATGTGAATCGCGAAGACAGCACTAATACAAATGCTTCTCAGCGGATAAGATGGTCTTCCATTGGATCAGCAGAGATTAACTTGGCTGGCAATGTGATGGCCTCGCTTGATCCTACACGGATGAAGCTTAATCGATGGTACCGTCTTCATGACTTACGTGGAAATATTACGGGAGAGATTTTTGTTGGCTTGCATTTTGTGCCAGACGTAGATGACCCAGTCACCTGTGGCAGAACGACCGAACCGCAGCAAGTAAAAGATGGTCAATTTCTGGTGTTTGATCCCCTAAAGATCGTTAACGCCAACACAAGTGAATCTTCGGACCAATGCAAAGATCATGTTATGCTATCTGAAGGCTTGCGTGGGAGCTACATTCCACCGTTGGCGTTAGAAGTTTTGATTGGTTCGTCGCGAATGAGTTTGATGTGCCCGCTACGTCGTGCCGGAAAGTTTCTCATTCAGGGTGAAAAAGTACTGGCAGAAGTCAAGGTTGCACAAAGAGATGAATCCCGACGAGTCTTGCTTCTTAGCTCGCCTGTCCAGTTGAAAAATGGTTTGTACTATGAAACGTATATCTGAGGAATTGCTGAGTCGTGTTGACATGTTATTGTTTTGCATGAGCAGACACGAGTATTGATATGGAATTCTGGACCTGTTACACACGTTTAGCCGCTGGCAAGGTATCATTTTGCTCATGGCTTTTGATAATGAGTTAGGCTCACGTTTTACTAATCTGTTGGCTTTAAATGAAACAGAGCTGTGCCCTGCCACGAACAGGTAAATTGATGACGCTGACTACCAGCAACAAGATGTCGGTCCCAATAAGTGCACTGTTTGGCGAAGAGAAAGACTCCATTGTTGTAAAGGTTGATGGATGTAAACCTACGGTTGTTGCAGATTTGAACAAACTGGCAGCAGGGTCCACAATTTTAACTTTGGAAGCTGCAGATGGCGAAGGTTTGGGCTATTGTTTGTACGTGAATATTACGTCACATATGCGCAAGGTATACCGAGAAGAGCACCAAGGAATGATTACTCGTGGAGTCATGAACCAGGACGGGGAGTTGCAGACGTATGCGACTAAGTATCAGATTTGCTTGCACTCGTGCCTAATGTTTGAGAACACACTTCCGATTCGAGTTCAGTACAAGATCGTCGCCAATGGGCGTCTATTGGAGGAAGTATTTCAAACGGGTACACTTTCTCCTGGTGAAGAAGTCCCCATCCATAATTTTCAGCTAGATGCGCAATTAATGCTGCGACTGCCTGAGATTGATTCAATTTGGAGCCGTCCGATAAACCTGGGTGATTGCATTTATCGAGAGAAAATGGACAAATCGATCAAGTCGATGCTAGGTGCGATCTGCGCCTGGGACCCGATTGTGGAATTCCTTCCGTCCCCAAAAAATCCTGGCATTGCTTTCAAGGAGGGTGATATCTCCTCGAAGGTCATTACACGCATCGACTACACAGCTACAGATGATGGAAGTCCGAGAATTGTGCTGTTTTGTTCTCTGTGGGTGTACAACCAGTCACACGTGCAGACGCTGTTGTTTCGCTGTGCCGATAGTCCGGATGCGTCGATTTTGGTCGTGCCTCCGCTTGTTCCACAGCGGCCTGTGCCACGACTGATGGATTGTCCAGACCAGGTATTTGAAATCGGCACTATAATTGACACAGAAGTCTCTCGATGGTCGGATAAGATCCATTCGACAGTTGTAGGGCATCCGAGAACCTATCAGTCTGAAGTTTGGAAGCAAGCTGGGCCCCAAAACCCGTAATGAACTAGGAATCTCGATCCAGCGACCGCTGGGTCAGTTTCACCGCACGACTCAAGTGGTTATTACTTCCCACTTCGTGTTTGTAAACAAGACCCCAGTAGCATTCAAGATTTCTCAGTACATGAAAACGACTGACCGAGTTGTAGAACTGCCTGCCATGCTGAACAAAGGGATGCCGTCAACACATCATTTTGATTTTGATGCCATGACAACCTTAGCGAACCGACGAGTTTACTTGCGAATGGACCACTACGGAGCGGAATGGAGTGGACCTTTTGCTATCGACGATGAAAACGAGTTTTCTTTGATGCTGAAAGGCTCAGTGATGGACGCTTGGAAAGATGCTAGCGGCGACAGAGACAGACATAAAAGCTTTCGGCGTAGTATCTCAGAAATGCATCGTGTCAAAGTTCGGATCAGTAGCGTGGGCCCAAGTATGGTTGTTACGCTCTTACGAGATGATCCGCCAATGTACATGATCCGCAACGAGTCGAGCTCGGACGTCTTTGTGAGCCAAGTTCATTGTTCGGATGAAACAGTTGTGATTCGCAGTAAGGAGTTTATTCCTTTTGCCTGGGTGAAACCAGACGGACCATGGTAAGTATCCGTTTTGCATTGTTTTTCTTGCATTCGCTTTTACCATCAATGCAGGTAGCAACTAACAATCGCTATGTTATCGTTTCGTAGGCGAGTCGCATGTCGAACCGGAAGTGTAGTGGGCCGGCACGAAATGATATCTCGAAAGTATGGTGTGTACGATTTTGCAAATTTAGATCGGGAGCGGAACATCGACACGTTGCGCTACCGGATGTTTGGGAGCAAATCAAAAATTGTATCGGGCGATATTGTTGTGGACCGCGCATCACGTGTGCTGGTGTTCCGCGATTACAATCCAGATAAGCCGCCAAGCTATATTTTGGAAGTGAAAATAATTGCAGTACGTCTTTGCAACGAGTTTTCTCTGAAACCAGATTCGACTGCCGAACTTATTGTGGAAACCGACAACCATGCTGTAGGTCAAAGTATAGCCTATTACATTTTTCTGAACCGAACACTTGTAGCTAAAGGCTATTGGCGTGTGTTTGCTTTTGTAGGCAAAAGCGACTGAATCGAAGGAGCTGAAGACTGCACACGTGTATCGCTTCAATTCTGACGTCGAATTTGCCTGTGACTCTCGTCCGAAGAAGCTTACATTGAGCTTTTATGAAAATCAAGCAGACCGAGAAGGCAGGATGCGCGGTGTGTCGTCTGCTGGTATTGATGACGAAAGCTATATCAACAGCATTCGTGGCAATAGAGCTGGATGTAGCACTGCGGAAATGGCGCTAGATGCCACGGAGCTTGAAAAATTGGGTAGTCCGAGGACTGGAGGCGACTTAACATCGTTTGAGAAGATGCATACACCTCCTGTCCGGCATTGTCGTCCTTTATCGGGCAGCATGGTATCGTTGCCACGGAATCAAGAATCCCGTTATAAGGACAGTGATTTTTCATATGTAGATGACGGACTGCAGCTGAGTGATATCGAACGGGTGAGTGAATCTTATGCCTCATCGGAGCAGTCAGACGATGATGATGTTCACCAAAAGGAGCGAGAGCACAGTGCAGCTGGGTGTGTAGAGATAAGAATTCCGAAGAAAGCCTGGACTCGCATGGGAGTCGGTGCAAAACAATCGATAGCTCTGTCTTATAACACAGCAGAACAAGCGCGTCGATCTCTCGGACGAGTGGAAGGACACTGGTGGGATATGCGGGACCCTGAGAAAGGTGATTTTGTGGGGAAAGTGTTGGTGGCATTGAAGTTCCGCACGTCAGTACGTGAGCACATACATCCTACGGGCATCTACAGCATGAGTGCGACTATTCCAAGCATCGGCCTGTCGTTCCTTCACAACGCAAATTCCAGCATGGTGGAAGTGGCGTATTTATCGATGCGTTGCCTTGGACTGTTGTATTCTTGTGCAGGTGGCAGTAGCGAGATTGTATTCTCGCTGGGAAATGTGCAAATGGATAATCAAATGGAGCGTGAAGTTGTGCTGGGTCCCAAAGTTCACCGCGTGAAAGAAGGCGTGTCAGTGCGATTGCGCGATCGCTGGCGTAGTTTAATGAACTACCGCTACCGCGGCATATTTGAGGAGATGGACACAAACACGTTGAGCGTCATTCAATTTCGGATGTTGTGGAATTCGAGCTGCCACGCCGGCGAGTTTACTCACTATGAGCTTATCGAGCTCATCATGCAAGAATTGGAGGTATCAACGGACGAAAAGTTTGTCGTCAATCTTATTAGCGTCTTTCAAGGATTGGAGGGACTTGCGAGTCAGCACACGTTTGAGGAAATTGTAAACACGCAACTAGACTATGCTGGTGGATTCAGTAGTGGCGCTATCGTTCCTGGAGCAGGGATGGATGAACGAAGTGGTGTTGGAGGTAGTGGGGGTACTGCGACTGCAATAGTATCAGAGGCTAGCGGCGTATACATCGAAGAGCTGACAATTGAGGCCGTCCGAATTAAGTTCACCATGGAGCTTCACGGCGGACGGTACATCAAGAAACTAGGTCCATCCGGTCGACGGCTCGCTGTGTACCTTCCTGAGTCCAATGTGAAGGATTTTCGATTGTATCTGACGAAGCTTTCGTTTACGCATCTGTACGAGCCCCAAGCGAGTGTAATTGAGAAGGTAGCGCGGCGGTACTCCCAGCAAGCTGTTATTCTGGTTCTTCGTGGCTTGCACACGGTGTCAGTGTACGCAAATCCATTTCGGATCGTCTATCGGTTGGGCCACGGTCTTGTCGAGCTTGTACGGTTACCCGCACGTGGCTTAGCCTCTGGTAGTCCGCTGGAACTTGTCGGTGGTGCGTACTTGGGAGTCCGTTCGTTGGCAATGAACTTGATTAGCGCCAGCTACGAGATTGTTGCGGGGGCGACGGGTATTTTCGGTGCTGTACTAACGCCGTTCATACCCGAGAGCCGACGTAAAGCGTTTGATGAGGATTTAGTTGCATTCCAGCGTGCTGTGATCGAAGAAGTGGATACTTTTGATGCTGCTGAAGAACGTACAATGACAAAGGTGATTGTGCGTAAGCCACGCGAGTTCAACGCAGGAGTGGGGCTGCTCACGGTATACGGTCCGGGTTCAGTACCGTTGGAAGAGCAGGAGCGCATTGATCTCAAGGCCGTTGTTTTGCTGCAACTTTGGTGGCGTCGTCGACGACGAGCTGAACGTCTTCTTGCCGAAGCACGTCGTCTTCGTCCTGAACCCGAAAGCGCAGACCATGCGTTTGAGGCAAAGCAATGTGCTGTTCAATAATCTTGCGCCAAAGGTTTTTCTTCCATGATGAAGCAGTCTACATAGACGATGACTTGCTGAGCGTAAGTAGTCTGTACACTTATTTATTTATTATCCGAGATGAACAACGAACATCGTTCTCAACTACCACACGTATCACAAAACCAACTTGACCGTGAACAAGGATAGCCCAATTGCATTGAGACTTCATTGTCATGGAATGTAGAGGCAAGCAGAAGCCAAGAGTCTGCACCACGAAAGACATTTCCAGAAAGTTTTGTCATTCCTTGGATTTTTTGTTTGGAATACACGTTACTACTAGTGTCGAACACATCGTAAAGCGTCACACAAACGACATTCTTGCTACGTTTGTCTTCTACAGGACGTGATTCAGTGTAACGCTTTCATTTTACTAGCTGCTAGGCGTTCTTTGCACTACACGCACTGCCATCACTTGCCTCCTCCCCCCTTCTCCTGACGTTGCCGGACTCCATTCCTCCATTCGCTTACAAGTCCATACCATTTATCAATCAATGCGTGGTTTTCGACTCAAGTACGACCGATGGCTGCAGGATTCGCCATTGCTGACAAAAGGTATCACCTCGGCCATTCTCTTTGGTCTGGGCGATCGACTTGCACAACGGGTCGAGACAGCTGAGACGCTTCATGGCGACGAAAGTGACGTGGAAGACCGGTATGGACTTGAACGGACGGCACGGATGATGGTGTGGGGTGGACTTGTATTCGGTCCCCTTGGTCACGTGTGGTACAATTTTCTTGAGAAGACCATTCAAGGCAATAGTACGGCTGCAATCATCAAGAAAATTGCCGCGGATCAACTTGTTCTCGCACCACCACTAGCACTCGCTTTCTTCACATATGCTGGTTCCGCGGAAGGTAAACCACTACGTGATACAGTCCAAAGTGCAGTGACGAAATTCCGTCCAACACTTGCAGTGAATTGGGCCGTGTGGCCATTGGTGCATGTGGGCACGTTTGGCTTCGTGCCCTTGCAGTATCGAGTTTTGTACATTAACCTAGCAAACGTCGGATGGTCTGCCTTCCTGTCACAAATGGCAAGCAACGATGGACAAGTCTCGGAAGTAAACAAGATGGATTCCAACTCTCTTGGGCAGCAGCTTAATGGCTTGGAAGATTAAGCTATGGCTGAATAAAGACAGAAGGAGATCAAGCTACGGCAGGAATGAAGACAGAAGGAGATCAACCTAAGACAGCAGGTAGTGTTTCTAGATATTAACCCTGCAAACTCCTTTGCATGATTCAAATCAAACTGTTGTTCTTCTTCTCTTTCATTTGCAACCAACCATGCGTCGCTTTGGACAATTCTATCACTACTGGCTGCATAAAGCTCCATTGACGACCAAGGTGTTGACTGCTGCGACTTTATCGGGGGTAGGAGATCGAATTGCACAGCGTATTGAAGCGATCGAAGCCTCGACGACCACCGACTTAGCGTGGGAACCCATTGACAAAGAGGAGAGTGTAAGTCCCAGCACAGCTCGGACTCTACGAATGGTCGTGTGGGGTGGACTGTTCACGGCCCCCATCATGCACACGTGGTTCCACATCATTGACAAAGCGATCCCTGGCTCAGGAAAACTCGTTGTTGCCAAGAAGGTCGTAGCAGACATGGTGATCATGGCTCCCATAATGACCCTCGGCTTTTATATTGTGATCAAGACCATGGAGGGCAAACAACTCAGCGATGCGGTCGAATTGGCCACAGCCAAGTTGCAACCTACGTTGGCTATGAACTACAAGGTGTGGCCCGCGGCGAACGTGATGGTCTTTACTTTAGTTCCATTCCATTATCGCACTCCTTTCGTCAACTTTGTGAGTTTGGGATGGTCGACGTACTTGTCCATCATGGCCAACAAGACGAGCAAAAAGATGCAAAACGTCATGACAGGATAGACTGGCAACACTAATTGATTCCAAGCGTTGCTTTGTCTTCTTGTCTGCCTTGCAAATTTGCACTAGTTTCACAGAGTAATCGCACTAGAAGACTTTAACCACGTAGCTATCAGCTTAAGTGCTTCGTGACCATCCATCTTGAAAGAAATGCCGAGACTGACACAGTCGAGGATGGCCGGGCCACATCATGTAGTTCGCGAGCAACATGAGCGACAATGTGACTTTGTCCATCTCAAACCTTGCAGGATTTCACTTCACTTTCCATGGTAGCGGTGATTCAAAAGCCAACGACGCACAACGGCAATGATCATCATGTCTTTTTGTGCTTGTCCTGACTAGCACGACTTGCCGGTAGATATTCGATGACATGAAATCATGTGCATGATCGACGCCGTCAAGATCATTCATTTATCACCGCAACGAACATGAAAGGCTCGCGTTTACGAGCTTATACTTATCTTCTGTCTTCATCATGAGCCACTATCTGGAACTGTTGCCTTGATCTTCTGTGGAATTCGATCTTGCATTCCGATAAGCTCGACCACCGTATGACTATGATGAGGCTTCGTGCAGCCACAAGTGGTAGAGTTGCGCACCTGCCGGAGTGAGGAGGTTGAGAGTCTTGACGACTCAGCAGACGGACGAGCTGTTGCAATGTTCAACGCAAAAGCTTCGTTCTGCAAACAGCGGATCAACGACGACCACGCAAGGATGATCAGTTTACCACAACATTGACCGAAAAAACGCGACGCAATGCTCGTTTCTTTGTCGGTGATGGCGCGTTCACTCGGCCACTTCTATCACTATTGACTGCACTAAGCTCCGATGCTGACAAAGACACATCCTGACAGCCGCATAATGCTCGGCGCGCGATCAAATCGCCCAACGCACGGAGGCTCCTACAGCTTGAAAAGACTCGCCATCACTATCATAGACATGCTGTGTCTGACTTTGCATTCGTGCTGGTTCAGTACGCTCCGCACTTACCCACAGCGCGCGACACAGAGTGCGGCCAACATCACTCTCTGCAAACGGTCAGCAATCAGGACAAAGTGATGCCGCTGTACAGACAAGTAGTAACATATCATTTTCTCCCAAAAGTACCAACTCCACAACGTACTGATGAACCTTCAATGTTTCTTCAGTACGTTGTGTGTCGAATGCAACGCGTTGTCAGTTCTTACGACAGTCGCTCCACCAGTTAGTAGTAGTTATCCCACAAATCGTATGCTCCACTTGATTCCCGTCTCAAACATCATTTGCGGTGTCCATCGTTAGCCTGCCAACAATCTTAGTAAAGATCAACCAAAAAGAGACCGGAAACCGCATTGACATATTGCTACAGGTCGCGCAATGAACACTATACCTCGCTTCGCTTTACAGCCCTACTTCGTAGGTGAGCACATCGATTCGGACGCGACACACAATACAGTCTTCAGTCTTCATGCTGCAACGTTTACGAGTAGGCCGCTTCCGCAAGGTGAGCCAACCGGGTGAAGTACAGTCGAAAACGATGTCGTTGGCATCGCACTCGCAGCTCTCCCGGAATTTGCTGACAGACATCTGCAGAAAAGAGAGAGCGAAGAACACCTTCCTCGCTTACTACAGTGGACACAGCGGAAAGAAAACCATCTAGATAAAGCACCCGGACAGAACAATATCAGTACTGAAGTTGATTGCACCGCTGAGTTGCACAAGATACTTGCCTCGAATTTGTGTCGATATTTGTGATGCGTGCAGACACTGAAACAGAAAATCCCATAGATGTCGTGCGCAATAATGTTGTCGTTTGGGGCCCAAAAAGACCAGGACAGCACGAACAACGTCTACGGCAAAAATGTTTATCCTGACCAGAATTTGCTCTGGTTGACATCGCATGGCGCTCAAGAGGAAATCGCACGCAGCATCACATATTTCCTGCATCTACATAATCGAAACGAAACGCCACCAAAACTGTCATACGGGCTGCCCCTTCAGTCAACAGCCATGCAAGCTCTTGCCTGGTGATCCACTTTCATAAGTCTTGTTGCCAAATCCACGCAAATCCAATATAGACTTGGCTCTCCGTTTGAACGATTTCGCAGCAAAGCTTGTGGAAAAGAGCTCAAAACCTCCCGCGCGAGCTCTAGGAACTGCTGAACTTCGGGAATCATCTTTTCTGCTTCATGGCGCTGGGACAGGAAACTCTCCATTGAGAGTGCACCACTTTCGGTTCCAGCAACATCGTACAGCTTTTTGCGAAAACCAGCAAGAAGTTGCTTTGATAACACACATGTTGGGTCAGTATAGTTTCAAATCTAAATTCGACGACCCTGTTCCTTACCTCGAATGCGTGCTCAGCTGAAGACTGCATGCTGACATTGCCCCGCTGTCGCAAGATTATTCGGGAGCAACACGTGAGGATGTCAGGAGCAATATCTCCTCCATACCACCAAAGACACATTTCAAGCATTTCCACTTCAATAGGATGGGGAGCCTCCTTCGGCAAGTGTGGAATCGCGTTTAGAAAAAAACGAGCTCCTTCGCGTCGACATGTACCGTCCATCCTGTGCTGCAAGAGAGAAGCTTTTACAAGAGGCCACAGCTGCTCAATCAAGACAAACCCATGATCGTCTTGAATACCCCCAAAAGCTCGACCCAACATGTACACGACACTGGACGCCTCGATCGAATTTGTGCTTTGAACACGAACCGTTAGGTTTGACAAAATTGATGAGCATAAAGTGCCAAAATCTACATGTACAACATGAACAGTGAAACACCCTTGCATAACATATACGGCTTTTGCTCGCGCGTACCTGCATCCGATAAGCCACGTGCGATCCGGAATGTCACCTCTAGTAGGTCACCTTTACTATTTTGAGAAGTTATAGTCTGAAACGTTGTGCTAAATTGGAGCAGCGCTTGAAGCAACGGGGCTCTTTCTTCGATAGTAGTACACTTGCTGCTCAGAACAGCAACGAAGAACAAGATTAGTTGTGTCCGCGTGAAAGCTCCGATAGAACCAATTCCTTGTTGCTCCCGTTACTTACGCAATAGAGGAGCTACTATGCAGCAACGATTGGATCGCCACTGGGAAGGACGACGCGCAGTGAAGTCCTTGGCAAATGATCATCGAAGCGCGAAGGTATACGCTTGGAGGTAATGCATGTGAGGCACCCAGTGATCGTAGATACCTACCAAAACGTAAGATTAGTATGGAGTAGAACATACAGATATGAATAGGCAAATAGCTTACCGTGCAACACCGTTTGATACTAAAAGGTGCATGGGCAGGTTGAGAGCGTAGTCGAACACTCCCACCAGAACGTCAATCCCACTTGATATAGGAATCTGACAGGAATTAGAGTCGTTTTCAGATCCCGAATCTGACGATATAGCATCGAACAATTCAACCGTGTGCGAGAGCAAGAAAAAAAGCGCATCAATCAATGCAACGTCCTTGCAATCTGATAGCATTTGGCACATGTCCTTTACACACGACGCATAGTCTCCAGCAGGCTCCCCGTGGCCCCTTGGCCACTTAGAAAATAGACTTAGCACAGTGTCGGCAATTTCTCTGGACCCATGCACACATTACGTAAGGTCACAATTGCTGCATGAATCTCAGAACGTATGCAACACTTCAAAAGCATTACCTGCGAAAGTCCGCAATCGCCTCAATTTCAGGATCGTCGCTTACGATTTGGTGTCTGTCAATAAACCACTGCGGGTACTTGCATCGCTCAATAAGCGCATTTACTAAACGTGTAAGCACACTGACCACATAATCCAGCCCCGTGGTGTCTAAAAAAATCTGCCATGACATCTCATTCTGTGATGGACTGTCTTCAAGAAAAAAGAACCAGATTTCCAACGTAGGTTGTGCCACATCAATGTCATCATAAGATGAGCAGGCTAGAAGCAGTTCCAAAAAGGTGTAGGAAAACCGCTGTTGCTGCTTAGATGCGAGGCTGTCCAAGGATGCTTGTGTGCCTACTGTCTGACTCAAGAACAACACAGACGCGTGATTCATTGCTAGAGAACAAGCGATGCGTGACATACCCCTGCAAACGTTCGTCTGCTGCTCCTTTGTCATTATGTTCCCCGTGGGGAACTGCATATCCGACTGAAATAGGGGTATTGCTTCAACCAAACGGTATCCGGAGCGAAGTACCGCCTTAGTCATATTCTCAGACCCAACAGCGGACGCATTCCGCGCAAACGAATCTGCAATAATCCCTGCAGCCAGCTGAGTTTGCAAATGTTAGCAACGGCACGCATGCATCGATGACCTTGCGAGTTAAAATTTTACATGTGCCAGTTCTTCGTTGTCGCTAATGGCTGCATTGAACAGCTCGTCCAGCAGTCCACTACACAACCACAAAAATCACGTCAGGTTGTTAGAATTACAGCGGGTATATCTAGCCCGAACAATTGGGCATGACCGGCTTCAAAGAAACTATCAAACCGAGCAAAAAGATGCGATGCATTCAAACCAAACGCTTCGTGAGTTGGAACACAGCCCACAATCCAGCTTTCTAGGCAGCGTAAAGCGCTGATCCTCTCATCCGGTCTGAACGATTATAACCATCATGATGAAACAATCAAAACATACCAACAAAAACAACAACTTGATCCAAGGAAGGTAGCAGCGTACATACATGCTAGTCAAAATCATTTGTACCACAGTCATGACGTTGTCTCCTTCTACCTGAAATATTTCCAGCATCTGCTGCATTTCCTGTGCAGTCCACGCACTCTCTGACGCCAAGATCTGTAGTGGAATGGCTCCAAGAACATCGGCCAACTTGAATATATACATTACAGGATCATTACGAAATGCACCCATTCCATAGTAACTGCCACTGCAAATACTGTAGCCTACCATAGCAGCTCCTTTCTGCTGTCTTTGAGCGGCAGTGCCCACATCCACAAGCCGCTGAACGTCACTTTTCCAGCTTGTCCAATTCCTGCACGATTTGACTACAATATCTGCTAACGTCACACAGGCAATGCGGCGACTTACTGGAGAAAGGCCATTTTCTGTTCCACACGTCATCTCCAGTAGCTTTAACACCGTCTGTCTCATACGTGTCGCATAATCAACACCAAATCGTTCGTCACTTGGCTTCGTATGCATTCACCTGGACGACAGCTGTTTGACCATCACTCCTAATAAATGCATGAAAATGTACGTACCTGCCGTACAATTTGCTGCTGCTGTGTACTAATACACGTCCATTCGCATTGTGTCTTTAGTCGAAGGATCTGCATGGCCACAAGCTGTGGGGCGGCCAGTGGACGATGTGTAATTGGGTCGTACACAGGCTGTTGCAGTAGCTGTAATGCAGCGTGCCATGCCTCCTCATGAAATTGGAATTGCATGAGCCATGCATTAGCACTGTGCTGCGCTTCACTGCCTTGTTGACCCTCAAAGAGCTCTTGAGCACATGCAGCTAATTGCTCGGCCATTTATTTGGTCAGAATTAGCTTCTTGAGAAAAATGATAGAGTGCTTAGTATTTGATTGGCTAAATTTAATACGCACGTGTAGGTAAATTTGTAAGGAAAATTTCTGAGGATAATCTCAACCTGAATTGGAAAGACACTTATTACAATCCCATTTTGCGTACAATTTGTACGAACAAATACTTTCGTGAAAATTTGTATCCTAAATTTCGTAGCATGAATGCTGCAATTTTGCAATACGTAATTCTCAGACTGAGAGTTGATAAAAAAACCTCAAGCTGTTTGTACCCACTACTGACGTTTGGTGACGCAAAGGTACACACATCACCTATTAGCAAAATCCCATAGTGAAATGATGTTAAGGACAGCGACACTCTTTGGCTCGACTGGACTCTCACGGCAAGCGACAGCACGTCGTTTCACGAGCGTTAAGCTCGGATATAGATTTCCGAATGCACTACAGCCAACCTGTCACTCACCGTTGCTATCACGCATACACAAGGGACTAACGCGAGAGCAAGTGAGTCAACAATACCATTATCGTTCCAGTAGTCGGCGTCCGAGTCGTGCCGTGTCGGGGGATGTGGTGATACTGGGACTGATCTCTGCCAATGTAGCAGTCACAATAGGTTGGTTTCGAGCACAGGCGTCACCTCCACGACATCCAGCGCAGAAACTGCGCCGTTTTCAACCGTCCATGAGGACGATGCTAACGCACTTTACTACATCCACGCAGCATCTTCAGGAGGGTCGATACTATACACTCCTAACGTCCATGTTCAGCCAAGCAACGCTAGGTCATTTGGGCGCTAATATGATTGGACTCTACTTCTTTGGACGACAATTGTGTGACGTGTTGGGCCATAAAAAGTTTCTTGGGCTGTATCTGGCTAGTGGTGTGCTTTCATCTGCTGCAGCAATGCTTGAACAGAAGCTGTCGGGAAAACTAAGCTACAACTTGGGTGCAAGTGGAGCTGTGAACGGTATCACGTCGATGAGCATTCTGCTCTTCCCGCACGGAACGGTGTTGATCTTTGGCATTATACCCATGCCTGCATGGCTGGCTGGATCGCTTTTCATTTTTAAAGATGCTTACTCGCTTGTTACAGGTCAAGAGGATGGAATTGGTCATGTTGCACACCTTAGCGGCGCATTCATTGGTGGTGTTTACTACTACTATTTCCGTCGCCGATACTATCGACGTTTTTGAGGCAATATTGAGATACATATTACGTTAGATCTGACATGGATAAGCTGAGAGCTGATTGCATAAACAAAATGGTTTGTTTATGTATATGGAACAAAGGACTCAACATAAAAAACGTAATCAAACCTTCATTTGTGTACCCATTTTTCCATATTGAAGTGTTGTGTCATTATGTATACCACACCACATCAACCCTTTGTCGTCAATTTCACCAAGTTAAAAAAAAAGCATGCAAAAGGCGCGAAGCAAGTACGTCCTTTATCTCCTCTTAACTATGAGCCGACTACTATTTATATCAAGAAAATATTGTTATTATCTTCTTCATGATCTCACCTTTCTCTCCATGTCTTTCTTATGTGATAAATTAGCTCCAATCCATCAGGATTTTACACTTTACATGGAGTCACCGTACTCTGGCACGGATGGCTTAAAAAGCTTGGACGCTTTAGCAAACGATGGCGTAAACGTTACTTTGTATTCCTGGCAATAAACAATGGAATGAAGGAGTTGCGTCACTATGACACGTTCAAAGACATCAATACTTTGCTCATGTCTACGCCCCAAGGTGTTATCTCCCTCACAGATGCGACGGGTATCTGCTGCTTTACGCCTGTACCGACATCAAGCAAAAGACCGATGAAGTTTGTACGATAAAACTTTAGACGATGACGTCTTGTTTTTCTTTTTGTTTCAAAAAGGTTTTCTAGAGGCTCAAATGCTGTTTGTTTATTATGCTCGATAGACTCGCTCCGATGCGAATGACTCCAGACCTGGCGCGTACGATCAGAAATTTGCAGTGTTGACACCTCTTGTACGTTATTCTTCGTCTTTGTTTTTTCGATGGTGAAAACACGCGACTGAACGATACTTGGCTGTCATACTAGCATGTAAATTTACTGGCTTTTCACAATGGCAGGGACTGGAACGGGTGCGTCTTGCTTTGGTTCTGAGTATTTTGGGCCACAATAATTTGTTAGCTAACGGTGTATTGTGTGCTTAGTGTTAGTGAGTCACAGCAGGGACTGTCGTTGCTGGCATCATTGTCGGCATTTTATCCGACTATTGATGTTCTCCATTCAGGATGGATGACGAAACGAAGAGAGCGCAATGTGCACAGTCCGAAGAGTATCATGACGTACTGGAAGCGGCATTTCTTTGTGTTTTTGACATCAGGTGACTTGCTCTACTTTCGAGATGACACATTAAGCGAACTGCAGGGCCGCGTGGACGTTCGACACGCTCCCACAGTTCGAGTTACAGGAGAGCAGCTTATCGATGGGAGGAAAAAGGATGGAGGCATGTTTAAGTTTGGCAAGTTGCCAGCGTTCGAACGCGAGACGTGCTTGATTTGGATTGCTACGCCTCCGTCAAAGATGTTTGTTTTGAAGCTTGAGGAGGATCATGATGAATCGGGCAGTGGTGTTGGCGGCGGAAGTAAAGCCGGTCTTGGATCTTCAGGTGTGATGGTTACTTCGAGGAAAGCTGAGCTTACTCCAAGCTCAAAGAAGTGGCTACAGTTACTGTTGCAGGGGCATGCAGAAACAAAGTACACACAGCTTGAAAAATGCATCGCTACGGGCAAATATGGTCTGACCACAGAGGTGAGTAAATGATGATGTATGATGAAAAAGTGCATTTGCCTTTGTGATCATGTTTATTTGTGTTACGGCTTGTCTGTTGAACACACAGGTTGTATCTGCAGTTCGTGCTGGAATCCCGGATGAGCTGCGTGGACAACTTTGGAAAGGATTTTCTGGCGCCACAGATCTCCAACGACGTGTAGAGCTTAAGCACGCCATCCGCAGTGCAACCAAATCAGCTACTGTTGCCCGCATGCACTCCCGAGAACCCTCCGGCAGAGCTACTTTCAAATCTTTCAAACCTCGGACAGCAAAGAAGCACGCAATTTATGAAATGTGCTCTGCGGCAATTGACGCAAATGAAATCGACACGCCTGAGAACCAAATGCTTTTCTCCCGGTTGTGTGCGTTGGCACTTCAAGAAAATGCACAGATAGCCGTCAGCCTACACCCGAGTGAGCTTCATCCTTTGATGAGCCGAAGAGGCCGGGCTGTTTCGGATGCGTCGAACCCGTCAGATCAATTCAGCGAAGACCGGGAATCGTTTTATGATGACGAGCGAGACTCAATGGATGATGACGACGGCGAACTGATCGAGATAGAGGAAGTCAAAACCGGTGAGGAGTCGGTCAGCAAGGATACCTCAACACGAAAGACGCTCAAACAACTTGAAAAGGGTAAAATGGGCAATTATGTGTACCCTAGCGACTACCCTGCAGCCGAGTGGGAATTGGCATCACGACGACGGCTTCTCATTGCCAGCTCGCGTTACAAGTATGTTGACTACAAGATAGATGTCTGTCGTTTTTTTGCTCCTTGGAGTGTATGATCGTCTAACTTTGGTTGCTTTTTTGTTGCGCGGTACTAAATTAGTCCATACTCGCATCCATTCTCATGGCGAGTGAGTTGCCTACTGCTGGGGTACGTTGAAGAAGAGAGCGCTTTTTGGATCATCAACAGGTAATGTTGATCACATTTTGAATTCAGCCCTTCCCATTTACGAAGTCTGACTGTTGGTGATATGGTTGGAATTTGTGTTTGTAAACTATAATGGCGTTAAGCATAATTGAGTCGCTTCTGCCAGGTTATTTCCACGGCTATCGACCAGCTTTGCAGATTGATGTGGCAGCTTTTACTGCGCTCTTACAGGACCGCTTACCAGCCCTCGCTTCTCACTTGGCCGCACTGGAGTTTTCTCTTGGCCGACTCGTTGAACGCTGGTTTTTGAGTCTGTTTACTTCCTCGCTCATTCCTCTTCCCACCGTACGAGTTTTGTCAACGACATATCCAACGTAGTCCTGTACAACTGCGCAATGCTGACTTGTTATTTATATTCATGCAGGTGCTACGCATATGGGACGCATTCTTCATTCGTGGTCTGCTAGTTTTCTATGGAGTTGGTCTTGCGCTGATGTTTCGCGCGGAGGAAACACTATTTTATGCCAAAACTGCAACAGAAGCTGAGGAATATTTGCGAGCTAGTGAGCGCGGCTGCATCGATGCAGATGCAGTGTTTTCACTTGTGTTCAAGGACGACCTTACCATCCCATGTACGTTCTTCTTACTAGTCGAGTTCTTTTCGAGCTAGCACCTAACTACGCTGCGCATTCTGCAGGGCTTTCGGACGAGCAGCTTGAAAGGCTAAGGTCGACACATCGCCACCGAGTTTTGGAGCGGATATCACAAAAAGTGGATTATTTCAAAGATAAACTGAGCATTCTTAGGCTCACAAAAGATCTCGGCTCGCGTTGTCGTGTTGTTGCCAAGCAGCTCCTGAGTGACCGAGAAGGTGTTAAAGCTGCTATGCCACTGAGCGAAGAAACCCACGCCAATGATGAAAAGGGCCTGTACGACATATTTGGACTTGATGATGAAGTTAATGATCTAGATCTTGGCATCGAGGGCGACAGGCTTGAAAATTCATTTCAGACATCTCTACACCTGCTACTTGATCAAGTAAGAGAATCTTCTGCGGCAGCGGACGCACTTACTGTAGAGCTGGGCCAGCGGCAAGCAAAATGGTTGGCTGCATCAAGTCAACTTGCAGCATGTCCACTTACTCGATCACCCACGCCAGACTCGCACAGCTGGCTTTCGCAAGTTAAAGAAGGCAAAATCTCAGGTGCGGGTCACGATGCATCTTTGCTGTTTGCTCCCGACAGCGGTGGCTTCGCTTCTGCTTCTCACATCGTCGAAGCTTCTGGCATGGTATTCGACAATGACGACACTACCCAGAAAAGCTGCCTGTTAACGGAGAGAAAGGATCTGGGATTATCAGACCGTCACCTTGCTGATGTGTTTTTGTACGCACTGATGTCGATGCTTAAGTCTTTGTGCGCTGTTCGTCTAGAATGTTTGGGTGTGACATATCGATTCATGTGGCATGGCGGTTCCTGGCTTGATTCTGCTGTTGAGTACCCTTCATTTCCAAAGGTCACGGGGACCGTAACGACTCCAAGTACACCAAACTCGCGGCAATCGATTCGAAACAAAACTTCAACGGAACCCCAGTCATCGGTTCCATCTGGCCAGTCAAAAAGGCGTCCACGCGCGGTGGACGACTCAGCCTTGTCCGGCCATAAACGCGGGGATTCGAGTGCTACTACGCCGAGACGAAGGGGGCGCCAAGCAACGCGAAGTTTTTACAATCCGGGTAAGTCCCCGACACGATTACGCAACAGCTTGTCATCTGGTGATTTCTCTGATTTCTCAGTGCTGGAGTTTGCCGCTGGTGGTGTAGGCTCTACCTTGTACGATGACCCGATCATCGAAGGCCAGCCTGCCCCGTCGTCGCCCACATATGCTGAGCAGCTTTTAGATGCAAACCCCTCGTATCTCGTGACCTCAACTCCACAAGACAGCAGCGCTGTCGAGTTTTCCGTTGACCGAGGGCTCGATCGCTGCGCCGCCTCAACGCTTGATGCATCCAACAAGCCGTTGCTGGCGGCACTTACAGTACAACATCAAGAAGGAGAACGTGTTTTCCAGGAGTCGCACAAACGGATACTTAATGGACTTGGAAAATTCTTGCGTCTCGAATACCGCGATAAGGACTGGGCTCTGCGAGAGCGCGCTCTAACCATCGAACGCGAACTCCAACAAGAATTTCAAGAGATTGAAGTCGAACTCCAGGGCGCTCAGTGGTTACAGCAGTAATGAAATGGAAGGCGTACTAGCAGAACATTTCAAGGAACACGTACGATTTTCTCGATGCCTTTTTACCATCAGAGCTGTGTGCGTGGGCCTTTGATTCCGTTACTGTTTGGCTGTACCCCCACTACAGCACCAATTTCGCTTGTGAACGGATCTCTTACGCTACTATCATCTGCAATGCTACTGGTATTGCTACTCGAGTGCTTCAAGACATGCGGCGACTCGGCAAAAGGGTTATCCTGGCCGTTGTTGCTTAACACACGAATGCCCATCTCCTCCATGATTTCTGTCACTGCAAGCCAGACTTCAGATTTTAGCATGGCATACTTTCGCGCATCTAGCTCTTCAGTGTATGAGTAAACGCGTATGGTGTAAAGCTCTTCCATCGCGACAAAGAAAGACCGTTCCCACTTTTCACCATGCCGCAAGTCCGATTGATTCTCTTCGTGGGAAGTAAGCCCGACATGCAGCGATTGCAACATACTTTCAAGACGACAAAGGGCCTGTCGCAATGTCTCGACCGTTGTGCTGGGCGAAACTCGAACGCGCAAATCTACGTCTCGTTTAGGGCGTTGCGAGAAATTGATCATGGGTTTGTAAAGAAAAAAGCTGTTAGGAACGTACAGAGTTGTTCCCTCAAGGCTCACCACTGTCGTGTAGCGCAGCGACACGCGATGAACAAATCCTTCTGCGTCTCCAACGCGAATAAAATCATCAATCTTGAACTGTGAGTTAAACGCGAGGAAAAGACCTCCCACAACATTGTGAAAGGATGGCACAAAGCCCAGGGCAATGGCCAGCCCAATCACGCCTAATACGGAGTACTTAAGGGTAGCACTGTTACCCAGCGCAGACGAATAGATGATAAGGGCAATGACTAACAGCGTCGTAAGTCGAAGAATCTGTGTGCGTATTTCAAGTATGTTAGTTTTGGTTGTTCTATACAATCTCCAAAGCGTCTTTCTTACCTTGACAGACTCCGAGATAACCATCTTCTTGGAAAAGTCTCCATTGGCACCAACAAATCGACGTACAGCAAACTGCACAAATAAAATCATGAACAAGGAAACAGAGTAGAAATGTAGCATCAGTTGTAAGAACAAGACGTAGAAACGATAGAAAATAACAGTAAGAGGGTAGTAAACTTACACTTTGAACGACATTAAACAGCGAGTAGAGCCAGTATAAGAAGAATACACCCCAAACATAAGTAGGTAAATGACAGAAAAACTTGCTTAGCTCCGATACTGTGAGTGCTAAGAGCACTAGCGACATGGAGATAAAATACGACGTGGAACCCACACACGACTCACGAAAGTCCTCGGCCACTCTACATAGCAACAAAAATAGCAGTAGATTAATCATATTATCTAGATAATATCATGTACTTGAACGTATATGCAATGATCGTATTGTAATCATCCATACTGGTGCATGAATGGCAGCTTTGGCAGTACAAAAATAAGTAAACGGACAAATACACGAGGCAAGAACGTAGCAAAGAAGACAAGAACTGAGGCGACAACTAGCTGAGGTGCTGTTGTAATACGCCACCAATGAGGTAAACATGAAACGGGAGCACAGTCATCATTACAGTCGTCCGCACACGCTTTACCGATCAGGAGTAGCACAAGTAGCAGCTTCTTGTACATTGTCATGCTTTTTTTTGTTTTAGCGCAGATTTTATCCAAATAGAATGTCAAGAGATATTATATTATCCAGGCATCCTCTTTGATCGAGATTATCCAAGCAGAATATCTCATTCGATAATTAGCCGCCAGAAGAAAAGAAACACGATGCGATCATGGTTCTATACCAAGTAACTAATTGGCTACTTTTCTATCTATTGTATTCCATGCTTTGTACAAACTCTAATCTCATTCTATATCTATGTAGATATGGAGACGCTACGGTTATGCAGACAGGTGAACAGCCTATTCCCGAGCTGCGCGGACCAAAGGACGTTGTCATTAAAGTGCATGCAGCTGCGCTTAATCCTGTAAGAGTACAGAATTGATTGGATCAGTATTGATTTTGAAGTGGTATTGCAATGCTATGGAGTTATTTAGATTGACTATAAACGCCGCCAAGGAGTGTTGAAAATGCTGCTGCAGCAGACGTGGTAAGGGGCTCGAGTTGAGCAAATTATCGGATGAGGATTATATATACTGACGTTGGATAATGTGATAGGCCTCACATTGTTGGCTATGACTTCTCTGGAGTAGTCATTCATTGTGGAAACAAGGCAGACAGGTTTAAAACAGGCGATGAGGTGTTTGGTATGCTACCACATAATGGCAATGGAGCTTTGGCGGAGTAAGGCACACAATGAAGGGGTACTTTTTGATGTTTTTGGGTGCAATTGGCCCACACGAACAATGATGTTGCAGCTTTGTTGTCGTGCGATCAGAGTACATTAGCATGAAGCCGACGAATTTGACGTAAGGATGAAAGGATACTCGTTTTTGATTGATTCAGGCTCTGACAAATAATGCCTATGTACGTATGGACCGGTTGCAGTCATGTGGAAGCTGCAGCTTTGCCACTTGCGGGACAAACAGCTCTCCAGAGCTTTCGATTGGGCCAACTGGCGGAGAATAAGAAGGTGCTGATTACTGGCGGAGCTGGCGGCGTTGGCTCTATTGCTATTCAAATTGCCAAGGCTGTCTTCAAGGTATAGTCTTGATTGAGTTCAGTGATTGATTCGTCTGTTTAGCTGAATAATTGACTTGCAGGCACAAACCGTTGCGACAACCTCAAGTACCAGAAAGCTGGATATGATGCGTCTACTTGGAGCAGATAAGGTGGTGGACTACGGACATGAGCGTTTCGAACGCCAACTGCTGGAGTACGACTTTGCTCTAGATTGTACAGGAGAGGTGCGCAAGCAGATTTATGAAAATGTCGACTTGTGTGTTTTGTAACCGAACACATCTTTGTATGCAGGCCAAGCAGTGCCTTGATTCCATCACACGCGGTGGAGCTGTTGTGTCGATCTCAGAGACGCCAACGTGGAAATCGATTTCAGCCTGCGGCGATTGCCAAGGCGTGAGCGTCTCTTACTTTTTGGGCGCTATCTTGGACTGCCTGAGCAGCTCAGTTTCGCGCCGTGCATGCCGCGCTCAGGTCACCTATGATTACTTGTTTGTGGTAGCCGATGGCGCTACTATGGACGACATTTGCCAACTTGCGAAGCGGGGAATGATTAAACCTGTAATTGACAAAGTATTTCCGTTTGAAAAGGCCAACATGGCTATGGAATACTTGGAAGCAGGTCACGCCATGGGAAAAGTTGTTGTGCAGCTCGTTGATTGCACCAAGGGGAGTTAGTATGTTGAGGCTTTATTTTTAACTAAACGTAGTTGCAAGCTGATCCTATGTAGAAAACGGGATTATGCGGTTATGGTATAGCAACATATACAAGAGTACGGCATTGTCCAAGCGTTGGATGTTGCGACTGGGTACTCTTGTTTCCAGCTTTGAAGTTGTCGTGAAAGAACTTGCCGGCTACACGTAACCACATTACATTTTAAGCTCGTCTTGTCACTCGAATTAAGTCTTTTGTCAGGGTAGCGTTCCTCGACGTCGAGTTGATAACGTACGAAAGCTTAACTGTTAGGACGTCGTGGCGCCGCATTTACCGTTAGCGTCTCTAAGAATGTCAACCTGTAATGGACAATGTAGCCGAGCTACCGTAGCCGAGCTATCGTAGCCGAGAACCCATTGTATTGTAGGAACAGCCACACCAAAGAGGGCGTGGCAGGTGTGTATTTATAATTCATGCCTTCATGCAACCACGTTCCACCAATCTACCCACGAGTCTTCGAACTTACAATAAAATCTGGAGACGTCACTGTTAGCTTTGCTTCTTAAAGCGCGTAAGTATTATAAAGCTTGCTTACTAAGCGTCCCGAGCAGATACAAGCGCTCAAAACTTGCTCATAACGCACCTCAGTGTATTTCCACACTTGCTCATTGATCCCCTGTGTTTTCAACACTTGCTCCTTGAGTCATTAAGTGTTCTAAACACTTTATCATTGAGCCCTCAGAGTCTTTGCGCCTAGCACCTGATAAATGACGCTTTAATTTCTGCTTACGAAGCAGTCTTGCCCTCTCATCATAGATGAGACGACGCGCCTTGATCTCTGATTGCATTGCGCTTCGTAAGAGATTCCTCATCCCCAGAGAAGTCGATGAAATTGTACGAGGAAGAAATGTCAAGACAGTCACGAGGGAGCGCCGGTCCCGCCATGAATACCGTGCCAGTGGTGCTAGCACCAGGTAAGACATATCTCCAAGGCGATCATTAGCTGATCCGTTAAGTTGACCTGGCTTGTGAGCTCAAACGTCTACACGACTTACGTTTGAGCTCAAGAGAACAAGACGTTCGGTTAAAACGTCACTCAAGTTTCACTTTTGCATGTAAAAGCAAAGGGTCCACTGACATCCACTTTATCGGTCTTGAGATTTGAGGAGTTACCAGCTTCTGAAGCAGTAGCCAGCGCTTCTCACGCGACTAAGTTACCGGCGAACGTTTTAAGAAGGGTTAGCGACAAAGCCCAACTACTAATCTGGCTTCCCCAGAACCTAGTGCTAGGAAGAGTCATGCGGCTGCTGTCGCCGTTTCTGATCGTCCGATCAAACGCGTCAGCGACGACAGCGCAATCTTGCCGAAGACGCATCTTAAACTCTCACGGGTCATGCCACGTGGATAGCCTCTCCACTTCACCAAGTAGTCGGTATGATTCTGGTGATGACGTCGTGCCAGGAGGCACTCAGCTTGAAAAGATGATGTTGACCCTTCTCATTGATCAGGTTTTGTGGAGGTCGATGACCTATTCAACTCTCATGACTTCATCGTCGAGACCTCGTTGAGATCCGTTGTCTGTTGGCGTGTCTAGATCATAATACTTTCATTCGAGGCGTCTCGACTAACTTCCCCTTGAGAGGCGTGTCGGTCGACGCCGTGACGTTTTTGAGCGTTATCGGTCAAATTTATTCGGTCCCTTAAAAGTATCAGCCTTTTTTTTAAATTAGTGGTCAATTGGGCCTGTTGGTGCGCTTGCTACTCATGTATCCCTCACAGCGCCTTGCCATCCTCTCTTTCTGCCGGAAACTCCTCGGAGTCCACCGAGGACGGGCCAAAGTACAACTTAAGTAAGCCAACATAGAACACAGGAGTGCTTGGATCGTTTTGGAAAGGAAAAGCGTATAGGCTAAGCCCTTCTTACTTATTTATGACCATGTTATGTCTGATACAGCGTGGGCGTAATTAGGTATTATATACCCGAGACACCGCAAGAAAAGGTAGATTCCTAGCCTTAAAATACAACCTAATCTTTCATTTTGAACTCGTGTTCATTCTTTCTTCCTTTGGCATCTGCTTGATCCCTCGGAACATCTTGGCTTTCAGCCATAACGTCTTTGACGCAACGTAGAGGTCGACGCAGCAGAAAAGAACGCTTATGCTTTCATGACAATCGCAACAGGGCTGATATCAGCCAAGCCTTTGGCTATCTATCCCCACCAAGCCCTGATGTGGCAAGTGGTGACATTAACGGACCGCGTGGATTAATGAGACTGTTCACATAGAACGAAATGAAGCATGTCAAGGCATGCACCGCATTATTCAATGCAAAATCAAGAGTAGAGTATTGTGTATCAATATTAGGCGTTTCAGCACAAAATCTGCAATGTGTACCACCAATAAGCCGATTCATGCGTTGATTTGGCCATCGCTATGCGGATAATTCGCCGTGTACATGTCCAGTGCTTAGCACTTAAAGACTGACGTCCGAACTTCTTCCGTAAAGCGGGGGCCTCGACCCAGAGGCTATTGCCACAGACGATTTGTGTTTACGAACAACACGATACAAGAACAGTCTTACTGTTCATCTCTATCAAAAGATCCAGCAATACTGCTATTTGAGCTCATCTTGCTCATTCGGTCAATAAATACCACAAATCCCGGTGTTGCCTGCCGCATCAAGCGGTAGGCAAAACACGAAGTCTATACTAATGAACTGTCACAACCAAGAAGGTGCAGGAAAATTTGCCAAGGCACAGCCATTCTAGGCGAGGATTTCATCCATTGACATTTCACACGTGCGTACATAAGTGTCAACCCATCCATAAAACTTCAGCCCCCAACAATGGGTGCTCACCGAGGTGTAGGTCTTTGCACGACCTAGAGGACCACCAAGAGGGCCTCATAAAGTATCGGATACTTGAGGTCCTCATCATGAGGCGTCACAAGATGTAGCTGGTCATCAGCCCCAGTACTATAGTACAACAAACTATCGATCGATACAGAGATGTAACCGCGCTCGATTACGTGGTAACAGCTTCACATTTGGCATGCCAGACTGGGCGAAACCTAGCTTATGTTTAATGGTAATACACGTCTCGTCACGTGCATACGCTGCACGGATGCGATCCGTTACTGACGAACCCACGACATTAGATGAGCAAGGTGATAGTGAGGTCTACGCGATAATGCGTCAGCCAAAACATTCTGTATTTTCTCCGGGAGGAGGTTAGAATAGTGTCGGTAGCAACGACGAGGCCAACGGATGCCGTGTTTATATTGGTGAAGAAAACGCTGTCGTCGTGAAACAACACGTCAAGAATATTCAGACGCTAACTAGCACGCAATGTGGGCGGCTCCAGCACAGTCTGAAGCTAGGATATCGGAATGATAACGGCCAAGGAAACTTGCGGAATACCCGACCTGCTGCACTGGTAACAAAGAGAAAAAATCCAAGCAAAAATGCAAGCTTTGGATGCGTGTCTATCATGAAACACGTGACTTGATCAAGCAGTTGATGCCAGTCTCAACGAGCACAATAATGCGGTAGTCAACGTGCTACAAGTCTACGAGCCGGATCCAGAGTTACACGCAAAGCAATGTGCAGTTCAAAGCAGAAGGTTAGAGCAAGGCCATGCTCAAAACAGATTCAAGCGTTTGAGGACAAATTCATATAGAACATGATCAAGCAACCAGCAAATTCAAACTTACTATTAAGTAAGGTAGGTGTTTTAGACAAAAAAAGATGCAAACGGCGCAGTAGAAAGACTTAAGGAGCGTCAAGTTGCATCTGGGAATGAGCAAGCCTTTGTCTTTGACTACTCGCTTACCTTCGCCGCTGCGATGGACTTGTCAGCGATAAAGGTGATCCTAAGCCTTGCGGCGTAAAATAGTGTATCTGCAAATCATGATTACCAAGTGCATATGTAAAGGGAGACGAGAAGAATCACCCAGGGATATTGCTGCATTTTACCAAACTGTTACGAAGTTACACGAAGGTGTAATGTACAGACACACCTGCCACACCAATGTACCTTGGGTACAAGAGTAGTCTTGATGTGACCGTATCTGAAGTACGAAGGGTCGCATCGTGGCAGAGAGCCACGTGGTCACTATACTTATTTAAGTATAGTGACTATGCATGTTTGCATAATAATAGGCTATATAGCCAGTAAATAGTGACTAGCACTAAGTATAGAGTAGGTGCTTCGATATTTCGTGTTAGAAGATAAACATAAATATAAAACAGTTTCAAACCTGCTCAATAAGCATCACTGCTTGAGATTTCTATTCCTCCTGAGGAATTGTATCATTGATACTAGTCTTTTTGAGACCCGGTTGTAACAACCGATAGGCACAATCTTACGAGCTAGACTAGGAAGGGTTAAGCACCCTAAGACGTAGAAGCTCTCTGAACTTGTCTTCCTCTGCACATAGTGCATAAGTAGCTTGGTTACAGTAGCTCGGCTACACCTGGTAGCACTTGCAGCCAATCCCGCACCTGGGTTTGCGACTACTTCTCTATGTGAGATTGGACATCGATGAGATGTCAGCGGTTGGCCTGTCCCAGGCACAACAGGAAGGGTTGCAAAAGCTTCTCCCTATCTTTAGCCCTAAGGGCGTGGAGTACCTCATTGCCCAGGGCGAAGAAGAGGTTAACAAGCGTAATCATATGCTTGATGAATATAATAAAGCTCTAGTCAAGCATGTATGGGCAAAGATGCCTTCTTCTGCGCCTTCGCCCATGGTGACTATGGAGCAAGAAGTGGTCTGCAGACCAAAACCCATACAAATGGAAGTCGATAAGTTCGACGGCAAAGAAGGTGATAACCTTATTCTTTGGTTCCGACAGGTTGAGTCGGCTATGTTTATAGCCGACATCACCTATGAAACGTACCGTTTGGGATTTTCCACGGGTAAGTTGGGTGGATTAGCCAAGCAGTGGGCGTTCACATGCGGTGCATCACTGCAAGATGCATTTCCCACATGGACCGATCTGAAAGTTCAAATGACCCGGCAGTATGCACCGCCAAACCAAGCACACCGTAATCGGTCGCGGTTTTTGGCGTGTCGCCAAGGCAAGCGTGAGCTTGCGGCATATGTGCAAGAGTTAGGAACTTTCATTTCTGCCATGGTCATAGACCCTATGCCTGAGGCAGTGACCGTCACGGTCTTCATGGAGGGCCTCCGAGTTGGCGTTGCCAGAGCGG